GGCCTTATGCTAAGTATAAGGAGTCAGACTCCAAAGGGTCTGCAGGTTGCCAGGGCCTGGGACCGTGGAAGGGGTCACCCGCAAGAGAGCTCAAAGGAGTTTCTTGGGGTGATAGAAATGTTCAGTATCTTAGTTGTGACTGTTTCCACAACTGAGAGTGTCTATCAAAACACTAGAACTGTACAGTAAAAGCAGAGGCTGCTACTGTATAGAAATTATACCTTTAATTTTTCCTTGTTTAAAAAACCCCACTTCCTAGTTACTGATGAATGGATGAGTAGAATGAGGTCTGTGCAAACAATGGAACATTAATTCGTCATCAGACACGGGGCACTGACAGGTGCCACTACATGCCTTGAAAACACCGTGCTGAGCGAAGGAAGCCAGACAGCACAGGCCACATAGTGCATCATCCCATGCCCGTGAAGTGTCCAGAATTGCAAGTCCATGAGGACAGAAAGCAGATTTGTGGTTGCCACAAATCTGGGGGAGGAGGGAATGGGGAACAACCGTCTAATGTGTTCTGTTTCAGGTGATACAAAAGCTCTGGAACTAGATAGAGGTGGTGATGGTCGCATTACCATGAAAATGTACTTAATGCCGCTGAGTGGGAAACTTGAAAGTGGTTCACATGGTCAAGTTTATGCTATGTGTGTATTAAGATGGTAAAAGAAAAAGAAAGGACCCCACTCCCTTTTAACGCACCAGGTATGCAGCAGGTACTTGGTAAAGGCTGGCCCAGATTTTGGATTCTCTGTGATCAGGAGAAATCTATGTGGCAAACCTTGCCCTTGGTCTGATGCTTGTCACAGGAACTTTGACCAGGTCCCTAACTGTGGTTGGTCCCCAGTGGTTCGGTGCCTGTGGATAGTCTACCCAGTGGGTTGATCTTGGAAACTGTGGAGGTGCAGTGGGGGCTGCGCTTCTTTCTCCTTAAAGAATAGGTTGGCTTCATTTCATGTTTGGAGGGAAAGTCAGACTCAGTCTTGGGTCTTCAGCAAAGGCAGCTGAATAAATGAAAATGTGCACATAAAACAGCAGGGGCACCGTGAAGGGCGGCTCTTTTGGCATGCTGGGAAGACATTCGGGGTTGGGAACCTAGTGACCATAAAGCAAGCCAGCCTCAAGATGAGAAAAGCCAGGGGAGGAGGTCATCTGGAGGCAGAGCTTGGCTAAGGCCAAGGGCAGTGAATCGAGCAGTTGAACCGCCAAGCTCTGCGTGGGCCTTGGAAGCCCCGAACAACAATCTTATTGATGGGCTGTCGGGCCCTGAGCAGGCAACTCTGAACTTTAACAGAGCCAGGATGCAAAGCCTGCACAAGGGCCTACAGTTTCCAGAGTGAACAACACGCTTATTTTTTCCTCCCTCTGCTGAAAGATGAGGAAGAGACCGAAAGGAGAAGGGTGGGGGTGGGGTGGGGAAGGGGATGAGTGCATTCCAGAGCCTCAGTGAGACAGCCACATTCCTGGGAGGGACTGCCCCCCCCCCCCCGGAGCTCTGAGGGTTGAAAAATGTCACCAGGGTTGGTGCAAATTGCAAATCAGGGCTTTGCTTTTGTTGATTGTTATTCCCAAGAGCCCTTAGCTGGACCCAAGAGGGCGTGATGATGACAAGGTCTCTGGTCCCTGTTGTGCTCAGCACCTTGTCCGATGCACAAATTGGCCGTGGCTGACCCTTGACCAGAGAGAGCTCCTGCCTACTTGAGATACAGACTTGGCTCACACTGAGATGACCGTGAACAAGTGGCTCTGACAGTGAGGAACTCAAGGAGGCAAAAGACAGCAAGAGAGCTGAACGCCGTTGGGCATGCACGACTTTGTGGAGAAGGGACATGGATGCACCTTGAAGGGCGATGCAGGTCTGGGGAGGAGAGGAAGTGACACCCGGGGCTTGGTGACCCTCTGGTTCCTGGTACTGAGTTTCTTCAACCCTGTTGATGACCGCTCACCTAGCACAACCGCTTTACAGGAAAAGGAGGGTGTTTGCTTTCTCAGAGCCTCCCCCCACACCCATCTGCCTGGTGCCTCACCGCCCTGGTGGCAGAGGGGCCATAGCTGCCCGGTTCACGGCAGTGTCCCCAGGCCTGCGTGTGATGGCATTCTGCCTCTCTCAGTCACCCGGGGGCATCTCTTATAGTCCTTACATATAATGGAATTATCAGCAGGTCCCATTGGCTCTCCCCATCCTATCTGGAGGCCAGCCCCCGCTCCCTGTCTCCCCTGCCCTGTGGACTCTCGTGGACGGGGAACCAGTTGCCATGATCCAGATAAACCTCCCAACTGGTGGCAGGCAGCATGTACCTTGGATTTGAGCCCCAGCGCCACTATGAACTGTGGACGTGACCGAGTTTGGTTGTCATTGGGCCTCAGAAGCCCATTTCCATGCTGTGCACTTGCAGGGTGGTTGGTAGAATTGGAAGTGGTAAAGGTATAGTGTCCTACGTGGTCCCCGGCTGCTGTCACTAGGTCACACCCTCACCGTTTTCAGCTGCACGGATGCAGTCACCTCGCTGGCCTCCCTGCCTCCCCTCCTCATTCCCTGGTCCCCTCCCATCATCCCCCTTGTTTGCAGAGTCATTCTGTCTCTAGCCTGCTTGGAGAACAGTGTTAGGCGGTCTTCTCCACTACATTGCCTAGAGGCCTGCAGGATAAGATACTCTTGAGCAAAACGAAGCCCCTACGAACTGCCCACGGGATCTGATCCCACAGGTGTGGCCTTAGGGACCACGTTCTCCCCTTTGAGGCCCCCCCCCCACCCTGCCCCAAGCCCCTTGTGACCTGGAGACACAGAACCCCTGGTGGTTTTCCAACACCTGGTGCACTTTCAGCTTTTGAGTCTTCTGAGCCCTCATTCCCTTTTCCTGAAGTGCTTCTGGCTCTTTCTCATGAGCTCCTATTCATTCTTCAGTGGCCTGCTTATAAATTAAATTCCTCTCCCTGATAACTCCGAAGTTTGTTTCTCTGTCTTTGGCACATTCCTCATCCTTGGAGACATTCCTGAATTGCTTCTGTTCTCCCACGGCATATACACTCTCCCCGGCCACGGGGCCCCTGGAGGGCCGGGGACCCCGTCTGGGTAACCGCTGTCGCCCCAGGACCAGGCACAGACCTCTTCACCCTTTGGCTTAGGCCACATTTGCTGGTGTGAAGATAAACAAAGGCTGTTTTCCAGGAATCAGACAGCTTTTGGGAATAGCTGAGGATGCGGAAGTGAAGAGACACTTTCAGTTTTAGTGCCTTTTTCTTTTTCGGAAGCAACAGCAGTAGAACAGCTTCAAGTTCAGAAGGTCAGGAAAAATGCAGCTGAACCCCTATTTGCCTTGCCAGGCCCTTTCACTTTTTCTTCTCCCCACTGCAGTCAAGTTCAAGGCTCAGGGTCATTTTCCTCAGTTTTTCCCCTTGTTTTCCCTGGTTTGACTTCTTTAAGCTCAACAGGAAACTCATGAATAGCTGTGTATAACCAAACCGAAAACTAACCTAAGGCCTTACGATACTGCCTCCTCTTCCCAGAAGCCTTCTGGGCCTAGAGTTGTGTTTTTGTCTGATCTATCACACTGGAAGCTGGTATCACCCGCCTGACTCTTGAATTTTTGGCGGTGTGCCTTGGTCTGTAAAGTGCTTTACCTGTGCAGGTCTTGTCCTGCTAATGAGCCCGCAGAAGACCGGAGCCATGCTGTCCTGAGTCTGCTTTTTAATTTCCCAGTAAGTTCAGGCTGAGGGCCCTGCCAAATGTTGGGACACCTGACTGACTTATAAGTGAACTCTGGTCCCCTTTCAAAACCCACTCCATTAGAATTCTCTAATCAGTTTAAAGTAAACTGGGCAAAAGCCCTGTGCCTCTTGGAAAATGCCTGCGGCATTCTCGCCAAAACCCAAGGAAGGGGCAAAAGATGCAGCGCTTCCCCAAGCAGAACTGCCCAAACTTGGCTTCTTTCTTGCCTCACCCAGCCTATTACTTACCGTCCGCTTATCTCTTTTTAGAGAGAGGTGAGGGCCACCTTCCATCCACTTCCAGGCACCTGGACCAGCTTTAATCATATGCAGCCACTGGGCCGCGGGCTGCATTTTACCAATGATGGGAAAAGCACTATTTAGACCCTCAAGTATCTGATTGCCATCAATGGGCATGTTCTAAAGAGCCAGCCAGTCAGTGACACCCAAGATGACAAACGCAGCGGTAAACGCAGCGTCCTGTTCTTAGCAGAGATTTAGGTCACTCACAGTAGTAACGACAACAGTACTGGTGACTGCCCTGCTCCCAGACTGCTGCCCACCGCGCTAGCATTTCTGCAGGGTGGTCCCAGGTGGAGACTGCCGCGTGCTCCTGTGGCGGTGGTGGTCCTTGAGAGATGTATTTGATAACTGGATCCACAGGACCAGGCCCTTCTTGGGAGTGATGCTGGTCTTTGCGGCCGCTGCAGCAGCTCAGTGACTGAAGAAACTCAGGGGAAGGTTTTACTGGCTGACACGTGGTTTTCGATGGGTCATCTGTATTTCTGCAAAAACAGGATGATCACTGTTTTATCGCCTTGGAGTGAATCTCTGTTTCCCCATCCTTGGGGACAGAATGAACAACTGGTCAACCATAGCACTTCTTTGGATGGAGGTGGGTTTGGTCTGTGTTCAAATTCCCGAGACACTGAGCTGTTCTGATTGGCCTTTACTAAGGGGGGAAATTCTGTTTCCAGACTCTCATGGCCTATGGACTGGCTTGGGCCAGCTTGGTCACGGTCACTCCAGCAGATGGTAGACCTGTGTCTCTGGTCCAGGTTGTTCACCTCAAAGCCAAGGGCCTGTTTTCCTCTTCCTGAGACCTGACACTGAGCCTCTGCATTTTGGCTGGGCTTCCCACATGCTGCCAGGCCTCACCCCACACCGCTCCCCTTGCAACCAGAAGGATCACAGTGGGATGGGGCAGGGTCCGGAGGGGTGTCTGAGCTAGGCCTTGGAAGAGAAAGCAGCCGCTCACAGTAAAGGTGTGCTGTGTTCTCTGTCTCTAGCCCTGGAGCAGCTGCTGACCGAGCTGGAAGACTTCCTCAAGATTCTCGATCAGGAGAACCTGAGCAGTACCGCCGAGGTGAAGAAGAGCAGCCTGGCGGAGCTCCTCCGGCTGTACATCAAAAGCAGCAGTGAGTGCGGTCCACAGCCCTGGGAGAGGTGCCCCTGGGCCCGGGCGGATGGTTGTATTGATGAGGGCCACCATAGGGAGCTTCACTGACCACGTGGCTTAAACAACAGACATTGATTTTCAAGTTCTAGAGACCAAACGTTTGAGATCAGCGTGTCTCAGGTTTGGTTCCTTTGGAGGACTCTCTCCCTTGGTTCATTGATGGCTGTCTACCCCCTGGGTCTCTATACTGTCTTCTCTCTGCACTTGTGTCTAGAGCTCCTACATGTGAGGACGTGGAACACACTGGGTTAGAGCCCACTCCAGTGGCCTCATTTATTATGAATCGCCTCTTTAAAGACCCGCCCCTCTGTCCAAACATACTCATACTCTGAGCTATTAGGGCTAGGATTTAACACACGAGTTTTGAGAGAACACAAGTCAGCCCATAGAAATGGTGAAGGACAGATGTGACTTGAATCGGAGCCCAGAAATCTCTAACTGTTCATTCAACATGTCAGCCCATGAGTGAGTTTCTAACGAAATGTTCCCAAAGCACTTCTCCTTAGCAGTTGCAAGTAGGGAAGGGATAATAAATGGTTACAGTCAGTGGCTGAGACCTAATGGAGCACTTCCCGCTTGCACACGTATGAACTTGTTTCATCCCCAAGATCACCCTGGAGGGCCGGTGCTGTGAGGACAGGGGAGGAAACTGAGGCTGGGAGGGTTTAAATAACTTGCCCAGGGCCCTACAGCCTGAGAGAAAAATGGGAAAATGCAGTTTTAAGAATTTGTAAATCGCAGAATGCTGAGTTCACAGTTTTTTCTTTTGTACCGAGGTAGGTTTTATATACCATCGAGGACATGGACCTTGAGTACTCACCTCAGTTGAGTTTTGATAATGGTATAGTACCCGTGCCCTTAGCACCCAAACCAAGACACAGACTATTTCTGTCATCCCAGAAGGTCCTCTCTTGCCCCTTCCCAGTGAGTTTCTTCACACCCCCATGTCATGACGGCCAGCGTCCTGTCTCTCCCACTGTAGATTAGCATTGCCCGTCCTTGAACTTCCCCAAAATGGACTTGTACGCTGTGGACATTCCATGTCCGGCCTCTTCCATTCAGGAGCTTCGTCCACACCGTGGGGTGTGTTGGAAGTCTCTCCCGTTGTTTTGCCGAGTGGTGTTTCATTCTGAGAACATGCCACAATCCACTCACTTGTCGATGGGCATTCAGATTTTTCACACATTGGGACTATACGAGTCAGGCTGCTCTGAGTGCTCTTGGGACGTCTTCTTGTGAACACAGTTTCATTTCTAGCACATTCAGAGTTTCTTTTCTTAAGAAAAGCCACCTCGTGAAGTCGTTACCGTTGAGTTGGGGTTATTTTTATGCCGGATGTTAGAGTTGGAAATGACGTTAGGGGACAGTAAGGGACCAGAAGAGGGCATGCAATCCATCTGTCTCTCGGCAGGGGCAGCCTCGCCCGGTGCCAGGGCAGGGAAGCGCACCTGCTCTGGCTGACACATCCAGGCAGCCCTCTCTCTCGTCCGGCCTGAAGCTGCCAGGCCCCATTTCAAGGTCCCTCTTCCTTTTCTTCGTCGCCAGTGGAACGAGTTTCTGTTCTCTGAACAGCAGAGACGTCCTGAGGCTGAACAGGTCGCTGTACGCCCGAAGCCTTCTCTTCTGGTGACGTCATCCTGGCTGTCTTAGCCTTTCATCAGAGGCGTTTGCCTTGAGTCCCTCTGTCTTTCAGCTCTAGGCCACCCCCTGGTTCCCAGGCTCCTCCCGGCTTTGTAGTGAGCGTCTGCTGGCCTGCCCATGAGTGCTGGTCAGCAGCACATCAAAGGTGGGAATGCAAGTGGGAAAGCCACAGTACAGAGCAGGTAGGTTAGAGAGGGATGACTCATCCCCAAGAGGATCGGCAGTGGGTCCTTCAGACAGCCGGCGGGCTGGCCTGTTGCCTGGTGCTCTGATCTGACAATATTCAGTGATACAGAACCTCTGCTGGGAACTAGAAGACACCTCCATAATGGGGTGGGAACCATGGTTCTTGGTTCTAACCACAGTCTCAGGGCCGCCCATGTGGGGTCCCCTTTTTGATTGCACATGCTATGTCCCTTGCTGTAGGATGACCTTTGCTTCACCCTTGACCTTTGTGTGTTCTGCTCTTACAACACCAGGTCTTCCCACCCTGGGCCTCCTCAGCGTGCAGGGCTGCAGGAGGCTGCTGAGAGCCGGACACAGGCTTCCCGCTGTGACTCGCCCCCACAGCTCCTCCCAGACTTCTAAGAATAAAATGCACAGCCATACCAAGGCCTGTGGCTGTCACCTCTGTGCTTGAGGTTGACAGTCAAGTTATTAATAGCCACTGTTTGAGAACTTCCGGTCCCCTGGGTGTACCCTTTTGACAGCAGAATGGTTGTAACAGCAGCTAACACTTTCTGCACACTTACCTGTCCTAGCGTTGGGCTTAATGTATGAAACAACGTGGACTGTGTCATCTAATTCTCGTCCCAAGTCAGCGAGGGCGTTGTCGTTATCCCCACCTAAACCACAAGGGAACCGAGGTTGGGCAGGTTGCTGGCTTGAGGCACATGGCTGTGGGCGCCTAACTGGCACGCTCTCCTCCAGCTTCGACAGTTCAGAATAATCTCTACCACCCAGCACAGGATCCAAAGTCCCCTGGAATTAAAGCATCACCTTCCTCTCAGCCTCACCATGTATCCAGCTTGGCCCCATGAAGCTTGTAGGCAGAGGCAGGCCGATCCTTTTGACATGGCCTGGGGGGCTGCCCTGGCTGAGCTGTTGCCTCTCTCATGCCTTTGGAGCAGAATCCAAAGTCAGCATGTGTGTGGTGGGGAAGGGGGCAGTTTACACTTTTCAGGTGGAATTTTCTACTTGGGTTTTTCCATCTTTTGTTTTCTTACCGTAACACAAATATTTTTCATGAACTTTTCTTTTTGTCCAGTTGGTGAGGTCTCCCTACTGGGGGCCTGCTGTTTGTTCCCGCCTTGACCAGTGAGGGCCCTGTTCCCCTCCCCCCCAGGATCCTATCAGGGGCTGTAGGCAAGTTTCAGGGGCTGCCCCTCTGATAGGAAGAGCTTCAGATGTTCTGTCTATCCAACCGGAGCAAGGAGGGTCCGTGCCTCTCCTCCCCACCCTTCACCTGGTTCTCTGTGGGCATGTTCCTTCCCCCAGAGATCATGTTATTTTTACATTTATGACTGCGGCTCGTGCGTGTTTCCACGCGTTGACAGTTCACATACTTTTTCTGTTTCACTCTTCTAAGATGCGATCCTTACGTATAACCGCAAGTCCTGGCTATCTCCATAAACAGCAGATAGAGAGCTACTTTATTTTTGCTATTTTATTTCTCACAGTTGTGTAGTGGTTCCACAGAGCAATGAGCAATATTCCATCAGTCTCCTATTAGTGAGCATTTAAATCTTGTTCTTTTTTCTTTTAAGAACCCTCATACAATGTTGCAATGGACGTCCTCAAACAAAATTGCATGTACATGCTGGAGTATGTCTTCAGGAGAAATTTCTGGCATTGGAAATGCTGGGTCAAAGAATAGGAACATTTAAAATTAAATTATCCTCCAAAAATTAAATTAAATTATCCTTCCAGAATGGCTGCGCCAATGCACACACCCTTCAGTAATCCGATCATTGTTCCCAGTGACAGGCTGTCCTGTGTGCTGACGTGCTGTGGCTTGTTTCACCATATTCCTGTTTTCGAGACTGGGAGTTAGTTCCTGTTTGGGCTGTTATTTTGCATCTTCATTAGTTATAAGGTTACCTTACTTTTTCAGATTTCCTAGTATTTGAGTTTTGGACTCTCGAATACTTAACGGTTAGGTAGAAGCAGGCAGTATTTCATCACCGTTGTTTTCCGTCCTGTGCAGACAAGGAGACCAAGGCCACGCAGGTTAGGTGCTTTGCCCAGAATTGCACAATTGTGGCGGAGCTTGGCCCAGACCCCCAGCTTCTAGCTCCCCCTGCAGAGCTCTTCCCCCTGGCACATGCTCTGGAGAAGGTACAGATGCAGCCGCTCTGGATCTCAGTAGGTGTACATGTGCCAGCTGTAGCTGTGTTTCGACCTCACACAGGTTTGGACCGCTGTGAACTGCTGCAGCCCTTGGTAGAGGGGTGATGTTGCTGACTGGTCCTGGCAGGGCTGGGCACTGAGCTGGCGGTCCATGGGCTGAAGGTGAGGACAGATCCAGCTGTATCCTCCTCCTATTCCTCTCGGTTCTTAGGGCTCTGTTTTTGCAGGCCTGTTGGCTCGAGTCTGCGCGGTCTGTGGCAAGGAACTGACTGGCACTGAACTGCCTCCTCTGCTAGGGGTTTGAATTGGGTCCCTTGGCTCAGTAATGAGGTCTCCAACCACTGGAATTTATCAGCCACAGGTTTCTAGGAAATGCAAGCTAAGTGTCACAAAAGAAATGCAGGAGTGTTTGTAAGAGGAGAAACACCAGGATAAGCTTTCTCTGCAGGCTTCTGAAGAAAGGGTGGGTCCTTGGGCATTAGAAACTGAGCAAGTGTTAGGAGACTAGCCTTTCTCTGCCCAGGTGGGCAATGGGAAAATGACAACCTGCACAGAAAGTATTCCTGAACAGAAGGGTTATATTGCTGCAAGGTAAAACCTACACAGTAGGGCAGGTGGCTTAAAGTGCTATAGCTCCAATTTCCCCTAAACCAAGAGCTCATGATTTGGATTCTTCAGGCCCCCACAATGGCACCCCACCTAAAGCACTGGGAGCTAAACTTTCAGATCCTCAGTGTGACCTATCTTATATATAGACATTGTTCTGATTAGCCCACACAAGTAATTCAGACTAGAGTGAGAATGGCTGATAGAAAAATAGTTCACAATTTAAATAAGATGCTAGGAAACCTAGAGAAATCTCTGGTGGAATATGAGGCAAATCTTTGAGGTATGGGTGCCTTTCCCCTTAAGGCTTCTGTACCCTAACAGTAAACTAACAGTCAGCAATGTTGGCTGCAGGGACTGGCTGCCTAGATAACTTGCCATTTCTGTTTTTGGATATCTGTCAGCTCTTCCATGTTGGACTCTTTCCGTCAACTCAAAGTGTCGTGTGTCTTTCCTGGACCCCAAGCAGGTGGCCACAACTCTAGGGGACACCATTTCTCTCAGGAAGCCCTTTTCCTTTGTGACTCACAAGACGCTGTCTCCCCTCCTTCCTCTGCAGGTTCCGATGAGGAGTACATTTACATGAACAAAGTGACGGTCAACAAGCAACAGAATGCTGAGTCCCAAGACAAAGGTATGGGGCTGGGGCTGTGCATGGCCTGGCCAGTTCCCAGAAGAGTGGACGGCATGAGCCGTGGTCCTGCCCCTCCTTCTGCCCAGCCAGCACCACAGACAGGCCTGTTGGAGATATTTTTGGAAGTCACATTTTGGTTTATGGTATTTTGGGTTGACGTATTTTGAGATGTTTCACCGGGCCACCTCCTTGCCTCTTAAAGGTCTCAAGTCCCCTTGATGGATAAGGAATCTGTTCCTAAGATCTCTCAGCTTTTCCGGCCTCATCCCAGGAATAGGAAGTCATAATTCAAATGTTTGAAGAAAGCAGCTGTGGATGGTGCTGATCCCACAGTGCCAACTTTATGTCCTTTGATAGAAGCCTGGATATTATGTGTGTGTTTGGGGGCCCTGGGCAGCAGCAGGGTATGGTGATGTCAGTAACTGCCTTGATATTAAAGGTTTTTTTCAAAAGTGCTCTTTTTGGTGGAATATTTTATGTTCCATTGGAAGAACACAGTGTCTCTTCCATACTGTATTAGCCTCCATCCTGTGACATTTGCTAGTTTTCTCTGAAAACCTCCAGGAGTGGGGCTGGGAGAGCCCAGGAACATGCCCAGGTTTGCAGAGCCGCCTCCTTTTAGAAAAGGGATGATCAGAAGCCCTGTCTCCCAGCTGTCTGTTGCTCGAATGCAAGGCTTAGAGAGAGGTGGAGACAGCTTCCCAAAGCCCTCAGTCCTATTAAAAGCTTGGTTTCCAAACATCAGCCACCAAAGCTCCGAGGTCAGATCTGCCTGAGCCTGTCTGCCAGGGGGCCTGCGCCACCAGCCGAAGTGGTCAGGCACAGAAGAGCCTTTGGTGCCTTTTCCTTAAAAGCACACAGGGGGTTGGTGGTCAAGTTCTGCAGTGCAGCTTTTCCACCTCCGTCCCCATGGCCAAGCCTGGGGCTCAGCAGAGCCCATCCGCACAGAAGCAGCCACTGTGCCTGGAGCCGTTGGCCTTCCGGCTAAACTGTGGGAAGGAAGGGGCAGTAATCACAGGGTCAGAGCTCACAGTGGCTTAATATAGTGACCACGGGGCACCTCCTCTGCTCCCCGAAGCTCTGTGGCCAGGCCATATTTGACATGGGGCAGGTGGAGGAGAGGGTGGGGAGTCTGCCAGAAACCCCAGCCAGCCCCTTGTGCTGAGAAATCTGTGGCGGAGGCACCGCTGCACCCTATTCTTGGAGGAAAAACAATGTTGGCTGCGGGGACCGGCTGCCTGGATAATTAACACCTGCTCAAATAGAACGCGGGCACCTGTGACCAGACATTCCTGGATAATGAGAGCCTGCTGTGGGGCTGGGCGCCCCTCACCGAAGCCTTCTCCCGCTTGCTGCCCACAGAGCCGGAGGAGCAGAACCCGCTGACCAACGGGGAGCCCCGCCAGCACTCCACGGCCCCTCAGAAGAGTCTTCCAGACCTCCCACCTCCCAAGATCGTAAGTGTGGGTTCAGGACCCCTGATTTCCCTGACTTGGGCCCCATGAACTTCCAGTTGTTTTCACAGGTTATCAGTCCACCAAGTGTCTGGCCTTTTCCGAGTACCTACCATGTGCCGGGCATGGAGCAAGGCACTGGGAGAGGCAGAGCAAAAGGAAGCCTTTCTGCAGATGACATTATTTGCTCAGAGCCTCAGTACTAGGATGCTAAGGGTAATGGAAGTGGGAGATGAGGAAGATCACCATTAGCAAGTGCCATGGCGTGTCTGAGCCACGACAGGCTCTTTACCCGGCACCATGTACGGCCATGTCTGCAATGGTCGCCAGCTCGGGCCACAAAGAATTGTAAGTCACAGCACACTGCACTTCCTGCTGGGACTCTGCCAGGAGCTGTCATCAAACTTAGGAAAAAACATCCACGTTTCTTTACATGGCCCCGGGGACTACCTGGTGTGGCCCAGCTGCACCTCCGGCCTCCTGGCGGGGGCTCTTCCTGGCCTCCCTTCTGTTCCTGGACTGTGCCACCTGCTCAGTCCTGCCTCAGGGACTTGGCACTTTCTGGGCCTGGTTCTTCAGTGGCTGCTGCCTTCTCATCTCTCAGACAGACTTTCCCTGACCTGCCTACGTCAGTCATCCCACGTCCACCATCCCACGTCCACCATCCCATGTCCATCATCCCATGTCCATCCCGCCCCAGTTACTGCCTATCTCACTGTCCAGTTACCACCTCCATGGCACTGGCCACCATGGACATGCTTTTGTGTATTACTCATCTCCTAGGCCAGATATAAGCTCCCTAGGACAGGGACTCTCTCGTTTAGTGCCTAATGGTCTGTATCTGCATAGTGAGCCACACACATGTGGATGGATGGATGGATGGATGGATGGATGGATGGATGGATGGATGGAAGGAAGGATGGAAGGAAGGAAGGGAGGGAGGGAGGGAGGGAGGGAGGGAGGGAGGAAGGGAGGAAGGGAGGAAGGGAGGAAGGGTGATAGATGGTTTTATGGAATCATAGGCCTGGGTTCATAGCCCAGCTTTGCCAGGTACTAGCTCTTTGACCTCGAGCAAGTTATTAAGGTCTCTGGCTCCTGTTTCCTGGTATTTAAAGGAAAGGAATGTGAAATCTTCCTGAAGAGAGCGCTTATTCAGTGAGCTAAGGCTGTGCATTAGTATTCAGAGCAGTGAGGAGTAGTGTTATGTTCTATGGGTGAGGAGCCTAGAATGTGCAGGCTCGTGGGTCTGAATGTCACACGGCCTCCAGGTGGCAGAACCAGAATTTGAAGCCGAATCCTTTCCTCTAAAGGACGGTTTGGGGGGCTTCCTCACAAGATAAGAAATGAGAGTGAGAAGGGTTTCTGTGGGGCCGGGGTTCTGGGGGGTTGGCACCAGCAGGAAGCTGTGTGACTCCGTGGGTGCCGAGCTCCCACCAAGCCATCCGTCCCTGAGATCTGTGGGCCGAGGTCATCTTGGAGGCGATCTCGACCCCAGGCTGGCCCCCCTCCGTTCCTGTCTTCCTGAGGGGTGGCAGGCCTGTTCCAGCTGCCCTCCTGTGGCCACACCGGGGGAGCCTGGGGTGCCTGGGACCACACCCCACCACATGAGGCTCCTTGAGTTGGGGGCAACAGGCAGAGACTCTTCATCTCAGGCTGGGTGTAACTGATGGACTGAGCCTGAGTCCCTGGGTGTCCCCACTGTGCTGACAACTCTGGTGACAGCCACACTCTGAGCTGTCCCCAAGCCTGGTCCTCCCCACCACCTGTCCAGGGGTGCCCGTGTTTGCCAGTTTTTCATATGAAGAGACGGGACTCGGGGAGGTAAAACAGCTGGGCCCAATCCCTGCCCTGGGCGGTGAATTGGACGCAGGTGACCCAGTATGTTCGGACCACTCTGCGGCCTCCCGGACTGAAGCTGGCCTTTATAGCAGAGCAAAGGCACTAGTGCTGTTCCTTCCAGAAAGCTCCCCCTCGCTTTCTGCCCAGCATGTGGAGGAGACGGCACCCCCCCTCTGCTCCATGGGACCGCTGCTGGCGGTAGCCCCGTGGGAGATGCTGCGTGTTCTGGTGTGTCCCTAGTTCCGCTTGCTGGGTGGTGTTGGAGGAGAGGTGGCCACTCCAAGCCAGGGCAGGGGAATTCAGCGTCTGATTGGGACCCAGGACTTTTGGCTTTTGGGCAGTGGAAGTGCCATCACTGGCCCCACCTGGGGCAGCAGCTTGCGGGTCCACACCTGGTTGGAGGGTTGGTCCCCCAGGCAGAGTCTCACAGGCAGCGAATGCCCTGTGGGCTGGCTTGCCCTGGAGACCTGCGCTTCGCAAACGTGGAGGTGCGCCGAGAGCCCCAGGGTCTGGGGTCAGGCTGCGGTCCCAAACCTGTGAGGTCCCACGAGTCCCACGAGTCCCAGCAGCCCTGGAGCTCCTGGCACTGGCTTTTACTCTTCCTTCGCCCACTGTCCCCTGGAGTGTGGGTCTGGAGGCCCTGGGGCTGGGATGTGAGAGGCAGGGCCGCTCCAGGCCAGGAAAGGCTCTGTCGGTGCTGGCGAGAACCCCGGTGCCAGAGCTGGGGACTCTGTCGCCACCCAAGAGAAACACATCCCTGCGGTAACTGTTCCTGTGGACAAACTCCAGGCCTGGGGAGATTCCCAGCAAAGCAGCTGACTTGACAGTCTTCCCTCCAGTGGAGTGTCTCTGCTGGGAAGGACCAGGGGTGCTGACTATAAAACTCCCTTTTCACAGCTCTTCCTGGTTCTGTCCTGGGCACCCACGCCCACCCCAGGGAGCTTCGGGATGCGGAGTAAAAAAGGAGGTGGCCGGCATAATCCGGGGTCTCTCCCCTTCCTGGCATGCACATGCACGCACACGCCTGCTGTCCCTCGGGCGTCCTCTCTGATCCAGTCTGGCTCGAGGGACCCTAGCTCTTCATCCAAGGCTGCCAGGAGTGGTGTCAGGGCGGAGAGAGGAACAACTGTGTCTTCTGCCTCTGAGGGAGCAGGAAGAGACGAGGGGGGACCTGAGCAGCAGTAACAGTTCAGGAGCGTGAGTTTGAAGTGGCCTCTCCCAACAAAGAAAGCCACGCCCCTCCCTACCCTGACCCCTGAGCTTCAGGCGCCTTGGCAGCTTGTCTACCCGAATGACTGGCCCCAGGCTTGCTAGTGGCTGTGGCAGAAACTGGACATCTGCCTGGAGTCCTCTGTCTATGGCTGGGTCAGGAGTATGGCCTCTGTCCCAGGCTCAGGATGTCCTGATTTTCTCTCCAGTGGCCCCGGTCTCCCTCCATTTCTACCCCAGAGTCCGTGGACAGCAGGCCTGACCAGCAGTGGAAGGGTCAGCCAGGGGTTTGGAGCAACTTCATGGGTGTGGCCAGTGACTCAGACAGCTGTGGCACTTCCAGGCCACTGAGAGCACAGCCAGGTGCTGTGGTCACTGCAGCAGAAACAGATGTTCGCTGGCATGGTCAGTGCTCCTGGCTAGCACGGCCATCTCCACCCCGTGTCCCCTTAGAGGCCTGAACACGCATTGCTGCTGGTTTTAAGTGAGTTGCTCTGTGTGTGCGGGTGGGGGTGGCACTGGGGGGAGGTAGAGGGAACAGCTTCCTGCACAAAGGATGTTGCCGTGTCCAGTCTGGGGACCCCTGCCCAGGAACCTTCTGCAGTGCACTCTGGGGCAGGTTGCTCAGACTGGCGGGGCTACCTTACATCACCTGGGCCACCCGTTCAGCTCCTATCTAAATCAGAATTAGCAAACGACAGCCCCCTGGCCAAACCCACAGCCACCTGCTTTCTTTGTAAGGCAAGTTTTACTGGAACACAGTCACACTTACCGAGTTTGTATCATCTCTGGATACTTGTGTACCACATCAGCTGACTTGAATAGCCGAGATCACTGACCTTGTCCGGCCTGTAGACCCCAAAGGTATTTACTGTTTGGCCCTTTACTGAAAAAGTCTGCCGACCTCTGACCAGTCATGCCGACTGGGTGCGTTCTTTCCTGTCCCTGCCTGTGAACCTTCAGAAAGTTATTTCAGGTTTTGAAATCACATCTCTTCTATATCTGCATTCAAGATGCATAATCATCCTCATTGTAATGATGATGATTAAAGTAGTAGTTCTTTATTCTTAGCCCTGAGAAGTTAGGATCTCTCACTCCTTTGATGGCCGATCTAGGCTATTGTCTCTGTAATAATGTGACTGTCTTTGGAATTGTGTAAATTATTTTATCTTTTAACTTGAACCTGGGCCTTGTCTTTTGCCCAGCCGGGTTAAGACCAGGGACCGCCTTCTTTATAGAGGCAGAGCTTGGTGGAAGCCCGGTCAACATTTCCCATCTCCCCAGGGCACCTCTGTTCTTCTGCCACCAAACCTGTGCATGGGCAGCTTTGTTCCCTCTGAATGATACTTTTATATGTTACTTTTTAGGTTAGTCAAAGCTATTATTTATTGAGTATTTAATAATGCTGAACCCAGTTTAATCCTCACAACACGCCCCTCGGAGAGGTGTTTCGACTCTCTTTCCCCATTTTGCAGTAGAAGAACTGATACCCAGAGAGGTCAAGTCCGTTGCCCAGAGTCACACAGCTCAACTGTGCCAGTGTCAGGATTCAAACCCCAGGCTCCGAGGTCGGGTTCCTACCACTGCCCTATCTATACTGCCTCTCCATATACATCCATTTACAGGTGATTTTACAGTGAGAGGCTTGGACAGACACTTCCTGGTGCCCGACCCCTCGACAGGGCAGTCAGGTCCACATGGTGGTAACGCCAGGACAAGACAAACTCCCTTTGCCTTGGCCCCATCACAGGCGTGCAGACTGCTGCCAGACCTTGGGAGCTCCGAGCCCCTCTTTAGATGGGATCCACCTCCTCACCAAGAGAAGGGCCCCAGCACCACTCTGTGGGAGTGGAGGCCGGAGCGGGAGGCCCGGCTAGCTCAGGGAGCATGGGCCCCGGGACCCACGCGCAGAGACCTTGCTCCTGCCCAGGTGAGAGGACACTGTCCCCTCGGAGAAGCTGGCTCTCGGAGAACCACAGCTGAGTCTCTTGAGCAGCCCCTTCTCAGGCTGACTGAGGGGCAGAGACATCTGGCCGGGCTCCTGGCAGCAAAGGTGCAAGGTCAGCCACTAGCAGCTACCGATGATGTACACTGTGTACAAGGCACCAGCCAGGCACCAGCCTCGAGGAAGGAGCCCGGCCGGAGGTGCACCCGCAGCCCAGCCCCTTCAGCAGCCACAGCCGAGCCCCTTCAGCAGCTGCACCCGCCGGCCCAGTGCAGCAGCCGGTCTGCTTAGGAAATGAACAGATTATTCTGTTTCCTCCTGTGCATTGGGTGTCGCACCTGCTGGGGTGAAGGCTGTTCACAGCCTGCCTGTGGGACTCTATCGGCTTTCTTGATGTGAGGTCAGATAAAGCTAAAAGTGTCCTGTGTGAGACCCAGCTTGCGGCCTGGCCTCTCCCGCCCCCCTTCCTGTGGCCCAGTACTGGGCTCCTGCAGACCCCTGGTTATGGAGGCTCCAGAGCGTCCCTTTGCAGTGACCACCTATGCAGCGCCGACCACAGCCTCCTTGGGTCTGATATGGGCCAGGCCCTGCAAAATCCCTATTGTGTTTTCTCTTACTGAACTCTCAGACGACCCTGGTACTATTCTTATTTTACAGAGAGGGGGAGTGGGGACCAGAGAGGCTGTTACGGACCTACGGTTCAGTCAACGGAGGCCTAAAGCCTGGGTTCCAACCCAGTTACACTCCCTCCAGGGTCCATGCAAGTAGACTCTTGATACCCAGCCACACAGGACTCGGCCCGGGAGCACGGTTTGGGGGAAGCTGCTGCAGCATTACTCCGCCTTGGAGGGAGCTGGGAGTGCATACTCTCCCAGCCTGTGCTGAGTACCATTCCACGGGGACCCGAGCCCAGGCTGGCTGTCTGGGCCCCGCCGCAGGGGTCCTTCCTGTGGCTGCCTCCTCTTCGAGGTGCCCCCCTTTACTGTAAGGGCCCTCCTCTGCTGTCACTCGGAAGTCCCCCACAGGCCCAGGCCCACCCCTTGGGTGGACTTCTCAAAACCAGGAGTGCAAAGGCACTTCAGGCCGTTTCTGAGCTCAGCTCATTATGAATATTCCCTTGGACCCCCTCAAGGGTTTCATGATTCTGGAGACTCACGTGGGTGGGTGCTTGTACATTTACAACCTGTAGTAGTGGTTGCCATGCAACCAGCTGTCTCTTGTGTCTCCCCCGCATTGCCCGAAAGATTAGCTTCATAGTCTGGTTCCCATTTGACAAGTGGAATAATGGAGAAACAGGGATGGTTTCACGCTCCGTGCTTTTACACAGTTGGATATGTTTTTAATTCTATTTAAATTGTGCTCACCTCACCCCTATGCCACATAAGAATCTAGGGTTGTTTCTGAGACTCAGCTAGAAGATTCTGTCCTCTGAGCATCCTTCCTTGGTCCTAAAGGTTCCCCATACCCTCCTGGTTCCCACAGAACTTTGACCTTGACCTTGTCTATTATAGCATTATTCATGATACACTTGATCAGGAGCTGTAAACATTCAGTGCCTACTTACTGTATTTTGCCGCGTATAATGCACACTTTTTTTGCCCAAATTTTTTAGGGAAGAACACAGATGTGCATTATAGATGGGCACAATGATTACATACCATGGGTACAATAATGGGTACAATAATCCCATCTGTAATGTGCATAAAAACAAGGGTGTGCATTACACACGGCAAAATGCAGGTAAGGACCGACCGTCTGAATGCACCCTTTGCAGCTGGTATGTGGGAGCCGTCCAGTACTTGCTGAATGAATGAATGATTGAACTTATTACGGTACACGTTTCCAAAGCCTTAGAGACCTGTTCATTTTCCCTCACGCGCCTGTGTCTAGCCCTTGCCTTTGTAGAGAGCATATTCTATTTCAAAGCCATGACAGCCACCCCAGCAGCCCGACACCCTCTGGACTTTGTGTGTGTTGTGTGTCACGGGTATGATGGCATTTTGTGTGTGTGCTGGGAACCCGAGCCCCCTGTTGCAGGGGCGAAAGCTGAGGCTCAGTGAGGGTTAAGGACCACGCCCACAGCCCCTTGTGGGGTGCAGTGCAGACACAGTAGGCAGGGGCCTGGGGCTCCATATCCTTCTTCCCAACTTGCTGCAAGTCCTGCTCAGCCTCTTTTCTTCTGGACTTCCTCCTCCTTCTACCCAAAGGGTTAATTCCAAGTTGCTGCCAATGCATCGCATCTAAAAAATGTTTGTTTTATTTGTTCACACCACAGAGTCCAGAACGGAAACAGCTCTCCATCCCCAAGACCGAGTCTCCAGAGGGTTACTACGAAGAAGCAGAGCCATATGACGTGTCCCTCAACGGTACAGGCTGGGGCCAGGGCTGGGGCTCGGAGGGGGCCTGAGCACTTCCCGCAGAGGTGCCGGTGCTGGAAGCAGAGAGCAGCCCGGGCCGCTGTTACCAGCGAGCGTTGTCCAAGTTGAGAACTGGCCACAGAGCACTGAGCTTCCGTTCCGCTGGGGAGCTGAGACCTACCGCAGACCCAGCCCGCCTGCAAGGAGAGGTCGGCCTGGTCCACAGGAGCTGGCTCATGTGCCTGATGCTCTCCGCATTCCCGCCTGGGTGTGGCTGGATTCAGCACAGAAATGTGCCAGGACACAGGTGTGCTGGCAAAGGGGCACCTACATGCCAAGCACACCTCCAGGAGTCAGGAGCTCAGGGGGCCAGAGAGCTCAGCAGGAAGACAACAAAGAAACATAGGGTGCACCAAGCGATGATAAAGATGGAAAGCAGGAGAGGCTGGGTTGCAGGGAGAGGGGGCTGTTACATTAGACAGGGAGGGCCTCCCTAGCGACAGGGAAGTCGCTATCAGCGCGACTGTGAGTGAGGTGGGAAGTGGATGGGGCAGAAAACTGCAGGCAAAGCTTTCCCAACTGCACAGCACATGCAAAGGCCCTGAGGCAAGAGAGCTCTTATTGTGTTTGAGGACGAACAAGGAGGCCTTTGGAGCAGGGGCAGGTGAGGTGGAGGGGTGGGGAGAAACAGGAGTTGGGGATGCAGAATTCAGCTGCAGACTGCGGTGAGGACTGGCTTTTCTCTGAATGAGACTGGAGGGTCCCTTGGCAGCCAGTCTGGGTGTTCAAAGGATCATCTGTGCTATGGGGCAGGGCTCCCACTGGGGCCATCTGTCCTTGGCCACTGGTTCTCAGCCTGAGGAAGTCACCTCAGCAATGCTCTCGGTGTAGGAATTCTTCAACCCGGAAAGGCCGCAAAGGTTCTGGGAGAAGGAGATGGTCATGACCTCTTCTAGGCTGCTGGACTCTGGTCCTCCCACTGTCCCCTTTTTACCTGCTTCCCTTTCCTTCCTTTGTAAGGGAAAGGTCTTTGAAAGTACAGAGCAGTCTGCAGAGATGAGAGACAAAGGTCAGTCCCTGGTGAGGGGGATGAGCTGGCAGGTGTGTTGTTGGTTCCATAAAGCATGGGACTGGAGCCAGGGGTGGGAGGGGACCTGTCACTTGGAGGCAGGTAAGAGGAGTCTTCTTTGTCTTCCCACGTCACTGCCACCCGTGGCCCCAGGAACTGTGTGGGAGGTAAGGACCTGTTTGGTCTGAGGTTATTTTCTGCTAAGAAGCTGCTTGGTGGGCAGAGGTCACTTAGCTTGAATTCGCTGAGAATGTGAGATGTTTGGGGGTCACCAGCCAAGCTGTGACTTCAGAGCAAGCGGAGAGTGTGTAGCAGCCGTCTGGCTGCGTCTGGAAGGAGGAAGAAGTGACTCACCGTGGTGGGCCCCTCACCTCCATGGCGCCTCAGGCCCAGGGCGCTCTCTTGGGTGTGGCCTGAGCCAGCTGGGGCCTGCCTCCCAGAAGCTCCCAGGAGCCTCCTGGTGGGGCAGACACCACATCCTGACTCAAACAAGTGCTTGGAAGGACCTGAGCCGCTCGGCGTCTGTCTCTGGAGTGCGAAGTCATACTGGGGGTCGTCCCCAAGGCAGCAAGGGGGTGAGAAGATGCCAGATTGCCCTTCCTCTCCTGCCAGGACAAGGACCAAGGGGGATGTGGGGAGAACTGGCCACACCCGCCATGCAGGGGCGGCTTTCCCTGGGATGCAAGCTAGCCTGCTCTCAGTTCCTGTCTGGTGTCCCCTACACCTGTGTGAGAAGTGAGACATACGGGTAACCACAGGAGCAGTGGCCGTTGGCCTTCAGCCCCTCGCTCGAGTTTGTTGGCCAGCTGCAATTTTGCTGACTTCCCGCCAAGGACCACTGTCTTGGTCTCTTGTCCTGCTGTGTCAGCACCGTCCCCACACTGCGGCATAGGGTCAGAGTCCTCTCGCCCAGTGAAACTGCCGGAAGCGCCCTCATGGCCCGTGCAGCGGGTAAGAGTGTCTGGGCTGCTGGCCCACAACCTCTCTGATGATGTCTGCTGTTGGGGCGACAGCTGCCCTCACAGGCCACCCCCTTTTGGTTCACGGGGACGTAGTACCAGTCTGCTTCTCACGCACGGACAGCTCAGCGTGGTGTTACTGGTCTGCAGGCAGTGTGGGTGCCCAGGCTCCTTCCAGCGTGGGCTCGGCCACCCTCTGAGGCCACAGAATCCTCTGCAGAGAGAGAGCGGAGAGCCCCTGTGTGTATCTTACATGCACCAGCCACAAGTGACACGCACCTTCCCGCACTCCACTGGGACAAGTAGCCACGTGGCTGTCTCTGCATGTGAAGGGGCTGGGACGTGAAGTCCTTGGCCAGGTGGGGGCCTCTCCGGACCAGCCCGTGCCTCCAGCAGTAAAGCACTAACACCTGATGGCGGACAGCCACCCCCTCCTCACCCGGGTGTCTCGGTGTCTCTTTCTTGGGGCTGTCCCCTTCTTCATCTTGTCTCTATCTTGCCTTTGTCTGTGCTTCTGGATTTCACACAGGTCCTTCTGGCAGAGGTCCCCCCACTGGAGTCCCCAGATGGGTGCAGGTGCCCGAAGGAGTCATTTACGCCACCATCACCTTGGGTACTGCTGGTCCCCAGAGCTGGAATGCCCGGGATTCTGTGCCTGCTGCCTGGCTCTCAGAGATGGGGCGCATGTCCCACGCGTGGCCACTGCTCTCTTCCTGTCCTCACGCCTGGCTCCTGCATGCTCTGTGTCATCTTGCCACAAACCCCCGCCTGTGGCGTCCAAACGCGTGGCTGAAGGACTCACTGTCGCTCGGTGGCTCTGCCCCCTGTTCCCGAGGTCAGGTTACAGCACGCAGCGGGGACTGCAGACGTGGGGATGGAGTTCTCTGACATCCCTGCCTTTCACCTCTGTTCACCCTGCGACCGCTGGAAGCTGAGTTTCTGCTGTAAAAATACCCCACGTTTATGGTGGTGCTATGGTTGCTCTTAGGGAGAAATAAAATTAATACACTTGCCTCCAAGCTCCTCTGGGTAGCTTGAGTACTGCGATGGGCTGTTTCTTCCCAGGTAGCTTCCCCTCCCCCCACCCACCCCAGGTGGCGGGGCAGGTGCTAGATTTCTCCTTGGAACAGGTGGGGCAGCCCCAGAAGCACAAAACAGCAAGGGGCTGGGCCGCTCCCCTCACACTGAACCCCATACCCTCCCACATTAATTTCTTTTTCAGATTTTATTTCTTATTTTTAGAGAGAGGGGAAGGGAGGGAGATAGGGAGAGAAACAGTGTGTGGTTGCCTCTCGCGCGCGCCCCCTACTGGGGAACCTGGCCTGCAACCCAGGCCTGTGCCCTGACTGGGAATCGAATTGGCAACCCTTTGGTTTGCAGGTCCACGCTCAATCCACTGAGCCTCACCAGCCAGGGCCCACGTTAATTTTTGTTGCCAAAGGAGTCCCAGTGACATTGCCTATTTCTTCTTACTTCATTTACTGTACAGATGACAACCATCCGGACAGTGAGGGCTTTTCAACCTAAATCACCCTCCTCCCCCCACCACATCGAATCAGCTACTTTGAATTCTCCCTGCTGGCCTTCAGTACCGATCCATGTCCCTCTTCCAGTGTGAAGTGTGCTTTCTCACTTACCGTCACAGTCCCCACGTTCCCTGAGTTGCAGAATAGCCTTCAGATGCCCCATGGACCATCATTGCGTGTGCAACTCCAGCCACACTTCCCCCGTTGCTCTTCTGCTGACTGCTAGGTTGCTTGAATTAATATCTTAATGCATGTAACCTTCCCCCCTTCCTTCCTTTTTGTAAAGCTAGTTTCCGAAGATAAACTGCCAGGACCGGGCTTACTGGGTCGAAGGGCAGGGGTGTTTTTACGGCTCTTGAATCAACAGGCTGCCAGACCGTTTCCTGAGAGGCTTGTGTTCACTGGCATGACCGCCGGCAGTAGGAGAGTTCAGGGTCCCCCGCTGTTTTCAGTCTTTGCTTATTTGACAGGTATCAAATTTAGAAACGTGAAAGCCACCTAGAGCACATTTTCATCGGCACTGTAGCTAGAATAACTATGGCAGGGGCCTCGTTCCATTTCCTATATTGGAATCCGAAGGTGGTGGTTTTCTTAGTGTACAGGAACCGAGCCACGCAAGTAACAGACGGATGGGAAGGCAGGGGCCCCAGACATGTTTCTCTTCTGAAGGGTATCATGGGGGAGGAGAGAGGATTCACCCACCCCGACTCCAGGAGACAGAACGAGTCTGTAGAAGTCATAGGGAAGTAGATGATGGGCCCACTTTCTCACTGTTACAGTAGCTAAGTAATGGAAGCAATTGTATGGTAGTGAGCTCCCTGTCCACTAAGGATTTCAAGGAGAGGCTGGAGCAACATCAAGGTTACAACAGACAGGATTCCTGTGCTGAGCCATGGGCTGGACCAGGGAACCTCGTGTTCTCTGTGTTCGTGTTCTCTGTGTTCCGCTTTTTGGGGGCTTTATTGACTTTTCTTTTCACCTAGTTTTTATTTCAGCCTCCAGTAATGCAGTGAGGCCTGGAGAACAGAGCAGCTCTTGCAGGGTAGAGGGGGCAGGCACTGAGGCATGTGGCGTGTGCCTAGATTTGGGTCCAGTTTGTGCCTGGTGAGTTTTGGGAGTCTTTGGAACAGAAAACAGACGTGAGGTTGGCCCGTTGCCATGGAGGAAGCGTGTGAGCTGGGGGACAGGCGGAAGGAGCAGAGCTTCTGCTGGGAGGTGTTCGGTGGGAGGGAAAGAGAACACAGTCCGTGGAAGCTAGAGGTGGATTTTTTTAAAGGTTATGATTAGGAGGGGGGCACTGAGGAATGAAAGGCAAGATGGCTCCTCCCCCGAAAGCCATTTCCTGCTCTGGTTTATTTTGCCTTTGGTTTCCCTGGAGCCACACCCCCACTCGACTCCTAGGACAAACCCAAGGATGGAGCAGGCCCAACCAGGCAGGCAGCTGGTCATGTGCCTGGCTCTGGGCTCAGAGGGTGACCCCTTCATCCCAGCCACTTAGAATGACCGAGTGCCTGGCTCAGGAAGATCTTCACCCCACTGCTCATCCTTCTCATGAAGCAGCAGAGGCCCCAGGCGGGGAACTGGCCTTCCCCAGAGCCAACAGTCCATCAGAGGGCAGTGTCTACCCAGGTGTCTCTGGAATCCGAGATGACAGTATTTGAGGAGGAAAAGAGAAAGACTTCTGGCTTTAAGTTATTTGTATATGTGGCCAGAGACAGTGATATCCCAGAAGCTTTGCCTGGGTCTGTGGTCGGCAACTGTGCGGCTGGGTCAAGGTCATAGAGAGACAGGTGGATCGGGGCCTGGGGGCCAGTGGCTGCTTCTGCCTGCTGCCTGCTCCCCTCCCTTCTGAACAAATGAGCATGTTCGAGAGCATCCCTTGCCCTGTCCCACCCAGCGGGGACACGGGGATGTGACCAGGCGGGTCTGCCTTGCAGAGGATGGAGAGGCCGTGAGCAGCTCCTACGAGTCCTACGATGAAGAAGAGAGCAGCAAAGGCAAGTCGGCCCCCCACCAGTGGCCCTCCCCTGAGGCCAGCATCGAGCTGATGCGTGACGCCCGCATCTGTGCCTTCCTGTGGCGCAAGAAGTGGCTGGGGCAGTGGGCCAAGCAGCTCTGCGTCATCAAGGACACCAGACTCCTGGTCAGTTGGTCTCAGGTCGTGTTCTGGTCTCTTTTCTTTGTGTGGAGGGAGGTGAGGCAGGAGGAAGGGATGGTCCCTAATACCAGGTGGTCAGAACCTTTTATATCAGATTTTCATCGCTAACTCTAAAATTGTATGTACAGTTTTGCAGGTGTGAATGAATGTTCTCTTTTTTTCTTCATTTGGTTTTTTTATGGTTTATTGCCCCCCAGATTAATTAAACCCAAATCTGATCAAGCTTCTAGGAATGTGCTTTTTCTGAACTAGGAAAGTCTAGTTGTTTTCATTGGGCTCTCAAAGCGGGGCTGTGGCGACCACCTCCCCTCCATCCTGTCCCAGGCCAACCCCCTTTTTTCCAGGGACCTTCTTGTCCCCTGGTCTGAGAGCCTGTTCTGGCTCCCGTCCTGGCCACTGGCGGTTGGGGGTGGAGCCTCCTGCCCGGCCCGGTTCTGACTGCTGCCGTTATGCAGCCTGGAATCCCAGGGTAGGGGTCTTCTCTGACATCACAACAACATTTGACTTCCTGAGCCTAAGACCCATGAAGGAATCGGAAGACACTATTCTGGCCACTGCCTCGTTTCCTGGTGTTTTAAGTTAAATCCACAGTCCTATGTCCTGCTCAGATTGGCGTGGCGCCATTTATAAGTGCTGTTCCTTCCCTGGTCACAGGGAGCCCTGCTCTGTGCAGGTGGTTCCTCAGGTGATCCTGGGCGGAACCCCCTCGTACACCTGAGAAACCGAGGGGCACCATGTTTTCTCTGGTAGGAGAAGAAAGTCCCCTCCTTTCTTTGCTGATGACATCATCTCCCTAACTAAGCAGAGGATAATGCTAGTCCTCACTCCCTGCGCACCCCCTGCTGGGGGGAGCCGAGCAGGAAATGCGGAGAGGAGGAGGGGTGGGACAAGCGTGTTCCACCCTGGGTACATGAGTGTCGCCCTTGGAGGACACGTTTCAGCAGCCATGGAGATAAGGGCAGCCCGGACAGGCGGGTCCTGGGCAGCATCCCCGGCTGAGGCCAGGGAGGAGAAGGCTCGCAGCGGTTGGAGACAACCTGTCTGGGCTGATGCTGAGACCAAGCTGCCGATATATCTGAGGTCACGGTTCTGCACTGGCACTGGGGCATCCAGCCCTTTGGTTCTGTTGGGCAGAGCCCAGCTCCCAGTGGGTCCTGCCATGCCTGGCGGCCCCTCCTCCACAGGCCCGAGCAAGGCCCAGCATCCCTGCAACACAACGTCTCATCTCTCTCCTTCCAGTGTTACAAGTCCTCCAAGGACCACAGCCCCCAGCTGGACGTGAACCTGCTGGGCAGCAGCGTCATCCACAAGGAGAAGCAGGTGCGAAAGAAGGAGCACAAGCTGAAGATCACGCCGATGAACGCCGACGTCATCGTCCTGGGCCTGCAGAGCAAGGACCAGGCCGAGCAGTGGCTCCGGGTGAGGGAGCCCCCAGGTGGCGGGGGGACAGACCTGCTTCCTGCCAGGGCTCCCAGGGTCACAGGGCTGCAGTGCTGGCTCTCCAGCTTTCCCCAAGACAGATGTATGCTGTCGAGGGTAAAGGGTCTGCGATGTGGTTCCCAGAGCCTCCTGCCTTCCTAGTGGCAGCTGTCAGTCTCGGGGGAGTGGGTCCCAGACCCTGCTTTTCATCCTTGTCAGTCACCTGGACTTGAGGCTCCAACTGAAATCGTTTTGTTTTCTGTCTTCTGCTGAGCATCACCAGCCTCCTTATTAAAGATCAGACGTGGCTGCCACTTGTTAAGTACTCACCTCGGGTCTTGGTCTCTTAACAAATGTAACTCACTCAACCACATGTCAGGAGCTGAGCCACGTGGATGTCCCCATTTGGGGACAGAGAATAGGGTTAAGGGGGAGGAGGGGACCAGTGAGGGTCAGCTGGTGAGTGACTCTCTGGGACTCGCCCAGGTGGCCCCTGGCTCAGAGCACAGGGGTGCTGCTTAGCACAGCCAGAGCCTCCTCTGACCTGCGTGTCCCCAGCCTCGGCCTGCAGAGCTGAGGGCTGTCTGCTCTGGCCTCCACTGGGCTTGGTTGTAAAAGAAACCCCTGCCCCGCCCTGTCCATCCCCAGAATGTGTGGGAGCCTGTAGGAGAGAGGGGGGCTAAGGAGCAAGCCCGCCCCTCACCCCATCGCAGTCTGCCAAGCTTGGTCCCGAAACCACCTGGGGGCCAGGTGTTGGGGTCAGGTGCTTCTCTGTTCTTAGGAAATCAGGCATCTTCTCTCACCTCTGCCCACTCCCCTGGCCTCGAGGGGCTCCAGCCTCAGTGAGTTCCGGCCGGGCCAAAGGGCCTCGGGGCCCAGGCCTCTGCTGATGGCCTTCCCTCACCCAGGTCATCCAGGAGGTGAGCGGCCTGCCTTTGGAAGGGGCGTCCGAGGGAAGCCAGTGCAGCCCCGATGCCCAGCGCCCGAACTGTCAGAAGGTAAGTTTCCACGCTGCCCTGGGGGGGTCCGTTCGAGGCCATATTTTCTCCATGAAAATTAAAAGTATAAAATTGGGAGCTTTCTTCTCACATGTCAGCCCAATTAATAAGAAAGGATATCAGGGCAGGGGTCCCTCCCGGCTTGCTGGAAACTAACGAAAGTGCCGCAGACCTGAAACGTAGTCTCGTTTGGTCGGGCGGCGCTCGGGGGAGCTTTACCCGGACAGTGGCACTCTGCCCTCTGCTCTTCGGTGGGAGGTTTATTCTCCGGAGTGCTCTCTTCCCCCTGACTCCCCAGTAGAGGTCCCAGGGCTGGGGGACCATCTGGGGGGGGACCATCTTGGGGGGGGGACCTGGACAGAAGGCTCATTTGCACGGAGCTGTCAGGCCCCTGCATAAGGGTCCAAGTTGAGGAAGCTGGGCTGGGTGCTGACCGAGGGGCAGGCCACCCCGTGGGTGACATTCCATGTCCCTGTGTACCTGCAGGTAGGTGCCCCGAAGCCCGGGTGTGAGCAGAGCAGCGTGAGGATCGCTGTGTCTCACCTTGGGGTCCCCACCCCTGACAAGGGCAGTAGAGGGTACACGGAGGGCTTGAGCAGGGAGGAGGCCCTTTGCTCTTTGGGAAGGCACAGGCCACCCCGTGGAGGAACACCACGAGTGACTGAGGAAGGGCTGTGGGGGTTGCCTCTTACTGCTCGGTCGTTGACAAGAAACGTAAATCAGAGGTGGCCTGGGTTTTCTCCACGTTGGGGTAAGAGACAAGGGTGTTCCCTGGGCGGGCACATCAGCCCTTGGTCCTGTGGCCAAGTCCCGTGGGTGGGGGGGTCCCATGGCTTACTTTGCAGAATTTGGAGTAAGCACCTGGGTCAGGGCAGGGGACCCTCAGGGAGGGAGCGTGAAGGCAGGTCCCCCAGAGAGCCCGGGGGAAACCCAGCCCATGTCCCACCAGTGTAACCTGGCTCCAGGGTGACCCCTAGAGTAATGTTGTTTTCTCTTAGATTGTAGTCTCCAAGGTAACCGTTCCCAGATAAGATTGCCCACTTGTCTCTCTCTCCCATAGCCAGATGCAACCGACAAGTACCTGTCAGCCCCAGAGTATGGCAGCTCCGTGGATGGCCACCCCGAGGCCCCAGAGACCAAAGATGGTACCAACACTAATGGCTTTCAGTCCAGGCTGGGGGGGAGGGGTCCCAAGCTGGGAGACTCGGCTGTGTGGCTCCACCCTAGTGGGATTGGACAGCTGATTCCAACCTGCCTACCTCCAATTTATAAACCACTTGGAAATACTATAGAGCTACCAGGTCTAGGGAGAAGGGACAGATGGCCGAACTGAAGTTCCGTGACCTGCTGGGGGCAGAACAGTATCTCACTTCTTGCTTCCTCACCCCATTTTAAGTGTCTTGGAGCCCACTCGGCCTGTAAAGTTTCTCCAGTGCTGACACATTCTACAAGAGAAGCTGGTGTGCCCCCCTGAGTGTGCGAATCCAGACACAGCTGACCCTGGGCTGTGGGTCCTGGTTTGGGGGGAGGAGTCTGTGTGTGGGTGTGCACACATGTGTACAGGGCAGGTGCAGTGGGAAGAGGCTTCTGTTTTGTTGCATCTGTCACAAGGACACGTGGGTGAGCCGTGTGCAATGCTGATGGCTTTCTCTCTCATCCGGACAGTCAAGAAGAAATGTTCTCCTGGCCTCAAGCTGAGCAACCTGATGAACCTGGGCAGGAAGAAGTCTACCTTGCTGGAGCCCCCGGAGAGGTCCCTCGAAACTTCCAGTGAGAATCGTAACCACCTGCTGGACCATGGGACACGTCCACTAGGCTGCAGCCCATCTCGGGGAGGCAGTTCAGACAGTGGCGGCAGGGGATCTAGGTCTTGCTTTAACCACGTTCAGGAGTGGGGAGCCTGTGGCTCGGGTTCTCTTTATCTTCATTGCAGGTAGTTCTTTTGGTTTCACCAGAGTGTCTCTTGCTGCAGTGCCAGATCTCCTGTGCAAGCGAAGGGTAATGGATTGCTGTCCTAGTGGTCTTTAAAATATGTGTTCACAGTGTCATGGAAAGGGGACCAAGCAGATGGAGAACACAGTCCTGAGCGCTTACCGCTCAGCAGAGATAGTAGCTTTACATCCGTGACCACGTACCTGCTGTCTTAGTAGCTGTTAAGGACTCAGGGGCAGAAAGAACCTTTCCTACCCTGTGGACAGAGATGGCTTCCTGGGCCTTGAAGGACAGGGCGGGTCTAAATGGGCTGGGATGGCACCTGGGGGCAGGAGCAGATTGAGATGCCGACAGGTAAGACACTTTCAGGGGCTGACAGAGGCCCCCGTTGCTGGGACAGAGGGTGGGTATGGGTGCTGGTGGGCTCTTAGAGGTCACCACCACTGCCCTCACTCAGCCTTGAGGAGACCGAGGCCAGGAGGGAGAGACCTTGCCCAGAAAATGTCTCGGGTGAGTCCGTGTGCTGGCGTTCACCCAGGGGCTCACTGCTGTAGCTCTCCCTGGGACCTGGAGGCCATTATCGTCCACCTCTGGCCCTTTCCTCTTACCCATGGAACCATGTCCCAGTGGGCTCATCTCCTGAGTCCCAGTTTGTTCCGTGATTTGAGGCTGGCCAGGGTGGAAGGGGTGGCAGCAGACGGAGCCTCACCTTTACAGCCTACGGCCCCTTCAGCCAAGGCCCCCCGTGGCCTCAGGCCACGGTGTTGGGCATGGGAGCCTGGGCCCAGTGAATCACTTTGGCAGATGTGGCTGGGTTATTGCTGGAAGTGACTAAGCAGCAACACATGCCCCTGTCCCCTGTGGCTGGGAAAGGGCTGGCGGGAACACAGATGCTCTACTTCCCAGGAATCGGCGTCAGCGCGCACTCCTCTCTCAGCCCGGAGTTCTGGGTTCACACCTCTCCTGGTCCAGAGAATGGTGATGGGCAGGTGGGGGTCCCTGCCCAGATGGGCCAGAGGTCTAGGTCCCAGGCTCCCATTCTCCCACTCTGCTGCCATGCTGTGACGGTCGCGTGGGTCTGGGAAATTCATGATCCCAACTGTGTGGGTGGGAAGGTGGCGGTGTATTTTGACCCTGCTGCATGAGCCTACTTATACCGGGTAAGGTTCTGAGCAACCGCCAAGCCCACAGAGTGGAGAAGGAACCCACTCTGTCAGCCAGTGCCCCTGGGAAGGTGAGTGGCACCGAGGGAGGGTCCGGCAGACTGGCTTTTCCTCACCTTCGCAGCCCCAGGGACAAGGCTGTGCTTGACACATGGTGTCAGCTCCCCAAACGTTCATCTAAGGCAGAGCTGAACACAACACATGCAACCACATGGGAACCAGGGAGTGGAGGGGCGGGGGGTTGCCCTGTGAGCGTGCCCCCGGCAAGCCATGTGCTGTCTGAAAGAGCGGCTCCCTGGTACAGAAGCTGCGGGACACAGACCCTGGTCGCTAGAATGTGCCAAGTTGTTGCCCTTGAGAAGCATTCGGTTCAGTTGGAGCGGTTGACGTGGGGGCAGATAGTTTCACTGTTTCCGAACCAAGCATTTGGAAGGAAGGCAGAGCAGGGAGAGCAGGATCCAGAGAGGGCCAAGGCCAAGTGCATCTGGGAGGCTGGGGAGCTGTTAGCCAAGCGGAGGAAGATTTCACAGGCTGAGACGGAGTGACCAGGGGATGGCAAGGCTGTGGGGGGCGGGGTGGAGCTGGAAAGATAAAGCTATAGAGGCAAGGGGATTGCACCTACAATGAGGAGGCCCTGGCGGGGAGGCCCACGAGCTTCCTGCACGAGGCCTAAGTGACCAGAGGTGGGCTGCTGTAGGCTGGGCACTCAGGGCGGTGATGAGGTCTGGGGTGGGGAATCTTCTGTCCTGTACACATACAGAGGGGGCTGGGGTAGTTCAATATGCAACTGACTTCCCTGGGGCACACCTTTCCCCCGACAATACACTGCTCTACTTTGGAGGGTCTAACCGATAGCATGAAGGAGAGGGAAGGAATATGCCGTGAGATTCACACCCTCTGTGAGTTTCACGTTTTGGAACTGAGATTCTGGGGGAAGTCCTGGGAGGCCCAGAGGTGGGGCGGCCACCCAGACCTTCCTGCAGCCGCATCCTCCCCCGCAGGTTACCTGAACGTGCTGGTGAACAGCCAGTGGAAGTCTCGCTGGTGCTCCGTCAGGGACAGTCACCTGCACTTCTATCAGGACCGGAACCGAAGCAAGGTGGCCCAGCAGCCCCTGAACCTGGTGGGCTGTGAGGTGGTCCCCGACCCGAGCCCGGACCACCTGTACTCCTTCCGCATCCTCCACAACGGGGAGGAGCTGGCCAAGCTGGAGGTACTGCAGCCTGGGGGTGGCGGGGGCACACGGGAGTGGTCCTGGGCTGTTTTTGCTTCCTTTGTTTTGTTTGCCCGAGATTGTTTGCTTTTTCAAAAATTTCCATTCCCTTTCTGACCTCAGGGCGGTTGTGTTATAGGAGTAGACAATGAGCTACTTCCTGCGCTTAGGGCAGAAGGGGTATTTATAAATCTGAGCTGCTGGAAAACCTTCTGGGGATTCACAGTGGGTTGGATTTAGTCTGTGTACCACCAGATGCAGCCTGGTATGTAAAAATGATGCCAGTTAGAGCTTATCTAAGGGGAAGAATCAGGTTTGTGATACAATTACATTTCTCCCACTCCCCACCCTGTTTAACGTGATGTCACATTTGCAAAAATAAAAGGTGGCATAATGCCTTGCACTGAGCTGGGAAGGTCCAAGCCAGAGTTCACGCGCCCAGAAGTGCTTGCTTCGTTCACTCCCATTCTGCCTAGTCCTTTATCCAGGAGGCTTCATCCAAATGTTGCCTCAATACTGCCCTCTAGCAGCCAAAAGATCCACACCCCAAGTGCTTCTCAGGGACAAGTTTGTACATCTCTGTCCAATTAACAAGTTACCCATTAAGCATGATAACATATGAACAAGACATGTATGTTCCCTATCCTCATGGAACTTAGGTTCTGGTATGCAAGTAAGATGTTATTCACTTAATCACCTTGATTACTTAGTAACAGTGTCCAGAAGGTGGTGGGAGGGAAGGGGGGGTTGCTCCTAAGAGCAACGGGAGACCCACTGGGTTTCAAGGGGCGGTGGCATGCTCAGATTTGGATTTTGAGGTGCTCTGTCCACCTGTCGTGGGGAGTGGATGGAAAGGGGACAGGAAGGAACATAATGAGACCTGGTAGGAAGCTGTTACAGTGGCCCAGGGCAGACAGAGTGGGAGCAGGCAGGAAGGATGCCCAGGGAACGTTGTATCCGAGAAACCCACGTGAAAATAAAGGGGAAGGGGCAGCCAGGTGTCAGCCTCGGCGTACAGCTGCCTCCCGGGTGAAGAGGCCACAGCAATAAGGTGGCGGAGCTGGGTTGCGCGGTGCCCAGCGGGTGGCTATTTCTCGTCGTGAAAACAAACCTGCAGTGTTTTTGTGGAATCCCCAGCTTTTTCTCGTTATCAGGGCAGGAAACCACCAGGGTATGTACTTGATCGGAGTGCACTGTGCCCTGGGGAGTCCCCCAGCCCCAGTGTCGCTGGGCTTTAGCTCACGATTTATCAGAATCATGCTCAGTGTAAGGTATTCAAGACATCTGGGTTATTGGACCTACCACCGAGAATGAAGTTCAATGTTATTTCTTAGCAGGGCATCCAGGCAGTCTTGTATGGACAGCTTAGGGTGATGCACCAACATGTCACAGTTCAAAGAGCAGAGGTGTCAACCTAGAATATGTGTGATTTTAATTATCCTCTCCTGGTCCAATTAGCCTTCTAGAAATGCATGCATATAAATCACACGTGACGCTTAGGACGAATGTCCACAGCATCACTGGTGTGGCATCAAGGTATCACCAGTGGCAGATGTTATTTGGGTCCCTGGTGAAAGAGAAGGACCATGGTCCTGGCTCTCTGAGTCCTTGTCCAGGGTGGGCATCAGGACCAGGGTGGCAGGGAGGGGTGGCCACTGCAGCCCTGCTCACACCCTTCTCTGCCTCCTCCCAGGCCAAGTCTTCCGAGGAAATGGGCCACTGGCTCGGCCTCCTGCTCTCCGAATCAGGCTCCAAGACAGACCCGGAGGAATTCACCTACGACTATGTGGATGCAGACAGGGTTTCCTGTATTGTGAGTGCGGCCAAAAGCTCTCTGCTGTGAGTATCATGGGCCTTCTGCTCCTCACCCTTCCACGCCCAGTCATGCTTCTAACGCTAGGCCCAGATTGGCCTCTGGTGGCCAGCTGAGCACTCAGGGTCAGCCTGGCGGCCAGAGGGCCAAGAGCTGGGCCAGGCCTGAGCATCTGCAGCATGTGACTTAGGTTAGCTTCTCTCCCTCCTTACGGCAGAGTCGGCACGTCTCCTGACCCTCCACATCCCTTGCTGTTGGCTGGGCACATTCCTAAGGACCCCGCTCTGGGTGCACCCTGGAATAGGCAGGGTGGAAGTGCTACTTCCCGCTTTCCCGATGGGCAGATGGGCTCAGTGGGGGAGGAGTGGTCCCGGCCCATGAGTGAGGAGCCACCCGTGAGACATGAAGCAGGTGCTTTTCTTGTGTACGAAATGGGGCAAGTCTCCGGTCTGTGCTGCCCCAAGTGAATCATGAGGATGGAATGACAAAGGGCTTTGTTGTTGTTGGAGACACCAAAATGGAGTCCAAAGATGGCAAAAGGATGCTAAGGTGGTGGGGGGGCGGGTGCTGGGGAAAGGGAAGTTTTTCTGGAGGAGAAGTTTGGAACCCAGTTCCAGTACCAAGGCCCTGGGAGCAGAGGCAGGAGCTGCCCCTGCTGAGTGAGGGAGTGTTCAGATGAGGCCGGAGCCAGGCCCCGGGCTCCCACCCTGCCTTCAGCTTTCACGGGGCCTCTCGTCCTGCACTCGTTGAGGCTGATGGCTTTCACCACCCCGTCTTGAATGCTCCTCTCCGTGTCTTGCCGTGTGTCTTCCAGACTGATGCAGAGAAAGTTCTCAGAGCCGAACACGTACATCGACGGGCTGCCCAGCAAAGACCGCCCGGATCTGCTGTATGACGAAGTGGAGATGTCGGAGCTGACAGCCGCGGTGAGGATGTGCGCGGGGGTGGCCCGGGGCTCCTGCCCCCCAAACTCAATGCCATGTCACCTTGGCCCTAAGAGGGGTGGGTTCCCAGTCACCTGCAGGGCCATGAGTGCAGAAATCTAGGGGCAGCCAGTCCCCTTTGGGACTGGGGCAGGTGGTTCACCTGGCCTGGAACTCATCTGGGTGAAACGGCTGGTTACCCACCCTGGTCAGTGCGAGGGTGGGCTGTTGGGACTGGCCGCTGAGGAGGCCGGAATCATTGCATTGGTGGGAGGTTCCGCGGGTCAGACACTGTGCGGTGGTCGGGGCTGCTGTGGATTCTCTCATTTCATCCTAACCACCTTCTAGGGAGGTACATCACTGTGTCCTCTTATGGATGAGGAAATGAGGTTCAGGAAAGTTAGTACTATGGCCTGGGTCTCCCACCTTTTGAGTGGTGGATCCAGAACTTGAACCCTGACCTTACCTTCTAACTCCAGCTCAACAAGGGGCTTCCCTGAGGGAGGGTCCCTGCCCACTCCACCCAGGGAGGGAACAGGAAAGCTGAGGCAAGGTGGGTGCTGCCCCTCTAGCCCAGGTCGCGGAGGCAGTGGTGAAAGCCCCCTGCCTCTTTCCACTGCAGGTGGATTCCGAGGAAGCCACCCCTGCCACAGATGCTCCAAGCGAGCCCACTCCTGACCACGTGTACCTGGACCTCACGCCGGTCAAGTCCTTCCTGCACGGCCCGGCGGGCGCCCAGACCCGAGTGTGCTCCCCCACTCCGCCCTGCCCAGACCCTCCCACCGAGCCTCTCCCTGCAGACCCAGGCCACACTTCAGATGAGCCGTTCATCAAGTCCGCAGAGACCCCCGAGTCACAGGTACAGGTTGCCCCCCAGCTGGTGAGCCAGCCCCACCTTCCCAGGCCCCTCAGCCAGCTGAGCCGTGTTTGTTTTCTCCAAAAGCAGATTCAACAGGAGAGTCCAGAGCCCGAGGAGGCTTCACAGAGAATCACAACAGTCAAAATCCAGACCGAACAACAAAAAATCTCCTTCCCACCGAGCTGCCCCGACACTTTGGCCACCTCCCCAGCCGGGGCTGGCACACCTGTGAAGGGCAAGTTGAGGGTGACTCCTGCAGGTACCTGTGCTGGATAAGACCTAGATGTCTTGGAAATGGCTCAGAGAGGCAAAGGGACTTGCCCCGGGTCACACAGTGAAGAAGGTGTGAGACCCGTTTTCTCTACCGCCCCTGCTTGGCCAGCCTGGCATCCGGCTCTGGCTCCCTGTCAGAGCTCCGGGTTCCCTCTGAGCCTGTGCAGTGAGTTGGGGTCAGCCCTCGTGTTCCAGCCTGGCTGAGCTGCGGGTTCCCCTCTCTGGCTTTGCAGAGATCAAACTTGGCAAGAACCGGACAGAAGCCGAGGTGAAGCGGTACACGGAAGAGAAGGAGAGGCTGGAGAAGCAGAAGGAAGAGATCCGGGGGCACCTGGCCCAACTCCGGAAAGAGAAGCAGGAGCTGAGAGAGACCCTGGTAAAGTGCACAGGTGAGGGCCCGCCCGGGGGAGGAGCCTGGACCCGGCCCGCAGTCTGAGGCCTTGCCGACCTCCAGCACAGGTGCATGGTCCCCCTCAAAGTCCTCTCCCTCCTGTCTAAAAGGTCGCTGTCTTGTGCAGAGAGACCCCGACCTCTAGGACAGGTGACTTTAAAAGCTGGCTAAAGGAGGACACCTCGGAAAGTTGCAGTTTGTTTGACCTGAAGCATTTTATTTTCACTTAAAGTAAATGTACACTCCCGGGTCCATCGTTGGACAGAGTGCCTCTTCCTGAGGTCCCATGTCATCATTCCCGAATTAACCACACGTGTCCTGCATTATCCTTAATTTCCAGCCTTCAAAGACTTAGGACACTGGCAAAGGAATCTGAGTCCCTCTAGATTCTTTTCTAGATCATCCCGTATCACCCGTCAGCCATTTTCTAGCCACTTGCCTTTTAAAGGACCCTCCCTACAGACGACTGACTTAATTCCCCTTCCACCCTGACTGGTGTGGCTCAGTGGATTGAGTGCCAACCTGCGAGCCAAAGGGTCGTTGGTTCAATTCCCAGTCAGGGCACATGCCTGGGTTGTGGGTTGAGGGACCAGGTCCCAGGTTGAGGATGTGCAAGAGGCACCCACACATTGATGTTTCTCTCCCTCTCTTTCTCCCTCCTTCCCCTCCCTAAAAATAAATATCTTAAACATTTTCCCTTCTAGACAAAGGAGTCCTGGTCAGCCTGGAGCAGAAGCTGAAGGAAATTGATGAGCAGTGCAGGGAGGAGGAGAGAAGGCGTGTGGACCTGGAGCTCAGCATCGTGCAGGTGAAGGACAACCTGAAGAAGGCCGAGGCCGGGCCCGTGATGCTGGGCACCACAGTGGACACCACCCACCTGGAGAATGTGAGCCCCCAAGTGAGTGCCGTGGTTCCCCTGAGCCGCTGGACTGGAGTCGGGGAGGGGGGCATGTCCCTCTCCCCCTGACACAGGCCTCACTCTCTCCTGTCACCACAGCCCAAAGCTGCCACCCCCACCCCAGACTGTACCCCTGTCAACTCCGCAACGGCGCTCAAGAACAGACCTCTTTCCGTCATGGTCACGGGCAAAGGCACCGTCCTCCAGAAAGCCAAGGTAAGTGGACACTCCCAGCCTCCTTCACAGCCACCAGTGGGCAGCAGAATGGTCTCTAAGTTGGGGCCCCTCCTGTGACCTGGGTGGCACTTTCCCAGCAGAAGCGGCCACCACTCAGCAGAAGCGGCCTAGGGCCTCCATTCTACCTGTGGCTTGGTCTCTGGCTCTCACCAGTCAGCCTGAGGACACGAATCCTTGCGCTGCCCTCCACCCATACGTCATCCATAGATTCCGGGGGCTGGGGACCAGCTACAGCTCAGGGACAGACTGGAACTGGCCAGTTTTCAAACTACAGAGCCACTGATCCTAAAGGGATCAACCGAAAACTTGACCCAATCCGGGCAGGTGACGTGAGCTGCCGGAAGCCTCCCGCCAGCAGGTGACGAAAGGCTCGGGAAGGCGTCGGTGTGGAATGGATGCCATGACTGGGTTTTCCCGAGGGCTGGACAAAAGTGTTATTAATACTTTACGCATTTGTGCAGCAAGGGACGTGCCCAGAGCTGCCTGTGCCTTTGGCAAACTTGGCTCCTTATTTCGCTCCTGCGGGTGGTGTTTTGCGACACCAGCACTAATAATGACTAAGCCTCGAGTGCACAGGAGTCACTCCTGGCACGCTGTCCTGTGCCGCAGCCTCCGGGGCTCTTCCCAGGTGTCCCACACCGGGACGAGCACAGAGGGTAGGAAACAGAATTGCTCTCTCTCCCCTTGTTTCTAGGCATAGGGGCACTGCCACAGCAGATAACTAACTTTCTTCTTTTTGGGGGGCGGGCGCTGGTATTTGAATGCCACCGTAGGAGTGGGAGAAGAAAGGAACAAGTTAGGAAACAAGCTTTCTCCAAAGACTCTGCTGTCAGCATGGACCTTGGTGACAATCTGGCTTCGTTCAAGTCTTCGGTCAAGCAGCAGCTCTGTGACAGGGTGAGTCCATGTGGCAGGAAACAGCAGGACAGGGGCGCTGCGCGTGGAGACCGTCGGCCAGGAGGCAGCTCTGGCCCCTTTCACAGCAAAAGAGTGAGTTCGACAGAAAAAAAAGAGTCGTGATCTTAGCATCGATGCCATGTATGACATGCTTTTTGAGACATGGTAACAGGAGAAAATTGGGGGGGGACCAAGCGGAAGCACTGTCCCCACTAAGTTAAGGACTTTTTAAAGTGACACTGTATTATATAAATCCTGTAATTTAGAACAGAGAAGTGTCTGTTGAGATTTAACAGACTTTTTACATCCCCATAGAAAAAAGATTACCTTGTGTTTACAGATTCAGTCCCGTGGCCAGGCCATTCTTAAGAGAAGAGTTATTTAATATAATGCTCTCATAGTCCCCGTTTTTTAAGTTGTGCCTATTGCCCAGGCCCCTTCCAAGGAAAAAAAAGTGGTTTTTGTTTGGGGTGGTCTCCGTGTTCTCGTAAAATGGGCAGCAGTGCCCGCTCTAGTCTTCGAGGGTATTGTTTGTGGGACACCGGTTGAAACATTTCATCTGCCATCCTGCCTCACATCCCTCGGGGCTGTGGACCAGAGTTCTCTGACACTGGCTCCTGGAAACTAAAGGCCTTCTCATTCTTGTCTTTCTAATCCCAGGGCATTTATTTCCTCTGTCATAAACACTTGGTGTCTTTGGACCAAGTGGCGAGTTACATTTTTTGTAAAGGAATAAAATGTTCATTGCATTTTGGGGTTGTCTCGTAGTTCATGGGATGGCTTGGGGCAGGGCTCAACGATTTCTGCTTTAAGGGGGGAACATCGTGGCTATTTACACACCGAGCTTCAAAATACATGCCATAAAAACTGGTAGAGCCACAAAGTGGGGTCTTAGCCGGAGGTGTTAAGTCTCTTTAACTCTAGCAGCACGGGATTGTCATAGTATAACTAACCATGTACCAAATCCACTAGAGAACACCTGCAGAAACTGGTCATACAACTGACTGAAAATCAATACTCCTAGTGGTTAAACGCATTCCTGAATAATTCCTGGGGGAAGGAAACCAGTGCTCAGAAAGTCGCCTAAGGAGTAATTAAGAAAATTCCTAGCGTAAATGTGCTTATTTTTAAAATGACAAAATCTGCCAATATTTTTCTGTAAGACTTTTTCATTATGCCCCAAAATAAGGCTTGCTTTCTTTTTCGCATTTTTCTTTTGGAGTTTTGGTATTAGAGCTATGCTGACTTCCTAAAACAGAGAGTACATATTTCTCAAACCGCTACATTCATAGCATCTGTTTGTAACTTACCAAATCCCGTGGCCCAGGCACGTCAGGCCCCCCTGTCGGGTCGGCCTTTGCTGTCGCCTCAGGTTCTTTCATTGTATCAGTGTTCTCAGTGAGCCGGATTTTAGGTGTATCGTGTTTTAAATAAGCACATTCATGCTGTGTTTGATGGTCATGACCACACAGTGTTTACCCAAGGAATCAAGGTGGGTCAACCACCGAAAATATGCTTACAGGTAACTTACCACATGACCAGGTTAAATGTGAAAAGCACCATCACGAGGGAAACACGGCACACATCTCAACACGCCTAATGGGTAATCTTTGTAATCTGGGAATAGAAGCGTTCTTACCCTTACAAGCGATCCACAGAAAATAATCCCTAATGGTGAAAATGTCCTGCATGTCCAGATACACACCACTGCCACTAGTTTTTAAAACATTACTCTGCAGGTCCTAGATAACCCAAAAATAATGAGAAAAGTATGTATAAAGCTCCAAAAGGAAGAGACGAAACTCATTATTTGTCAATGATATTCTTCTAGAAAAGAGAAAGAATCGAATATTCGTACAAGTGTGTTCAGCAAGTTGACTGGAATGAGGGTCATTGAGAGAAAATAAAAGATTTATGGCTTACTGGCAATGTTTTAAATTTCCTATATAATTAAAAGCCAATTTCTTTTAATAGAAAGAAGGTGGCTTGAATTCTCTTTGCTGCTACTGGGACATTGAAAGGATTCACCTACTCAATGGTGCCTTCACTAGAAAAGGTAAAAAAATAAATAAAAGAGTTTCAAGAGCTAGGACCTCATACTAGAAACACTAAGCCTTCAATATGTAGCCCAGGGTTTTGTGTTTGGTTTTTTTTTTAAGTCCAAACAGTTCAAATGGGGCGTCCAAATAGCCTTGAACCAGGTAACCCACAGTATAAAATGATTAAACTGCCGCGAGTTTGAAAGACAAGGGATTCATGTCAGTTCTCCAACTTCACCTACCGGCACCTGCTGGGTGTGGGTGGACATGAGGCCTTGCTCTGATGTGGCCTCTTGCCAAACTCAGGTTGCTAATGTCAGCAATGAAACTATCCCAAAGGACTGTGGTGACGGTCTTCGCACAGGAGACATTTTATTTCCACGGTGATCACCTCTCTCGAGTGCTTCCCCAGCACCCGAAATCCTGACACTCTAGAAGGAGCAGCCTGATCATTGGCATATAAAGCATGGCATTACCTATATTAAAGGGAAAGGCTGTGACAGTGACTGGGTTTAGGTCAGAGCTCGCCGACAGTGTTTACTGAAAACTGAGCCCGGAACAACACAACCGGGGAAGAAGAACTGACGCCTGCATACACACAGCAGGGGTGAGGGAGGCCGGGTTTGCCAGAGCGCATTCCAATATACACCTCTTTGCCATATCGATACAGATACTTCCGTTCAATAAATACCCAACATCGTTTCTTCACATCCTTTAAAAACCACACATACAAAAGCAAAACACGGCCCTAGACCTGCATAAAACACGGCATAAGACCTGCATAAAAAAACGAAAGCCCTCTAAAGTGTCTTTCTCCTCTATTTGCTGAGTTTAAGAATTCGACCACTCTTTGCCCCACTAAAAGGAGAGTAAGCAAAGCACCCAGTAAACACCCCACAACTCACCCCTGCTAAGCAAACTCTGAAGGAAGCCCTCGCACCACCCTCCAAGAGAATGTGGCCTGGCACCCAGGCCAGCTGCACACGGCCCCTCAGAACCAGGGCTGTTTGCGCCCTTAGCCCCTCCCCCACAGTCAGACAGGCTGGTGGATCAGTCACAGTCCAGTCTGGGGCTTTTCTGAGTCTCTCCCCGACACAGATCCGGCAGGCAGAAATCACAAATGCTGCTAAGTTCCTTTTCGAACCCGAAACACGAATGCCTCTAGGACATCTTTATGGAAGGATGTGTGAAAAGGTCCACACTTTCTCCGTCTTGAAATGCCATCGCGACAGGTCCCAACGATCCTCTAGTCACTGCCTCCTTGTGAGCGTCACTGTCCCAACAACAATCTACGGGCCATCTGCTGGGTGGGCCAAGTGAGCTTCACACAGGCCCTCCAAAGTCTCCAGGGTCCTTTGTTTCTCCTCAAGGGGCAGGTGACCGGGGACAAGCTCAACAGGGCACAGCTGGGTACAGAAAGCAAACATTTACTTACATGTCAGGAGTTTTCAACATCGTCATTAGGGGGTGAAGCCAACTGCTACCGTGTCCCTAAGCAGCGCAGTCTGTAGCTGGGACATCTCTTCTCCCTGGGTGAGGGAAGTGGGCGGAAGGGTCCGGGACAGAGCAGGAGGCTTGTGCACACAGGACCCCAAGACGGGATGCTCCGCTGAGGCCAGGCGTCCTTTCAGCGTCCCTGGTGGCCAGGCCTTCTCCGGAGGTGCTGGGTGGGGCCTGGCTGATGCCCAGCTGCAGGCTGTCGGCGGCGGGAGCCCCGTGGCTGGAGGGCATCTCCTCTCATGGCTCCTGGGGAAGAAGCGAACTTTGAGGACTGAGGTGTGTCTGAATCCTCTCACCCAATCAGCAGCCATGTGGGGGCCTGCATGTCTTGTTCTTACTCCACAACCCAAGCGAAAGACGCCAGTCAAAGGGCCCTTCAGATCCACTCTCTGGCCTCCAGGAAGCCAACCTCTGCCAGCGACTGAGAACCCAAGGCTCCAACGGGAATCCTGGTTGCGGCATTCTAACTGTAAACACACCAACAGGCCCCAGGTGGGCCTGGACTGCTGCCCGATAGTCATTCTCTACAACGGTAGTCTGGTCCGCCTCCCTCCAGGGTGGTTACTCCTCTCCTCTCCAGCCTCCTGCACCGCCCCCCACCCTCACTCTCTGCAGATTCCTCCCACTTCGCTGAGCAAGGGGAAACACTCAAAACAAAACTCCCGCCAGCTCCCAGCACATCTGCCCACCCACCTGCATCTGGGCCCGCACCCTCCGTCGCCCAGGCCCTCTGGATGCACCGTGCTCCTAACCGAGGTCTCCCTCGGAGCCTTCCTCCTGATCTCCATTATTTTGCTCACGTGCGGAGTAGCATCCAATCTACTACACGTTCTACTTATTTACTGCCTGGCTCCCCCACGTGCACAGAAGCTCCACGAGGGCAGAGACTCTGACCATCTCCCTCACTGACAGATTCCCCACACCCAGAACGATGCCTGGAACATAGGAGGCCCTCGCTACGTGTTTCTTGCGTGAACAAACAATGCTATGATTCCTCCCATGGAGCCAACACCTGGAACCTGACTTCAGCTGAGTTCCCTGGGCTCAGCCACCCCCCACCTCACAGGTGCAGAGCAAGGCTTCCACTCACGGTTCTCGCAGTGGGGGCCCTCCCAACCATCTCGGCACGTGCAGAGGTAACTCCCGTTGCGCAGGACACAGGTGCCCTCATTCATGCAAGGGCTGGGTTTGCAGAGGTTGATGGGCCGCTTGGCTTCTACAAGAAAGGGCCCAGCAGGCGCAGCCCAGGTCAGCCTCAAAGACCCCCTCCTCTAAGGAAGCCCCATAGAGCTGTGAGGCCCCGAAGGTGGGGTCTTACCCATTCTCGTGCTGCTGCGGGCCCTTAAGCCACAGGCTAGTGCGTGGGTGGTGCTCCACACTGCCTGGCCGGGTCAGAGAGCTAACTTGCACCCAGCTTTCCTACCTGCACGTGGAGACTGTCTCTCAATGTGCTGGGCTCCCAGCACCACTTCCACAGAATGGCCACGTACTTTAAAACAGGCGGGAAGGATGCCATGGCGAAAGGAGGCCCTGGAGCCAGGTGCACCTGCTCTGTTGGCCCCTTGCTCTGGCATTCACTACCAAGGTCAGCGAACCTTGAGGGATGTGTTGGTATCCTAGTGATCGGAGATGTCTTCTGTTTAAATGGAATACATACACTCTCAAGTGTGGGGAGGGGTAGCTGTGTTAAATTTTCTGAAGCCTGAATGTCAAAATAGGACATTCAGGCTCTAGAAATGACTGCGTCTACCACAGGACGTCCCATGAACTTGGGATTTAGTACAGAACCTGGCACATGGAAAGCACCCAGTAGCCAGGAAGAGCTGTGTTCTTTGTAAAGATGTATGTGAAGGTTCAGGCTGAGGTGGGCCGTCTCGGAAGCAGCCCTGAAGGGTGTGGATTCCCCTACTCACCTCCACAGAGCCACTTGACGAGTGTGTCCTGGTGAAACCTCAGGTCTGTGTAGGCCGCCACGTGGATCAGGGAGTCCCGGGGACCCGCAAGCCTCCGCAGGGAGTCCCTCAGCACAGCCCCCACGCCCACCACCAAGACAGACACGCCATTGTTCCTCAGCTTCTGGGCAGGGACAGCTGCATCCTCTGCCCCCCGCCCACCTGTGAGCACCACCACAGCCTTGGGGACACCAGGCCGGGCGCCCCTCTGAACAGTCATCACCTTGTCATAGATATGCAGCAAGGCTGTGCCTGCCGAGCCCACCCCACCCAGGTAGGGGGCCTGGCTCATGGCCCGCAGCACTGCAGGACGGGTGACGTGGCTGTCCAGCCCGAAAACTGTCTGGACCTGGCTGCCGTATGCCACCAGGCCGATCTGTGTCACATCAGGGTTCACGTCAAATTGGAGGGTGCAGCTTCTCACGAAGCTCTGCATCTGGGCGAAATTCTCAGGCCCCACGGAGGCCGAGGCGTCCAGCACGAAGACCAGGTCCAGTGACTGTGCCTGGCAGCCTGCGGAAGCAAGCAGAGTGGCCTCAGGGTCAGCCTCTGCCAGGTGGAGCCCTGCCTCTAGACCAGGCCAGCAAGGTGGCGACAGCAGTCTACTGTCTGTCCACCGCAGTGGCCACCCTCCGCCTCCTGCTAGAATATCAGTGGGACGTAGGATTGCCTGGCTAGACCAAACTCTCAGCCTCCCTGGCAGCTAGGTGTGGCTGTGCATCTAATTTCTATCTGATAGGATATGATGGGGACTAATTGTGCAATTTCCAAGTTATATCCTCAAAAGGAAGCTGCTTGCCTTCCACTCCCCCTCTCACCCTTCCTGCTGAGAAAGTGACCTTGGACTTGGAGGCAGAACAACATGGTAGCCAAGCCACCCTGCTGGCCCAGGCCACTCACCTGTGAATGGTTACGAGAGAAGTAAATGTCAATCATGTGCAATCCATTGACCTCTGAGGACCCTTTGTGAGGGCAACCTCACCTGCACCCTCATCCACCCCATTACTGAGCACCCTCCCTGTGCCATGCACTGTATACAAGGTACTAAATATACCAGGTGGACAAATTGGGCCAATGCCTGCCATGGTGGGCTGACGGACCATGGAGAGGCAGGCATGAATCCAATGTAGAATTACAAATTATATGAGCAGCCATGAGGAAAAAAGCAGGGTAGAGGGGCCAGCAGGAGCAACGTGAGCAGATTGGAGATGTGATCAGGACTTCTCTGAGGAGTTGGAGTCGGTCTGAGCTGGAGGTGGGGGAGGGGCCCTGAGGTGCTCCCCACCCTACGCAGGAGCAGCAGAGAGACCCGCAGGGACCAGACTGCAGGGAGCTCTCCGAAACCAGCGGGAGTTTGGCTTGCATTCCAAATGCAGAGGGGAACCACTGGAAACCTTAAGTACAGAGTAAGGGGATTTGATTTATAGGTTGTTGAAAACCACTCTAGCTCAAGGAAGGCCGAGACGCTGTCACAGCCGAGAGGAGTTTAAGAAGACAATGACTAATGTAATGTGGTGTCCTGGAGGGAATCCTTGGGACTGAAAAAGAACGTTAGGTTAAAACTAAGGAAATCTGAATAATGTATAGACTTTAGTAATGCTTCACCACTGCTTCCTTCATTGTGACAACTGCACCTTGTGAACATCATACAAGAGGGACGGAGAGTGTCCACATATGAGAACTCTATCCCTGTCACAGGTTTTCTGTAAATTGAAAACCCTTTTAAAAAAACCTACTCTGGCTGCCACGGGGAGACAAGACTGGAGGGGCAAGAAGGAAGGTCTCACCAGACAGACCTCTGGGGCCGAGGAGCTGAATCCCACATGCGGCTTCCTCCTACCACCACTGCGGGAGAAATTGGGGGTCCCGTCCAGGACACGTTTCAGCTCCCACATCTTGTGCCATGGGCCAAGCCCTGCCCACCGACAGGAATGTCTGCTCCCAGGGGGCAGCATTCTCTAAACACCCCAATGGAGGGCCACAGAATCAACTGCATGGGTCCCAACTTCAATGGGAAATAAGAGAACACATTTCAGGTAGACAGGACGAGCACTGTTCCATGAAATGTTTCAATTGTGTGTGGGTGTGCACGTGAGTGTGTAGACACAGTGGGAACGTACCCACCTTCCATAGAAGCAGCTGGAAGGCTGCCCTTCTATAGCATGCTTAGTAGATTCCGAGCTCCTTGTTAATAATAATAAATGAATAAAAATGATGACAAATAGCAATGCCTACTATTTTCTGAGTGCCTACTCCGTGGACATGGCTTGTCCTACTTAATCCTCACAAAACCCCTCCAGAAGGTGCTATTACGGGCCCCATTTTATCGACCAGTACACTGAGAAGTTACTCCTGTGGCTAATACATAAAAGTGGTTCCAGCCCATGGACAGAGGCCTTGGTTAAGTGGTAGAAAAGGCAAAGGCCTGCTCCTGACCGCCGGCCCAGGGTCAGGCTGAGGTTGCTCCGCAGCGGGCAAGGGCACCTGGGTCTTACCTGGCCGCGGCCGGCTACACAGCTTCCCCTGCAGCTCTGGGATTTGGTCGAACAGGTCCTGGGGGTCGGCATAGACCATGACGTGCTCTGGGCTGCCCGTGATCTCCTCCAGCTCCGCCCGCACGGCCTCGCTGCCCATGCCCAACAGGAGCAGCTCTTGGGCCCTCGCGTGACGCGCCGGGCCGGCCACCTCGTCCTCAGAGCGTGACTCCGTGAGCAGGACCACCACTCGGCGAGGACGATCCTGGCCGGTCCTGCGGGCGCTCCCAAAGCCACGCTCTGCCACCTGTCGCAGGGCCCTGCCTGTGAGCGTGGCACCTCCGCTGAAGGGGATGGCATCCAGGCTCCTGACCAGGTGGGGCACGTCCTGGTACTCGCCCACGGGCACTGCCACCTCCAGCTCCTGGCTGTACCGGGCCACACCCACACGGGCCCTCGAGTCCTCATTGAGCGACGCCTGCACAAACCGCTTCACGAAGGCCTTGGCCTGCAGGAAGCCCTCCGGCGTGGTGCCCGCCGAGCTGGCCAGCAGGAAGAGGACATCGATTCTGCATTGCAGGCTTAGCGTCGGGGCTGCAGAATCACAGCGGCCGTCACATGGTCACCGCCCCACCCAAGAGGCCCCAGCAACCCACTAGGCAGGAGAAACCCCTGTCCCTGGAGGGAGACAGGGTGGAGAGACTGAGGGCGCATCACAGAGAGTTTCCTCCTGGCTCTAGCCAAGGATCTCCACCCAGCCACTATTTAATAACACGCTCCGTGTTATAACTCCCCCCCATGACGGTTGGTGCTTCTTGTGTCCTGTTTGAGAAATCACAAAGACACGCTCCGATGGGAAAACAGAGGGTTCCCGGCTCTGCCTTTTACACTGAGATCTATGATCCGTCTGGAATCGATTTTTGTGGGCTTGTGAAGTAGAGGGTGGAGACTGATTTCTCCCATGTACCTCTCCAATGGACCCAGCTCTATATATTTTTTAAAAATTTATTAAACCCCTACTATGTATCAGGCATTGGGCTAAGCACTTAACATACAGAGTGGGGCAAAAGCTCATATGGGAAATAATACAATAATTAATAAATAATAGCAGGATAAACTTGTTTTGTGTGCTCACCACTGTAAACCTGCTTTCGCCCCACCCTGTGCGTAATCCGATTTCAAGATCCCAACAAACCTATGGGGTGAAGCCCATTACAGTCCCCATTTCATAACTTTTAAACCAAAAAGGGCTGAGGCTCCTGCTCCTAGCAAAGGGGACAAGTGACTCTGCCCAGAGCCAGGACCCCAAGTTGGGCTGGCCCCAGGCTGCAACTGGGCTCAGCGGCGCTCAAAGGTCAGGCGGTGGCCATTCTAAAGCTCATCACTGAGCCTAACCCACTGTCCTCCCTGGAGCCCCACCAGCTGAGCTGTTTACTAGAGGGACACTCAGAGGCCATATCACGGGAGACATCACAGCAGTGGTGGACTTGGTTAGTAGGTGTCTCTAAGCCTCAAGGGCCAGTTTCTACCTAGTAGCTTGAGCGGGGAGAGGTGAGATGGGGGGAGCCTGGACACCACCGCTCCCCAGTGGTCCCCAATGGTCCATCTTAGAAGCGCCTGCACACGTACCGCAGTTAGCCTCCCCTCTGAAGGCGGGTGGGCAGAGGCAGTGGTACCTGTCCAGTCCTTCTGGAACACACGTGCCTCCATTCCGGCAAGGCTGTGAGTCACAAGGGCCTGAGAGAGAGAGATGCCCATTAACAGCCTGGCACGCCCCCAGGCATGAGTTCGATGGGCCCCCCTGCTCCACCACAGGAGGCACCCCCCACCCCCGGGGACCATAAGAAAACTACTGGGTTAGCCCAAAAGCTTGTTTCGTTTTTTTCTGTACATGGCTCTAGTAGCACTTACTTGTCTTTAAGTTCATTTGAAACAACTTGGTTGGATTACATTGCAATAGCTGTCGTATCAGTGTGCATTTAAAGAAAGCCATTATTTAACATGGGTGAATTTTTGTGCAGCCATTTTAACATTGAAGATAGAAGAAGATACACAACATTTTTGGCATATTATGCTCAATTATTTCAGGGGAGGTAAAAATGCAACTGAAACACATACAAAAAAGAAATTATGCAGTGTATGGAGCAGGTGCTGTGACTGATCGAATGTGTCAGAAGTGGTTTGCAAAGTTTCTTGGCACTATTGACATTTTGGCCAAGTGATTCTCTGCTGTGGGGGCTGTCTGATGCATTGGAAGGTGTTTAACAAGCACCCCTGGCCTCTACCCACTAGAAGCCAACAGCAGGAGATAATAGACCTGTTTAAAATATCCAAATAAAGTTATTGGTGAAAATGAAAACTGTGTTTTTATTTTATGGAAAAAAAAAAAACCTAAATGGGCTTTTTGGCCCACCCAATAGCTGCAACACTGTACAGCAAAGGGGGGAAAGAGAGGAGGTGTGTACAGGAGGGTGGGGTGTGGGTGGTGAAGGACACTCAGTGGTGAGCTCCGAAGGCGCTGCCCACGGGACCTGGACTGTTAGGGACTGAACTGTGTCCCCCACCCCAAATTCCTATGCGGAAGTCCTAACCCTCAATACCTTAGAATGTGACTGTATTTGGACATAGGGCTTTAACGAGGAAATTGAGACTAAATGAGGTCATAGGGTGGGTCCCAATCCAATATGATTGGTGTCCTTAGAAGAAGAGACACCGGGGACATGCACAGAGGAAAGGCCAGGTGAGGACACAATGACAAAATGATCATCTGCAAGCCACACAGAGAGAGCTCAGAAGACGCCAAACTTGCTCACACCTTGACCTTGGACTTGCTGCCTCCAGAACTGTGAGAAAATACATTTCTGTTGTTGAGGCCACCAGTCTGCCCTATTCCGCCATAGCAGCCCTAGCAAACTGGCACAACATACCCTGGTGGCCCAAGGCTGCAAAGGAGGCCTGGAGGAGCCCCAGGTGACCATTGTGATTAACCATAGCTGGACCTGAGCTTGACGGGGACGAAGGCCTCAGTAACATGAAGCTGACAGCGTGGGTGTCCTAAGACTCAGGCAACACTGTGGTGCAGGTGGTGCTGTTTCTCAAGTTCACCCGTGACTGTCAACAGCCTCTGTGTGCTGGCACAGCAGGACAGCAAGCCTTTGGCCCCTGGAGTTAATGAACATGGGCTCCTCCACTTACTCAGGCACCTTAATTAGCGTCCCGCCCCCAAGCTCTAGTAACCTCATCTAAAAAGGGGTGAAACTGAACTTGCTCCACAGTGCTGCTGTGAGGACTGCATGGACCAGTCCAGGGAGAGTCTAGAGCCTCTCTGAGAATAGAGCCTGGAATGACAAACACTCCGCAGATAAAAGACTAGCCTAGTCCCACGGCCTGGACACAGTAGGAAAATCCAAGAGGCAGCCTGTACCTGGGCAGATGGTCCTGTAGCAGGTGGCAGGGTGGGTTAAGAACACTTTCTTCCAGCTGCCATTGAAGGAAAGAAATGGGGAAATCAAAGTTTTAACAGGAGGGCAGAAGGATGGGTTTTTAAAACACAAAGATAGAAAATTCCAATGCAGAAGCTGGTTAAGAAAGACTTCCTTGTTTTCTTTCTAGATTCTGCCCCAGCTTTTATCTGCTTATAAAGAAGGGAATGTATCAATCTACCCAGAGGAAATAAAAAAATAAAAAGACAATGTAAGTTGGCCATGATGTCAGAAGTTACAGACGCCTGTGTTCAAAACTCTGAACCGCGAGGACAGCTTTCCATTACAAGTTACTTCCGGGGCTGGCACAAGGCAGAGGCAAGGGGCAGGGGGCAGGGGGCAGGAGGTGGGAAACCAGGAATTAGGCAACTGGATTCTGGCTGTGTGACCCCTGGCAAGTTATTTTCCTTCTCTGGTCTTTGGTTCCTCCTTCTACGGAGTAACTCTATCTGCAGTTTTCAACTGTGTTCCTTGGGTCCTTGATGGAGGGAAGGAGACTGAGTGGCCAGGGTGCTAGGCCACCCCAGTACCACAACTCCACCCCTTTACCCTCAATGTGACCTTCCTGGTCTGCACAAGTGTCCATCTGAGGCCGAGCAGCTCAAGATTTTCAAACCGCTGGACTTGATGACGTCTGAGGTCCTCAAGTGCTGACATTCTGTGATAACACAAGGGCCACCATTCCTCTGATGGCTTCCATGCTTCAGATGTCCCTATGGTTACCTTGAAAACACCTAGACAGAGTCATCCCCATCTTCCAGAAGCAGATATTGGCTCAGAGGGCTGAATTCGGGTGCCTGAAGTCACACGATTACTAGAACACAGCAGAGGTGGGATCCAAACTCCACCATCCGACTCCCAAGGCCCTGCCCTCAGCCTCCGAGGCCTGAGTCTTCAGGGTGAAGGGCCAGCCTCAGCAGGGGGCACTCCTCGTGCACGGGCAGAAAACCCTCCTCTTCGTTGGCAGCAGCTCCAGGGACAGCTCACCAAGGACATTCTCTTCTTTGGGCAGTGGCAACAGTTCTCTCACGTTTTCCAAACAGGCCTTCTTCCTACAGATCCCTGGGCTGCCCACCGCAGGGGCAGGCTAATGGGCTCACCCCAAGGGCAGGACTTTTCCTGGAGCAAAACATCCCCTTGAGGTCAAAGCCACATCAATTACAAATTCAGAGTCACGGAAATAAAAATTTTGTCAAGCTGCCAGCTCCTTAAAGAGAAATCTGCCCCCCTCCATGTGTATTCCTCCCTAAACCGCAAGTCCCAGCCCAGCCAGCTCCCACCTCGGCCTGCCCCAGGGGCCCGCCTTGCTGGAGCAGACACTGGCCACAGGACTTCGCCGGATCTGCACACAGCTCGTCCCTGACCTCCCCTCATGTCTGGACTCAGGTGCCACCTGCAAGCCCCACCACTAGCCCACCCCAGTCCCATCCCTGGGTCCTTTCTTTTCACTACCTCCCAGTTTATTTTATGTATTCGTTTCATTGACTGCTGCCTCCCGCCACTGGAGAGTCAGCTCCTGACCCGAGGGCAGATGTCGCTGAGATGTTCATGCTGATTCCCAGGGACCTGGGACAGTGCCAGCAACAAGGAGGCCCCGGCGAGTATTTCTTGAGTGAGGGAACTGATGAAGAGCTTATTCTATGCAGACCTTCTTGTGGGAACCTCCAGTATTAGTGCACTGTCTGTCCCAGGGAGGACAGTTCCCATCCTGGCACCTGGGACGCCTCAGGGTGGTCACTGGTCCTCCTGTCCAATGGCCCCTCTGAACTGGGGGCATCTGGGGGGCAGAGACAGTGCCCGCTCCTCTCTGCACACTGCGTGGCTCAGGGCAGCACCTGGAACGTGGTCACTGGGGAACAAAGAAGTGCCTCCTTTCATGAGAAACCTTGGGAACTAAAGAGAGCTTCCACGGGCTCTGACGTGGCATGAGGCCCGCTTCCTCTGAACCATGTGTGGGGCACGGTCCTGCCCTGCCGAGGCGGCCCTTGTGCTCTCCATCGGCCCTGCAGGGCCCTCACGCTGCTATGCCAACCCATCTCACTGCTGTGTTTGATCTGATCTCAATGGAGGGCAAGCAAAAGGGCCAAGGTGCAGCTGGTTCACACGCCACCCTGGCCCTCCAGACAGGGCGAGAGGCTGGCTCATGGTGCCGGCCAGGCGCTGGACTGCAGGTAGTCTGGACAGTGTCGAAGGACAGTCTGGGGACTTGCAAGGGGCATGCTGGCCTGGCCGCAGGTCCAGTCCTGAAGATTCCAGCATCACCACGGCCTCCCCACTGAAATTCATCCAAGATCCTAAGCCTATTGACTCGCTTAACCCCCAGGAATATGGAAACTGGTGCTCTAAGGAACCAGTGACCAGTTCGCCATCCCTCATGCAGAGCACTGCCGAGAAGGACAGCTTTTGGCTCACTCACCAGCCTCCAGCATGGCCATGCCCTTGCCGCCCTTCCCTGTACCCAGGGAGCTCTGTTCCTGGCTCCCTCCCAGGACTCCTCCAAGCCCTGATGCTCCTGAGCATTCAGCCTTGGGGACCTCTACTCCCAACCAGGCCATGCCCTTGGGCCCTGACCTCAGACCACACAGACACACCTGGAGAAGGGACAGGGTGCAGCCAGCACGCCATTGGTCCCGCGAGATCCTCTCCAGCACATGGCGTTGCCGACAAGCTCCCTGACCGTCTCCAGCGTCTTGCGCTCACAGGGGTGAGGCTGGACCTTGCAGTCTGTGTCCACAGCACATGCCCAATGGAGAAGACAGGGTTATACTTCCTTCCCTCACCGTGGTTCCTCCACCCTCAGCCCTGGGCCAAGCGTTCTGGGGAGGGGCTACGCTCTGCCCCTTGCTGGGGAGCCTGTCTTTGGGCATCTCCCCTGTACAGCCCTGGCCCTGCATAGCTTTTACATCATGTCCCCACGTGTGCGTTTCCTAGAACATCATTTGCTCCTGGTGGACCCTAACGAAGACAACTACAAATGTAGCTGCGCTGTGTGCTGACCACAGCAGGGCGCAGCTGGGGAGCTGACCTGGCTTTTCCTCCCTAGCAGGGGACAGGCACAGGGGCCTCACGTGCTCCCAAGTCCTGAGCCCCTTTACCCCACAAAGCTCAGGGTTCCAGCTGAGCAACCCCCGGGGCCTGACACAGGGAGGCAGAACACAGCAGAAGGCTCCAGGGCAGAAGCTGCTGGGCCCCTGTCCTCTCACCACCCTTCCCGGAGAAGATCCTGAGTCCTGACCTCATGCCTGCGGAACCCTCCTCCCACACCCCACTTCCATGAGGGCAAGCCCACGCCTCCCCAGGCTGGAAGGCCTACCTGGAGAGGCAAAGGTGCAGATGTCGGAGCTGCCGAGGGTGCTGAAGAGGCCGTTGGTGGCGTCCTCCACCTGCTCGGCCATCAGCACGTGCTGCTCCCTGGGCTCACTGGCCAGCGTGTGCAGCTCCTCCCACCTGTGCCCAGGCCACCAGCAGAGAGATTACATTGCCTCGTCACTCCAAACCCACCTTCCTCCTGCCCCTCCCATCTTCCAGAACATGGCTCCTCACGGGCGACACCACCACCCCCGCGGATCCAGAAGCCACTTGGCTGCAACCTCAGCCATCCAGGGTGCAGGTGAGGTCCAGAAGTGAACTGCAGGATGGCCTCAAGGATGCGCAGCCATGGGTCATAGTGCGTGCATGCCACAGCCTGCGGACCTCCCTGCAGGAGAACCTCACATTCCAATTTCACACATGCTCCCTACGGATTTCATTGTCTGGTCTTGGAACCCACAGCTGGGGAGAAGAACTGAATCAGAAACGAAATAAAGGAAACTGGTTCTGGGCAAGAAAAGAGCAAAAAGAAGAGCTAGTAATAGCAAAAACTAATAAACAGAGAACCTGAGGACTCAAAGGCCAGCAACAGGAAGCCCTCTGAGAGAGGAGCCGACACGCACTGACAGCCAGAGGGCGCCGTCCAGTGCCCCAGACAAAGTGGTGGGCAGCTGGAGGACCCGGGCATGACAAAGAGGTGAGACGAGGTGGAGGAACCTCTTTTTAAGAAGACAGGGCAGTCACTAATGCTCTTAAAATCCTGCCCTTCAAAAATTCATCATAATAGGCTTAGGTTCAGCAATATGGCAGAAATCTCATTTCTTTCTAGAACTGACTTCCATGTTCTCTGACGCCACGGAAACCTGACATTCCTCCCAGGACCCAGCACAGAGCCCAGCACAGGCGCAGCCCTCAGCTCCAGGCTCACGCTCACACTCTCAGGGGGCAGCTCTGCCAGGCCCCGCCCGGCAACAGGCTTTCTTACAAGCGCTCCAGTAGGGTGGACGCTCAGCCAGAGAGGAGAGCCACCAGGGAAGGGGCTCGATAAATGCTGGCAGGGCGGAAGAGTCACACGGAGCCTCCCATGGCCCACAGTGGTGGCCCTTAAACTCAGGTGGCAGTCAGACTCGGAGGGACAGAGAAACCACAGGCAGAGGCGCCTCGTCCCCAAGTGTTGGATTCCAGGGGACAGGGCCCCAATGTGTGCCTGATGTTCCTGACACGTCCCCAGGTGATACAGACGTTGCTGGTCCAGTGGACACACTTTGAGAGCCACTGGTCAACAGTGACCACGCTTTTACCGGGAGCTGGGGGAGGGGGCAGGTGGGCCTGGGAGGCTCCTCCAGAGGCTCTGTGTCTGTTGCTCAGAATAACCCTGCCCCCCGCCCAGCAGGCCACGTGTTTCCACCATGGGGTGGATTCTGCATCCTGGCTAGCAGACCTGTGGGCCTTTGAAATACTGTGCTCAATGCTCTCCACTCAGCACTGTGGGAGGAGGAGGGTGGTGCACTGTGAAGCCAGGCCCCCCCTCTCAAAAGAACCAATGATGAAGCAACCTGTGCTAAATGCCAACTTACTGGCAATGGCAACAGTGATGCTCAGGAGGGTGGCGGTCACCATCACCCCCAGGACATGGCAAAGTCCAGGCTATCCCATGGTCCCTCAGTCTCCTGCAGTCTCACCCGCTTTCAGACCTGCACACACTGGTCCTTAGTCATTGTCTCTCTCTGTGCCGCACTCCCTGGCAATCTTATTAGGCTTCAAATACCACCCCCAGTTTCAACCTCTGTCCCGTCCTCTCTCCTACACCCCAGACCCTTACATCCAACTGTCAAGTCAGCTGCTCTACTTGGGTGGCCAATGCGCATCTCAAACGTACCTGTTTGAAATGGAACTCACCTTCTGTGTTTGTTCTTCAAGCTCTCCCATTAGCACCACCACTCACCCGGGGCTGAGGTCCCCATCCAGTTTGGCAGCCACTCCGCTGCTGTGCCTTCCGAACAAACCTAAGACTAACCGCTCCTCCCACCACCTCTGTGTGAGCGGCTCCCAAGCCCTGCGAGCTGGTTTCTCCACTCCCCCCATTGTTGCGTCTCCCTCTGCCCCACGCCAGCAGTCTGTTCTCTACCTGGAAGCCAGTGTGCTCTTCTAAAATGTAGGCCAATCCTGTCATTTCCCAGCTCAAAACCCCCCAGAGACTTCCCAACCCACTCACAAGGAACTCCAAAGTCTACTATGACCCACACAGTCTCAGTTCCACCCATCTCCTATGCCCTACTTCCTGTAGTCAGTCCTGGTTTGCTGGGCTCCAGCCACGCCCTGGCTGTCTTGCTGTTCCTATAAGTCACTCAGCTACCTATGGCCACAGGGCTTTAGCACTTGCTACCCACCTGCTTGGCCTGTTGTTTGTGCTCAAAAATGAATTCCTCAAAGAAGCCTTGAGGGACCTTCCTACTTGAAATCCCTATCTGCTCAACTCCCCATCAGTGTGGAACTTTTTAACCCACTTTATTTTTCTCCTCTATTTCATTTCCACCTGAAATTATATTGCTTTATTTATTCATTCATTTGATTTTGAGTTCCTTTCCTAAAATGGAAGCTCCATGAGGGCTTGTAAGGTTGTGTGGTTGTCTTTGAATCCCCAGAACCTAGAATAGCACCTTGCATGAGAACTTATCTTTATTGACTAAGAATAAATAATGTCCTCAAATGAATAAAGGGATTTCTACCTGCAGGCACGGTGCCCAGACCAGAGTCATTCCACTTAATATCCACAACACCTAGGCACCCAAAACATCACCTCCACTTGGAGGGTTGAGTGCAGAGGAGCTTTGCCTCCCCCTCCCCTAAAAAGGCATCTTCCAGCCCTGGCTGGCATAGCTCAGTGGATTGAGCGTGGGCCTGCAAACCAGAGTATCGAGGTTCGATTCCCAGTCAGGGCACATGCCTGGGTTGCAGGACAGTTCCCAGCAGGGGATGCATGACAGGCAACCATACATTGATGTTTCTCTCCCACTCTTTCTCCTTCCCTTCCCCTCTCTCAAAAAATAAATAAATAAAATATTTTCTTTTTAAAAAAGGCACCTTCCAGGATTGGAGAAACATGCTTGCAGGACGGCAGCCAGTCACCCCACAGCCCAGGCCTCAGGAGTGGGCGTATGATGCAGCGTAACCAGAACAGAACACTTTCTTGGATTGTTCAGCTGGAAACTGGGGAAATGAATCTTTTCTCCCCAGGGCACAGCGGGGAAGCTGTGCGCTAGGCACTGCCTGCAGCTGCCATCCCAGCTCCCAGAGACGCAGGAGGGGACAGAATCTCGATGGCATTCCAGACCCTGGCTCCTCCTGCTCACCAGGAGGGACCCCTGACCCACCCGATACAGTTGGATGAGTTCATGAATTTCCCAATTCTACCCAAATAAATTCAAGTGGAGTTTTGGGCACTTCGAACCCAACGTTCAGACTGAAGACAGTTCAGGCACTCAGACTTCCAGACTCGGAGCCGCCGGTGCCCCAGCAGCAGCAGAACAAGCGAGAGCAGTCAGGTCCTGGGAAGGCCAGCACCACGTGTCCACCTCCGCGACCCTCCCGTGGCTGTGCATCTCTCAGCCACACCTCTGTCCCCAGGCCGGCCCACCCCCAGCACCGGTCCGGGGTGACCAAGTCTCTTACCTGGGAAAACGGACCCCCACAGCAAACACGGTGATGCCTCTTTCCTGCAGCTGCTTGGCGGGCAACGCCACGTGCCCTTGGGACCTCCCATCAGTGATGATGATGAGCACCTGTGGCACAGAGGCGTTTCTGCCCCCAGGAAAGCCTTTGCGCAGAAAATACTTCAGAGCGAGGTCTGTCTCTGTGCGCCCTCCTCTGAGCTCCCCAGGAGGAAAAAACAAAGGGAGAATTAGCGATCCAGAGAGGGGAAGTCGGAAGACAGCCTGAAGCAAGGGCTCCTCCATTAGTAGTGGCAGCCAGGGCCTCCTGGCAGAGGCTCAAAGTGACAATCCCACCAGCAGAGATGCACCTTCTCGCCCTCAAAAACCACAACAAAGAAGAGAAGTGAACTCTTCCTGGGATCTTAAGAGGCACCCCACACAGCGCTGTTGTTTGGGTAAGAATGTCACTCTTTGCATCTTTCCCAGTGACGGCTCCGGGCTGACCACAACTACCACTGACCCTCTGACACCTGCCTCCCGGTCCCCACCGCTGGGTCACTCCCTTCCCGTTGTGGCTCCACATCTCCCTGAGGTGAGAAAGCAAATAACAGACCTTAGTAAGAATCCGTGAGAGTGAATGACAGGGTCCTTTCCGTTGTCAGGCCTGCCTGGCTCACTTCCAAGTTCAGGGTCAGGTGGTGGAGGCTGAACTGTCTGGCTGCCTCCAGATCAGGGTGGGTTACAACGATCCCATCTCATTGGGATTCTAAGATTCTATAGCCTTAGAGCCCAGTTATAGGGACCGTTGATGAGCTTGGAATCCCAGTGCAGAATGGCTACTGAATCTCACAATAGGGGACTCGTGCAGGTCCTTGGAGGGAAGCCTGCTGGCTCTCAGTACCAACTGGGCAGAAAAGAATGACTCAGTTCAGTGGATTTTAGGCCACCTTTCAGTGGATGGTAACACACCCAAACATGAGTGGTTAACTCTACGCACAGAGAAAACCCGTTAAGTCATCACTGTGAAACACTGACTAATCACAAACTATAGACTGGTGGGGAGGGAGGTATTACACTCATTACGGTCTGAGTATAAGTTAAGGCAATGCCTGCCTCTAATTCGGCCCTCACAGAGGGACCTACGGCCATTCTTCTAACGTAAAAATACCCAAGGGACACGAGACACGGGCACTGTCTTTGTATGTGCATGTATAAATGTGTGTGTGTATACAGGTAACACTAAAAGTGTCAATATCTCATGCAAGTTGCCTTGGTCCTCCTGCCCAGGGCCCTGTCCAGGTTTGCTGTCCTCCAGGCAGCTACTCCAGGACCTAGGCTCCTTTCTTGTTGAGGTCCCACCTTCCTCTCAGTCCTCCACGTCCACTCCATCCAGGGCAGAGGTGAGGAGAGAGTATGGAAGCCTGTGCCTGGGGAGGATGGATGGACCAGGCCTAGAGGAGTCTTCCTTTCATTGCTTTCTGTCATCTGTGAACCCTTAAAGGGCAATTCTCTTTGCGGAGCTCCTGCTTACTGTTCTCAACCCGCTAGTGTTTACTGTGGACCCACTAGATGGGAGGTAGACTAGATGAAAGGGAGACCAGGAAGCACAGGAAAGTTCAGACCAGTGGTGGTCAGAGCTGGAGTTGAAACCCAGGCATGCTGATTGCAGAGCCAATGGTCTTCCCCTCCAGGGGTTGGCAAATTACAGCCTGTGGGCCAAATCCGGCCCTTTACCAGTTTCTGTAAATAAAATTTTGGGTGGGGGAACAGTCATGCCCATTCATTTCTATACTGTCTATGCAGAGACCATATGGCCTACAAAGCTTGAAATAGTTACTCTGGTTTTTTAACTGAAGAAGTTTGCTGACACCTTCTTCTTACTCTTCTATCCAAATGGTCATAAAACACTTGTCACCAAGAGCCAAAGTGCCCCAGTGACCACGGAGCTCCCTGGGCCTTCCCCTGCATCCCTGGCAATGTGCCATGAGCCTCCTGGTTGTGCTTACAGAGAATTTAAATGTCAAGGATGTGAGAGTCCAGGCCCCCAACTCCACTGGCCGGCCAGGTGTCCGCCCTTCATATCACTCAGCACATAACTGCCTGGGCCACCCACCCTCTTCACCTCTGTGCCCTCATTGGCCTTTTCCACTGGAACCCGCCTGACTTCCAACCAAGGTCAGGTGAGAGATTCCTAACAGCTCTGAACTCTGGGAAATGCAAAGAAACCCGCAGCCTCCACTCTCCTTACTCCAATGGAGCGTCTCTCTCCCCGTGTCTGCTCTGAGCTCAGAGCGGCTCCAGACAGACTGTCTAAGTCCAGAGTCTCACCGAGATTTTACTATTTTCTTTCATGAGACTAAACTGGTTGAATGTGAAGGTTCACAGATCAACTACTGTCTGGGGTATTCTGATGTCAAAGCATGAGCTTTTTTCGGGTGGGGGGGATAGAAGCTAAACATCTGGCCGTCACTGCAGTCAAGTGAATGAGAACACGGGCTCAAAGTGAGTGGGACTCAAACATCACTCCTGTGATCTATTAGCCAGGTAAACTTGGAGAAGTCCCTTAGAGACTCAGTTCCCTTCCCTATTAAAGCAGGGAAAATAATAGTATTGTTTGAGGACTAATGCTGTGCCCAGCCCCCAAACCTTGTGAACACTCTCCGTCAGTGTTCATGACCACAGTGACCCAACCAGCCGCCTATGCCAAGAAGTCTTTTGAGGTCATCTCAAATCCCAATGAGTATGAAAGTCAATCCCTCAGGAGACTTCATAACGTAGACTCTTAGAGCCTATCCTCAGAAAGTCCAGATTGGTAGGTTTTTGACTGAGTCTGAGAATCTACATTTTTTAAAACCAGCCTCCCCTCTTCCACTTATTCCAATGCAGGTAGTCCATGGAACAGAATGAAAAGTATTTCATGAGAAAATTCACTATGGGTACAGAAATGTTGATTACAGTTTTTTCCTTTTTTTTTTTTTAAAAGCAATCAACAAAAAAAGTCCTAGAATCAACACAAATGATGTCCTTTTAGAATGATTTAATACCTTGTGATAGTTCAATTCACTGATTATATAACCACTAAACAGGATCAACATGAAAAATTCATCTTTATGCAGAAGTACATACCAAATAACAATTAGTTAAAAAGAGCCAAGAGCTTTATAACTATTTTAAAAGCTATGTTTTAATGTTAATGACATTTGAGATCAGCAGAGAACACTCTAAGAGGCTTTGTGCTAAGGTAAAGTGGTGAATGCTATCTCTGTAGAGTCATCTATATACAGTAAAACTTGGATAAAGCTGTAGCCCGGGTCCCAAAAAATCCTATCACAAAACCCAGAGTTACTTTACTGGGAGGTTAATGAAATGACAGAGAGAGCCTGCCCAGCCAGTTGGCCAGGAGCCCTGGGCTTTCAGAGCCAGTTGCTGGCCATGTTTTATCTTATTTTATGTTATCTCAGGGTGCAATATGGAAGGGCTTGCTTGTGCTATTTTTTAAGTTCCTACTGCAAGGTAGCAAAAAGTTGATTTCAGGGTGGTTTCTCAGCCACCTCAAAACACACTGCTAGGGTGTCTAGAAACCTCGGTCTAGAAAGGCAAGAGTCCTGGGTTTTAGGTAAACCTGTTCCGATCGGGCCAGCATTTAAAACTTCACTGCAGAGAAAGGAAACAGAACTCCAGAGAGGCCACCATTCCCACTCGGCCAGCATTCCTCTGTTCTGATGAGTAACAGTGTCTTCGTGTTTAGTGTCCTCAGTGACCCCGCAAGTGTGGCCAGAGTGTTACTCATTGCCGCCTTGCCCTGTTTGTTGTTTCTTATAGTTACCCCAGAATACACAGTGCTAACGGCACACCTCCCCCCAAACGGAGCTGACCTCGTTCAGACACATCAGGGCTTCAACCCCAGTGTTCTCCCCTGGCACATTCCTACCATGGCTCTGTGTTTCACGTCAGGAAGAATACTCTCCAGCCCTAGTTCTGACTTTCAGCACAGCTGAGAAAGAGGCTTGACCAACTGTTTAGGTGGCGGGGAGGCACAGGTGAGAGAGGACAGCTGGGTGGGGCCTACTGGACCAGCAGTGTGGCTCTGGTCCCGGCCAAGTCACCGGCTCCTTCGCTACCTCAGTATCCTCCCTCCATGAAATAGAGTTGGAATAGATACTCAGTGGACTCTGAAGTGCCTTTCTGAACCAACTCGCTACAGTTAGCTTAGTTTTTCAGAAGAGAGCAGGGTCGAATCATTGGAGTCAAAGTCACCCAAACAGTTTTAGACTTTCAGTCCTGAGCAGACTGACAGGCTACTTCCCCGCCCTTCAAATGTTAGTGAACATATAGTGGGTAAAAAGTTTATAGGATAATCAGATATTATGTCAATAATAATTAACGAAACATTCACCCCTTTAAAGTATACAATTCGGTCTTTAGTATACAATCACAGAATCATGCAACCATCTCCATTATCTAAATCTGAAACATTTTCATCACCCCCAAAAGAAACCCTATACTCATAAGCAGTCACCACCCCCCACTTCCCATCCCTACAGCCCCTGGCAATGACTAACCTACTTTCCCTTTCCACAGATTTGCCTATTTCAGACATTCGTGTAAATGAAATTATACAATTTGTAAATTGTGTCTGCTCCTTTCACTTAGCATGATGTTCTCAAGGTTCACCCATGTTGTAGCATGAATCCCATCATCATGACTTTCAGCACAGCTGAGAAAAAGGCTTGACCAACTACTTAGGGGGCGGGCAGGGGAGGGGAGGGAGAGGTGGGAAAGGACAGTTGGGTGGGGCCTACTGGACGGGCAGTGTGACTCTGGTCACGCTGAATAATATTAAATTGGGTGAATATACCACATTGTCTGTTTACCCATGACACTTTTGGGTTACTTTCATTTTTGGGCCATGTAAACAATGTGCTATGAACATTAAGGCATATGATTTTATGTGGGCATACATTTCCAATTTCCTTGAAGTGGAAGTTGTACAGTCATGTGGTAACTCTATGTTTAACATTTTGAGAAACTGCCAAACTGTTTTTCAATGTGGCTGCACCATTTTATAATCCCACCAATTGTATGAGAGTTCCACATCCCTGCCAACACTTGTTACTGTCTGTCTTTTATGTTAGCCTTCCCTGTGAGTATGAAGTGGTATTTCATTATGGTTTTGATTTGCATTTCCCCAGTGACTAATGATGTTGCATATCTGTTCATGTGCTCATTGGCCCTTTATACATCTTCTCTTTAGAAATGCCTATTTATAGGATTTCTTTTGGGGATGATGAAAATGTTCTAAAATTAGATTATGGTAATAGTTGCATAACTCTGAAAATAAACTCAGAACCACCAACTTGTACACATTAAATATGCGAACTTTATGAGAATAGGATTCTCCTTATCCACTGAGCACAGCTGGCTCCAGACCCCCCAACCCTCTCTGGGAGGCCAAGAGCAGGGCCAAACCCTTCAAAAGTGATGTTAAGAGCAGCTAGCTGCATCCCAACCAGGGCGGCGTCAGAGCATACGTACCTGAACACTATCCTCTTGAGTTCTGTCTTCACTTCCTGTTGGGTTGACCAGGCGTCCAAGGGGAATTCCAACCATGGAGTGGAACTGAACTGGACTGCTCCCACCCTGACCTGCATGGGGACAGAGGGCCCGGGGGCTGAGCACGGAGTCAAGTCGCAGGCATCCCTAAGAGGCTTGAAGATGGGGCGAGAATGGGTAACGACCACGTCTCCTGCTGACGCAACAAACTCCTGTGCCAGAGCTCTGTCTGGTCTCCCTGAGGAGCAGTTCCAAAGACCAGGAGAAGAATCTGGAAGGAAACAGTCAAACCTGCCTGTGCTCTGCACTGACAACCACCGATTCAGTCTTCCTGACCCCCGTTCTAGCATTTCACTTACTTGCATGTGCCTGTCAGGTGCAGTAACCATCTTATGTGATCTCACCTTATTTCATTTAACCCTCAGAGGCACTCTTCAAACCCACAGGACTGCTGGAGAAACTCAGTGTACAGAGGACACAGATCTGGCCCAGAGTGAGGAAGAGAGGAGCCAGGCCACTGTACTTTGGGCCTGTGATCTTCACGAGGCTCAGCCCCACTGCTTGCCTTCTCAGCCGCCAGCACAGGCCTTCAGCAAAATGCTCACTGACCCGGTCAGGGGTGTCAGAGAAGCACAGCCACCATCCCCACTGGCTCATCACTAACCAACCACAGCTACCACACACCTGTCCTTGGTTGCAGAGGGGATCAGCCCTTCCAAGCCTGTTCCTGCCACACCAGGGAAAGGCCAGCTCCCTGCACCAGAGTCAGACTGGGGGACAATCAGCACTGTAGCCAGAGACAAGCAATTACCAAGCTGAATTTCCCCTGCTGGAGAGGGAGAGAGAGTCACTGGGAATTCCAAAGAGATTTTGCATCTTAACTGAGGAGGTCATAAGAGGAAACCCAATGCCTTGCAAGAGTGGGGAAGGTAAACTGGGTAAAATTGTTCTCTGGACCCTTAAGTCACTAGTGTGTCTCAAGGAGAGAAGGCTATAAACATTCAGGTTTCCTCTTGAGGGTCCAATCCCTGAACCTAACCATTGGCTCTCTAACACCCCTGCAGAGACTACAATCTCAGTTACTAGTCTCGAAACTATCTCTGATTCTGGCCAAGACTGCAAATGAGCCGAGTGATTCATGCTTCAGCAGGGATACTGCCTTTTGCTCGCTAATTGACTTCCTTCACCACCAATGCTGATGCCTTACCAGGCCTGGTGCCCGGGAGGGGACGGAAGCACCCGCCCGACCAGGTGGGCTGCATCTGCTCACACCGAGCACAGCCCAGTGGACTTTCCTCCCAGGACATTCTGAGGAGGAACCACTGGGCATCCTAAGTAGGAAGAAATCTTGGGTGACAGTGTCGGGGAGATGGACACTGGAAGGCAGAGCAGGGAGAAGCTCAAGAAAAAGCTTCTGAGAGATGATGCTTTTGAACTCTCCCTTGAATTTAGCCGTGATAAAGGGGGCATCTGAAACCAGTGGGGGGGAAACGTGGTCTAGTTACTGAGTGATTTGGGAACACCTGGGTCAACTTGAAGACTGATGAAGGATAAATTGCAAATGGATTCAAGATTTAAATGTCAAAAATATAACCATGAAAGTTCTCTAAGAAAACCTGGGAGAGTTCCATTAAAATCTCAGATTACAAAAGACCTTACTATGACTAAAAATTGAGACGTCATAAAGCAAAAATCAATAAATCAACTACACAAGGAAAACTTCTGCAGGGCAACCCCTACTGTGACCCAACCAAACACTGAAGACATAATGGAAACGTTATTTGCAACTCACGTCAGAGACGAAGGGTTAGTTTCCCCAAAATATAAAGAGTGTCTAGGAACTGGTATGTAAAAGGCCAACAATCCAACAATAACAACAACAACAAAGGGCAAAGACTATGCGAAAAGCTCACAACTGGAAATACGGAGGGTTGTTTAACACCCAAATGGATGTTTGAGCGCCCCACACTGAGATGTAGCAACAAGCCAGACACAAGGTTTGCAGGGAATAACCAGCATTCTCCATCTTTAATGGCGAGGACATAAATGTCCCAACATCCTTGGGAGCAGTTTGTCGATACTTCCTGAAAATTGAAAACGCAAAACCCTCTTGGGAATTCATCCTTCAGATACACTGCCACACGCGGAAATGCCATGTTTACCAGCTTACATTATATTTATAATAGCAAATTCCCATCAATAGGGGGCTGTTTAATTCAACATTCGTAAACCCTTACACTTGAAACAATAACCAGCTATAAAATACATATGTATGTTAATACCTACATTATGTAGATGCAGAAAGGCTTCCAAGACCATGTGAAGAGAGTAAGACAAGGAAGAGAACAGCGTGTGTCACCTACTCCTCTCTTTATAAAAAGGGGGGAAATGAGAATAGATACTCATGTTTCTTGTATTTGCCCGAAGTGACTCAGTAAGAATGCTCAAGAAAGCAAACAGGGAGACTGAGCGAATTGAAATTGAGTGGGTAGAAGGGGTAGTTTTCACTAGATGTCTTTTTATTGAACCATGTAAATGAATTCCTTAGGTTGGAAAAAAAACACAAAACCCTCCCTTAAGACCAACAGCTGGGTGTACTTACTTGAATGAAGCAAGAAGGATACAACTTCAAACAAAACAAGACACAAACAGTTTGAGTCAGTAGTTAAGGCATTTAATTTAATTGGTGGTTTGGGAGCAAAAGTGTTGTCTTTTATCTTTCATCTTCAGTTTACTGAGTGCTGAGAAGCGGCCCGCCCAGCCTTCTCACCCCACGGTAATCACCCCGCTGAATCACTGCGCACAGCCAGGAAGTGAACGTCTCAGCTTGCTTTTTTCTTTTTTTTTTTTTGAACTTTTCAGCTTTTTAAGTGTTGAGAGGAAGACTTCAAACATCTTAAATCCACTTAACCACTTCAACAGCAGAGCATCCATGAAAGCCTTAATTTATGGCTACTTGAAAATTTCCTCCTGAACACTAAAGTTACAGAAAATAAAATCTCTTGTACATGGAGAGAACAAGACAACAAAAATCGCAGCAGCAAGAACATAAAACCTGAAGCCACAAATCAGGTGGAAGCATCTGCAGTTGCCCTGATGCAAAAAAAAAAAAAACCCTTTGCTAGAATTCCAGCAAGTCTGCCGGAGCCCCAGGCGGGTCAGGAGGCTGACTCGCTCGCTCGTTCGCTGAGACACCTGACTCTGCTCAGTAAGTCTTGCTGTGAGAAAGTTCTTCTTGGGCCAACCCACATATATCTCCTTACACACCCAGCTCCTGCCCCCTTAATAGAATGGAGCCACTCCGTACCTAATCAGGTTCCCTCATTTATGGAAATTTCCAGGCCTCTCCCTGTTCCCCTCCTTGCTGTGGGCACTGTCTGGGGTGCCAGGACTCACCTAAGAATGTCACTCAGTGTCTAGGTGTGGCAACGCTGAGATCAGATTTCCTGAACTCCGGTGCCCTGTCGGTTGGGGACAGCTACTCCCAACAACGGCACCAGCCGTGAGGTTTTTTTGTCCTAGTTTTTTGACTCTTTTTGAGGATTCTGAATTCCATCAGCACCCCCATGTACACACATACACACTCTCACGCCCAGACACACAATACCACGTGGTCCACTTCCCACGTGACGGCAGGGGGTGAAGTCTGAGTCTCATCACCTCATCACAGCCCAGTGGGTAGGGACAAATGACCACATGAAACAGATCCTGAGCTGAAAGTCAAGAGCCCCAGCTCCTCCACCCTTAGCTCACTTCCGAGATTGCTGTGTGACCCTAGGCAGTCACTTAGCCACTCTGAGCCTATTTCCTCGTCTGTAAACATCCTCTAATAATCCACACAGTTCTTCTCTCCCAACCTGCCTTCCACTGGGAGTTCTCAGTCACTTACTTTAGGACATACTCCATCAATGCCAAGGTCAAGAATGTTGGATCTTTATGGCTATTCCTCCATGAATAACTAGTAGAATCGTATAGGGAATCATTTCCTTTTAAAAGCTCAGCCCTGTGTGAGAGAGGATGGAGACTGAGCAGTCCTTGGCCCTGGCCCTTTTAGAGTCTGTGATGGGTTGACTTCATGGTTGGAACTTCAGCGCTGCTCTGATTTGTGTCCTCAGATAGCTGTGCAAGACCGCTGGGGGTCCAGGGTAATGTGCTCGCTCTCCCAGGTGACATGCTCTTCTGGAGAAAATCTCGTCCTCATGAAAGGCCATTTTTGCTCCTAAACCCTAGTGGTTTTCTTAGGGTTAACCCAGGAATGCAATCTGGGAAAATCATCTGTGGGAGTATATTTAGAATAAAGTGCTGGGTGATGGACACTGTCAGCTTCCCCTCTGGAGAGGCTCCACACTCCCACCCATTCCCGCAGACTTGCAGGGAGCATGTCACCAGACTTCGGTGTTTGCTAATCCAGTTAAGTGAAAAATGGCATCTCGGCTGGAGATGTGCTATTCCACTGAGTGAGGTCGTTGGGCATCTTTTCATATACCCAAGGGCAATTTGTGCTTCGTCTTCTGGGATTTGTCTGTATGTACTCACCACCCACTTTTCTACTGACTTTGTCCAAAGTGGCCCTTCTTTTAGCCACAAGAGCCACAGCTAGCCCACTCTGTGGATAATTAAAACCTGCTAGTTGGAGCCAGAAAGAATAAACATCCTGGCTGCATTCACTCAGGCAGGAGTAGGGCCTTTCACATGAACAAAGAGGGTAGAACCTGTGCTTCATGCTGAGATTCTAGTCTTAGGAGGTAGATACAATCTTTCCCCTTCCCACTGTGGTGCAAATACATCTTCTAGTGAGAAATCAAACTAGTGAGACTCTAGTGAGTCTACCACCACCCAGTGAAAGTGGATGAGTACTGCCTTCTGGTCCAGCCAGATGAGCTCTTCCTTTGAACTGCTGTGATTGGGTAAGGAAGTGTCATGTGACCTACACCTGCCCAGTCAGAGCCCTCGCTGGGGCTTCAGCCAGCAGCAAGGAAAGAAGGCTACTTTCTTTTTGCTGGTGTCACTAGCTTGAAGGACAATGCAGGGCAACTAACTGTTCTACATGTGGAAAACCTGCCTGGAAAGGAAGCCAACTGTGGAAAGCAAAACGGAGAGAAGAAAAAGCGGGATCGAGCCCTTGGATCCCACCATGCTTGGTCTCCCCAGTCCCACAAGCCAGCAAATGCCCTCTTCTGCTTAAGACTGGATTTCTATCGCTTGCAACCAAACATGCTACATGCAGACACCGGAAGACGTGTACTCACTCTATCTGGGCTGACGTCCAGAGCGTCACAGACCGTGATGGCAAAGTGCTTGGCCCTTTCGAAGCTCCCTTTCCCGATGCTGTGAGAGCCATCTAACAGAAACAGGATGTCCACTGCAGCCGAGCACCACGTAACTAGGGGGGAGGGGACAGATGCGTGACAATCAGCTTCCTTGCTGTCTGGTCCCAAGAAGGTCTCACTCCCTAAGCAGAGAGGAGGCAGGAGTGGTGGAGCTGCTGCTCCTCTGAGGTCCAAGAAGGAAGTCACACTGGGCAGGGTTCAGGCCGGAGGCCCTTCTGTGACAGTCTGTACTAATGGGAAGAGTCTAATTCAACACCACCAACTGAGCGTTGTGACAGAAGGGGCTGCTGGGCCAGGGAGCGATTTGAAGAGCCTGGTCCCTGCCCTTAGGGGCCACAGTCTAGTCTGGGACACAGCCAGGCACCCTGGTACCACAGGTCCTATAACCCAGCAGTTCAAGTAATCACACCTGGCACTGACTGCGACTTCCCCAGTGCCAGGTGCCACTCTGAACACTTTATATGCTCCAAGTAGCTCCATGCTCACGTGCACCCTTAGATGACTATTGTCTCAAGTTCTTTAACAGGTTCATTCCATCATCATCTCAGTCCATTTGGGAACATTTTCCGTCACCTCATAAAGACACCCTGTATCATTTAGCTGTCAGCCCCCTAACCCCACACCCTCACCAGTAGATTTAGGAGGTTTGTTCCCACTGGAGAAATGAGGAAAGCAGGGTGCAGGGCGATTCAGTAACATTCCTACAGACTGAGTCCTGGGAAGCGGTGGACCCAGGACCCAAGTCCAGGCTGCGTGGCTCTAGAGTTCAAAGCTCGAATCCGCATGAAGATGCGTGGCTGCTGCAGCTTGAGCACGGGGCAGGGAGGCTGAGCAGGGCGGAAGGGGAAGGAATACAGCCGCAGACGAGGCTGGTTGGGTAGACAGTGGTCACCAACAGAAGACCTCCAAGCACAGGCCGAGAAATCTGGCGACAGGTGAAATCAGGCAGTCAGGGAAAGACAAAGACCCTGCGATTTCACTTATGTGTAGAATCTAGAACAAAATGGCAGTTGCCAGAGGGGCAGAGGGAGGGGCAACGTGAAGGAACTGAGAGGCACAGATTGGTGGTTACAGAATAGTCCTGGGATGTGATAAGGCACAGCGCAGAGAATGTGGTTGGTGACACCGTGATAACTGTTTGGCATCAGGTACATGCTGGAAATGTCAGGGATTGCTTCGTAAAGTATATGATGGACTGTCTAACCACTATGCCATACACCTGAAACCAAAACCAAAATAATATTTAGAGTAAACTTTAATTGAAAAATAAAAAATATATTTTAAAAAAGTTGTAAGGAATTTGGCATCAGGGATTTACCACGGACAGGTATTCACCCAAGAGAGGAACGTGGTCGGGCCTGTTTTGTGAGATCAGCTGTGGCCACAGCATAAAAGGAAGATGGGAGTGGGGTGGAAATTGTCTGGAGCAACACGGTTTCCCGTGGGTCTGTCACAAAGAGGCTGGAGTGGGCGTTCAGAGGGTTGACTAAAACATGCGCTTACGTCTGCTGGCGGCTGAAATCTTCCCAATGGTCTCCCTGCCGACTTGGATTTCCTGAAGGGGGAAGGTGGGGGGCGCTAGGAGAGAAGACACCAGAAGCCATCATTACAAGACAGAGAGGAAGGAGTCTTCATCTCTAAGTTGGGTGACCAGAGTAAACAGGTAATAAAAAGGGAGACAGGAATGTGGAGGAGCCTAATGACACTGTATCTCAAAAATTACTAGATGGATAGCATAAAGCAACCCCCCAATTACCCCTCTCATATCAGGCACCTTTGCATTTGAAGAGAAAAATTAAAAACTACACAGAGGGGTGATGAGGAGCCAAGTGGGTTTTACCCCTGGCAGGCTATAATAACTGGGTTCTCTACTGAATGCCAGAGAAACGCACCTTGGATGTGAACAGATAACTCAGGAGAAAGAGAACTCACGGAAAGGCACAATGATAAAACGTTGTAACTCCAACAATAAGATACCATTTTAAATGTGAAATTTCTAAATTTAAATGTAACTGGGAAAGCTTAATTCAGGAAAAATTTCCAGTGGTGGCACCTGTAAGTAGACACAACCCTTTTGAAAGGTTCTTAAAAAATATTTTTATTGATTATGCTTTTCCAGTTGTTCCATTTCCCTGTTTATTCCCCTCTGCCCTGCACACCCCCTCCCACCCACATTCCCCCACCAAGTTCATGTCCATGTTTCACACATATAAGTTCTTTGGCTTCTCCATTTCCTATACTGTTCTTAACCTTCCCCTGCTTATTTTCTACCCACCATCTATGCTACTTATTCTCTGTACCTTTTCCCCCTCTCTCCCCCTCCCACATCCCCACTAATAACCCTCCATACAATCTCCATTTCTGTGATTCTGTTCCTGTTCTAGTTGTTTGCTTAGTTAGTTTATTTGTTGTAGGTTCAGTTGTCAATAGCTGTGAGTTTGTTGTCATTTTACCATTCATATTTTTTATCATCTTTTTTTTTTAGATAAGTTCCTTTAACATTTCATATTAGTGATGATGAACTCCTTTAACTTGGCCTTATCTGGGAAGCACTTCATCTGCCTATTCCCTGAAAGTCTATTTCCTTTGCCAGATTGGGGAAGTTCTCCTTTATTATTTGTTCAGATAAGTTTTCCACTTGTTGTTCTTCCTCTTCCCTTTCTGGTACTCCTATAATTTGGATGTCGGAACATTTAAAGATGTCCTGAAGTTTCCTAAGCCTCTCCTCATTTTTTTGAATTCTTGTTTCTTCATCCTTTTCTGATTGGGTGTTTCTTTCTTTCTTCTGGTCCACCCCATTGATTTGAGTCCCAGTTTCCTTCCAATCACTATTGGTTCCCAGTACATTTTCCTTTATTTCACTTAGCATAGCCTTCATTTTTCATCTAATTTATGACTAAAATCAACCAATTCTGTGAGCATCCTGATCACCAGTGTTTTGAACTGTGCATCTGATAGGTTGACTATCTCTTCATCGCTTAGTTGTATTTTTTTTCTGGAGCTTTGATCTGGTCTTTCATTTGGGCCTTTTTTTTTTGTCTTGATGCACCTGTTACAAAGTGAGGGGCGGAGCCTTAGGTGTTCACCAGGGCAGGGCAACCATCATGTGGTTGTTCACGCAGTGACGTGGCACGGTGTTGTGACACTGTTTGTGGGGGAGGGGTCCAAGAGGGAACAGTGGTGCTTGCTCTGCCCTCTGCCAGATTTCAGTGACTTCCCCCACCCACCAGCAAAGTCAGCCCTTCTGGTGCTGGTTCCCAGGTGGTTGGGGTTGTATGTGTTCTAGGACCCTGTGGGTCTCTCCAATTAACTCTCCTATGAGGCTGGGAGTTTCTCCCACTGAGGAGCTCAACCCCCTCAGGTGTTTTCAGTCAAAGGTTTGAGGTTTTACTTCCCCGTGCTGGGACCCTGGGTTGTGTGGTCTGTCTCGCTCCCCAGTTGCTCCTCCTGGTTTATCTGCACTTTAATGTGGGACTGCCCACTCTGCCAGCTGCCGCCTTGCTGTGAGTCCTCTCCACCCAGCTGCCCATCTCGACCCCTCCCACCAGTCTGGGTGAGTGTTTCTTCTTTAACTCCTTGGTTGTCTAACTTCCATGCAGATTGATTTTCTGTCAGTTCTGGTTGTTTTTTGTTTTTAAATTTCTGTTGTCCTTCTTTGGGTTGTACAAGGAGACACAGTGTGTCTACCTTTGCCTCTATCTTGGCTGAAAGTCCCCTTTTGGAAAGTCATTTGGCTAAATATATTGAGCACCACAAAAATGCGTTCACCCTCTGACCGTGTGGTGTCACACCTGGGGCCTGATCTGAAGGAACAATGATTTGGAGAAGGAAAAGTGTGCATTGAGACACTGCCTTCCACACTCTTTGTGATAGAGGAATTCCGGAGGGAACAGATATCCAAAGGGACAGGTCTATGAGTGAATGCCGACATATTCGTTCAATTCCATTAACACTAACAAGGGCTAATAAGTGTTAAGGTAGAAAGTTCGCGGATGGTTTTCATTCTTTTATATGATATCTGATACACCTGCAAAATGGTGTATGAGGGCAATCAGTAACAACTTAACAAAATCAAGTTTGAGAGCAATGAGGGCGTCGCTTGGAGAGGTGACCTGAAAAGTCCACTGCGCGGTGTGGTTTGTGTCTGGTGACAGGGGGCTCTGTGCCCAGGGAGAGGTCTGGTGGGTTAGCACAGAGGAAACCAAGCTGGGGTGTGCAGGGCCCAGGAGCAGACTGGGCCACAGAGGGGCCAGAGGAAGGGCCACAGCATGGGCTGCTGCTGGGGGCGGAGGTAAAGGAGAGGAAGCCAAGGACCGGGGTGGAGGGGGTGATTGTACAATGCAGCGAAGTTGGGCTCAAGGGGGTTTGCAAATGCCAAAGAAGTGATCAGCGGGGAGACACTGAAAGATGGCGTTGGGTTCTGGGGGTGCCCCTTGTTTGTGGCACCTCCTGGGCTCTTCTGTTCCTGCTCCCCAGGGTAAATGAAACTGGTTTCTAGTCCTCCCCCCACCACCTCCCCACCATAATCTTTGAGCTGTTTCTCCTGACCTGATATGCCCTCTCTCAGTCTCTGCTCACAGAAAAGACAGTTCTAGGCCAATATGCTGACCCAGCAATTAGCTCCACAATCCAAATCTGTCAGGCAAGTACCTTCCATGAGATCTAAGACAGCGTGTGATTTGTCCCTGCTGTTCTGCCACCAGGGACAGAAATAAGACATAAACTATAAATACACACAGTAGACTGAATTAAAGGAACAAAAATCACCCACTTCCATAGTAAATGGCAGATGTTGGCACAGAGGCACGATAATACTTCCCACCTGCTACACCCCAAAAAAGAACACAAAAATCACTCAATAATTCAGCAAGTTGTCATTCCAGCAAAGAGGCTTTCTGCTTCATTGCATTCAGACATCAAAATCTTGCCCACTTGTGGGGCCCCTGCTACATCCCACCCCATAGGGCGCAATGTTGCCATGGCCCTTCTCCCCCAGAAGCCCCCAGGGCAGGAACATCGCCACCTGTCCTCCACAGAGCCTCACCCAGCTCTCTGCACACAGCGAGCAGGCAACTACGGTTTCCTGAACCAGCCCAGGAATTACTGGCAAAGGGCCCAGGAGCTGAGGAATCCCTAACGCCCTACAAGAAAACACTGCTCCTTTCTAAGCCTCTTACTGGCAAATCCTCCAAGTGGAGACAGGCCAGCCAGCTCCCTAAATGGGAGCGACAGGACTGCCGTGACCAGAGACCACTTACTAAAGATGTCACTTAGCTAATGTGACATCTGTGCCTTGCACTCTGCTGCCACAGCAGGTGTCGGGTTTCTGGTGAGCCCTCCTGGTGCCTGGATGACGCTTCCACGCTTCCACTGCTCGCCTCTGAAATGACCTCAGGACTCTGCAGAGGAGGGCCGGGCAGAGGGAGCCAGTGAATGGCTGTTTTAGCCTCTGAAGACCACCTGCCTGGGCTCCAGAACTTGGATCTCCTTGGAGGGGTGGGCGGTGCTAAGGAGATCGCTCATCTACTGAAACCCTTTCACTACAGCCAAGGCTCAGAGAGAGAATTCCTGGACCTCCTTCTCTCTCCCACAGGCGACCAGAGTGGTGGGAATCAGGAGAGTTGGGTTTTCATTTCGGCTCTGCTATCAGTAGCTGTGTGACCCCGGACAAGTCACACAGCCTCTCTGGGCCTTCCCTGCCTCATCTGTATAACTCAGGATGGTCAGCTCAAGGGTTCTGTGACATGGTCAGGGCCACAAAGGGGAAGTGCTGGGATGAGCCGGAGCAGGACTTCACTGTGCCTGGGCCTCCGGACACCGCGTCCAGGCCCTGTAGCCAAACACATCTCATCTCTCCCCAGTGTCCTGACCAGGAAGTCACTGTGTTACATTGTCACCTGCATGGGTAGAGGGGGGACAGGTGAGCAGAGCAACCATCCCTCTTCTTCCAACTTCTCTCACCGCCCCAAGGCTCCGGGGAACAGGCAGGTGGTGACAGAAGCCACCTCAGCAGAGACAGCACACCTCCTCACTGAGACACCGACCAGGGAGGAAGTACACACCAGGGAGGAAGTGCGGGAGAGCAGCTCAGAGACGCGGGAAGCTCCCGCTCGACTCAAACAGCTGGTCGCCCTGGCCACGAGAATCGCAAACCACACCTGTTCCTTCCTACTATCTCGTGTTTCACAGAAGCTAGAACTTGGGAAAGACGAAGTGGGAAGATCTGCTTTGTGAGCACTGAGCACATGCCCGGCCCAGCGCTAGGCGCTGACATTACACAGGAGTGAAGGAAGAAAATGCAGAGTCTCTTTCTCATGGAGCTTATTTGTGGTGGAGAAGATGGATGCTAATTCTTAAAAATTCACACAGAAATAAAGTCCTAGCTGTGTTAAGTGCTCCACAGCCACGGGTCCAAGGCTATAGGAAGTTTTAACAGGGGCATATGGCCTGATCTGGGGGTCCAGGAGGAAATGCACTGGGTGTTGAAGGGTGAGTAGGAGTTTACCAGAGTGGCAGTGTTGGGGTAAGGCAGTGATCCTGGGAGAGGGGCCACCATAACTGAGAATTTCTAGGGCAGGAGGGAGGAAGGGCGCTGGGCAGGAAGGGGTACGGACTGCAGCAGAGAGGGTGGGGAGGGGCCACCAGAAAAGGACCAACGGTGGCAATGGGGCTAGATCAGGGAGGGCCTCCAAGAGCAAGGGGACATTCCTTAAAAGGTGCAGGCAGAGAGCAGGATTGGAGAGGGATCCAGACAGGATCGGACTTGCACTCTGAAATGGCTGCTGTGTGGAAAACGGGCTGGAGGAGACCCAGGGAGACCAGTCAGGAGGCTACTGTGTTGGTCCAAGAGTGAGATGGTAGGGCTGAGACCCCGCAGGGGGCCGTGGAGTGGACAGACTCAGAGGCATGCAAGAGACTTCTAGATGTTAAAAATGACAGGATGTGAGACAAACCAACCTCCCAACACCTTACCGCCCCGCCCCCAGCACAAACGCTTACCTCCAGCAAACAGGAAGATGCAGACGGCTTCCAACAACAGCACAGAGGGCATGTTGATATGGCTACAGGGCCAGGACAGGAAAAAAAGTGACAGCAAAGATTCTGTAGCTCCCCAAGTCGCACATCCAAACAAGATGACAATACCCAGCCTCTCCGAAGGTACCAATGTGACCCTAGGAGCCCCTCCTCACCACAATAACTTCAGTAGCCTGGAGGAAACCCAAATTCGTAAAAGCCACAGGAGACTTTACTCCAGTGACTTTGATTTTAAAGGACAGTCTAATTCTTCCCCGACACCCATCCCCCCTAAGCCACCCCCCCCAGCTCCTTCACAGACCTGGGCGAGGAGCAAACCCTATGTCTAGACTAGAATTAGGAGACAGGGTCCTGGCTTCAAGATTTGATTTCAATACCTTTGTTTTAGGAAACCTAGCAAAGTCACCAAGCTTGTACTTTCTCAATTATTTATAAACAGTAATGTGGCTGAGGAAGAAGCGAATTATCTAAGTTTTTTTTATTGCCTAAGAATGCTCATTGTGTGGGTAAATTCAGTTCCGTGGAGCCTGGTTCTTTATTGGTTTCTGAGGAAGTATCAGTGTGAAAAGTGAGAGCTTTTACTAAGAAACTGACTGTAACTTTGCTTCCATAGGGCACGCACCTGGGGTGTCGTCCTTCTGCCATTAGCTGCCAGGCCTAGGAGAGGTACCCTTATCGTTTCCGTCACAAAGATCCGATGCACGATTCAGATGACCTGAGGTTTTAGCAAGATCACAAGTAGTGTAAGAACCGAAAGGTTGTACAGAATGAAATTTAGACTTTCCCCCCAGCATCATTGAGCAGGGGAATATCTAAAAGTATCTTGACAGTAGAGTCTAGAAATCCTACTTTTTGCCCTGTGGGATCCAATATATGTAAGATCTCACCCGGCACTTTCTCTGCCTTGAACTTGCGCTTTAAGAGAAGACTTGGACGAGCCAGACAATGTCCCATGTGGGTCTTTCTAGAGGTCCCTTCCATGAAACACGTAACACTGACACTCATGTAAGAGAATTCTCGGAAGAGGAAAACCCCAGGCAGGGATTTGGAAAGGGAAGTAGGGGCCTGGGGAACCCCACGTTCTAGAGATGAGTCAGCCACTGCATCTGGCACCCAAGGATGCTCACTGCACCCAGATGTGCCCAACTCGGAAAGCCCCTTCAACCATCTTACATAAGTGCCACTCTCCTGCATCTAAGATGATGCATAACAAGGCAGGAACCCCAAGTCTTCCTCTAGGTAATCCTGAGCCTTCCAACCTGTACCCCCCCCCGCCACTGTCCCCAAGGAACACTGGTTCTCTGAAATACATGCCAAAGTTTCCTGGTCATCTGTAGCAGCAGACCGAACTGCCTCTAAGTTAACCTGGGCTAAAACGAGCTCTCCCACAAACTCCCACCCACCCAACCTCCCAGCGGCAGGAACAAAACAGCTCCGATTTCAGAGGACTCGCTGAGCAGGCTGAGGGGCGTGGCTGCCTTGAAAAGTCAGTCACCCAGGAAATGTACAGTGGAAAGGTTTAAAATGACCCAACTCATGTTCATAAATCTGCAGTGGCCACACCTGACTTGGAATTACTGGAAATGAGAATGAACAGAGGGGCCGTGCTACGGGGTTCGCACTTAACCCCACCCCAGGCCCCACCTGCGATCCCACCTCCAGGGAGCAGGAACCGGGGAATGAACGAACGAGAGGGTGGCAGCATGGTGTGAAAGAGGACACGCTGGACCCTCCATGCCACTTCTGGAGCCCAGGCCAGCTTGGGGCCTGAGCCACCGCTCAGAGCTTGATCCACACTGGGATGGCACTCCTGTAAGTGACTACCTGACAAGCAGGGGCCACCCCTGGCCTGTGATGATGCAGAGCCTGCATCCTGAATCCAGAAGCCCCTGCTGCTTGTCTGATGGGTGTGACCCTGACTTATGAAACCAGGGAGGAGGTTGTTCCAGATGCTGCTAAGGTGTCTTCTGGTTCTAAAAACCCCGTTTGATCACCCCTCCGTCCAGGTCTTACTCATCTGTATATTCAGCTCATTGGACTTCAGAACATCTCTGAGATACATGAAGTCAAAAACATCCCAACCAGCTGAGAGTCTTTGTGCTTCAAGTGACTAAGAGGCTCAAGAGGCTAAGAGAGTCTTTGCGCTTCACCTAATCTACATGGAAATCGGAGATTCAGTATCGTGAGAGAGAGAAAAAGGTAGACAGAGAGCATACTGGGCGCTCCCTGCTAGCTTCCAACTGGGTGCATGTCGGCAAGGCACTGCCCTTTCCTCCAAGGTCAAATTTTCTTTCCTTTTACTCTCCAAAACAGATGCAGGACAAGCCCCCACATGCCACTTGGCAGCCAGGCGACAGCCAGGCCTGGGGACAAGGGGCCGTGCAGGGCAAAGGTAAAAAAAAGGCTTCTCAATGCTATGTAATTCTTGAGTCCAGGATGATTTTCTGGGTCACCGCTTCTGACCTTGGGCACGTGCAGGACTCGGAGGCTCAGGGCTGTTCAGTTTTTATAAAACCAGGGTTGTTGCAGCCTCCCCTGGCTGCCATGAGGACCAGGTGGAAGGTTCCTGCCACACAGTAAACACGACCGCCTTCCCTCTGCCAGAAAACAAACCTAAGCCACGTCATCTCGCTCTGTTATGTGTCCTTGCTTGTCCAGGCGAATGTTCCTAACTTTCCGCTCATTAAAATAAAGCATATGCTGGGCGGCTGCAAATCAATGCAAAGGTCAAATGCTTCCTCATGAGGGTTTGGGTGGGATGGTGCTGGCTCTGGGACCTCAGCAGCCCCTGCCTCCCCTGTCCCCAACACAACCCTGTAGTCAGTCACCTTGCCCACACTGCACCAGAGGTGCCGGCTGGGTAAGCTAAGCACCACATCACCCATCACAGGTGGGTGATAAGCCCATCACAGGTGGGGTACTTCCAGATCAATCTTTGTGCTCACTGCATTCTTTTCTGTGCCCCAATGAAGGAGGCGGATGCTATTTCCATGCTAGTGAAATATTAACAGTACTCTTTCCTGACCATTCACACCCTGTCATTTCAAATAGTTTATTCTCTCTCCCCTCCTCACATAGCAAAACTTTGTTGACATACTAATTTGGCATTTTAAATGCAACCCTATATCTAAAAACCTTTTTTATTTTTTTAAAGATTAACTTTATTTACTTTTAGCAAAAGGGGAAGGGAGGGAGAGAAGCATCAATTGGTTGCCTCTGCATGTGCCCTGACGGGGAATCAAGCCAGTGACCTTTCCACTTTGCAGGACAGCGCCCCACCAACAGAGCCACGCAAGTCAGGCCTCTGAAGACTTTTACTTTTTAAAAAATGGAACCCAACAGCTACTACCAACAAGTTACTGGGCTCCAAACTACTGTGTCTGCTTTTTCCTAATCCTCACAGTCAGCCAGTGAGAGTATACCCCCCATTTCACAGATGAGAAAACCGAGATGTAGAACAGTTAAGTGTTTTGCCCCAGGTTATATGCCAATAAGAGGCTTGGACTTCATTCCGGCCTCTGGGTGATTGATCTGTTCAATCTTCCCGAGTCTGGGGAACCAGGACGGAGAAACAGAAGTATAATTAAAAGTCTGCCTCCCCAAATCCCGCCCTTTGGCAGGTTTCCACCCAGCTAATAACCTGCCAGTAGCCCCCACCCCCAGCAAAGGGGCAGATTTCCAGAGCTCCCGGCATTCTGTCAGGAGTAGGCTGCAGCCCGGGAGGTGGGGGGCGGGAGGGGGGGGCTGGGCACAGACCATTGGCTCCCAGGTACACCTTGTTAAGCCTTTTCCATTACAAGTGCTTCCATCATCACATTTGTTCTTTTCTGTTCCATTACTCATGCTAATCCCTGGCTCCTGCAACTCTCACACATGGATTTAGGTGCCCCCCAAGCCCCAATCTCTTCATCTGGCTGTTCTCTGCAAATCCTGGTTCCAAGCGGCACTGGTGGCATTTGGGGACAGTGGGTGAGTGGGATTTGCTGCAGGGCACCACAAAACTCTGCACTCTGGGATTATACTTCCCCGGATAGAGGAAGAAACCAGGGTCAAAACAAGTCCGCCTTTGAAAAAGCAGGGTGGACCGGTAATAGCTAGAGGCAGTTTTGCAGGACAATGCCTGCACTCTCCCCTGTGATCAGAAGTGAAGTCAGTGCAGGGTGAAAAAAGAAACCACTTCCACCTCCTTACAAAATGCAATTCCTATCCCAAATATTAGATTAGTGCTTGGCGGCCTCCTTTCAATGGGCCAGGATGGAAACCTGAGCCCTTCACCAGAACAGGCAGCACCTGAACCGGAAGACTAGAATCAAGGTAGAAGTTTCCAGCCAGACAGCCAGACAGTCGTCTTTCCTGTCCACCTGGGCTCAAGCCCAGAGTCTAGGGCAGTGGACAGCATGTTTCTAGTTTGATGAGGCAGGGAAAGCATTTTAAAAGCAGCTCAGGGAACAATCGGCTCCCCCTAGAAGAATCACAAATTTTCAGAACCCCTGAGTGAGACAACCAGAAGTCAGCACCAGGGACAATGTGCCGTTTGCCTTCCCTGATGGTTGGGGAGAGGGCTGTGCAGACAGGCGGAGGAGCATCCCACACTCACCCCACCTGCTGGGAGATCATTTTTAGCCAAAAGAGGTTTTAATGTTAGTTTTAATGATCTTTGAAAATGCTTTAAGTTGCACGAGACGCAAACTCACTGACTCGGGACTCTGGGAGGCACACACACAGGACAGGAAGTCCAGAGACTGAATTCCAGCCTCGCTCTGCTTGTGACCAGCAGAGGGACTCTGCCAGCAAGAGCTTCCCCGCCTCTGTTCAGTCAGCTGCCAAATGGGGAGAATCTCAGTTTCACAAACTCACGCAGTGTTGTAAAGATTCTATAAAACAGTGTGTGACCTTCCCTCCTTTTGATAAAACACTTTCTAAATGTACGATGGTAAAAGATGATGATCGCATATGTTAATTTCATGTAACAAGAGTCATAACTCCACCCTGGCTGGTGTAGCTCAGTGGATTGAGTGCGGGCCTGCAAACCAAAAGATAGCGGTTCAATTCCCAGTCAGGGCACATGCCTGGGTTGTAGGCCAGTTCCCAGCAGGAGACGCACGAGAGGCACCCATACATTGATATTTCTCTCCCTCTCTTTCCCTTCCCCTCTAAAGATAAATAAGTAAAAAAAAAAAAAAACAGTCATAACTCCAAGGGTAGACGTGATCATTTCCATTTGTATACATGGAAATGGTCTTGGAGGAGTTGGGGGCCAAGGTCCCAGAGCTGGGGAACCACAATCTCAGCGTCTGACTACAGGCAGCTCGGCTGTGACAAGAAGCGCACAGGACAGAGAGGACACACAAAGGGCACTAATCGAACACCAGGAGCTGGAGCATGAGTCACGCTGGTACATTCATTCACTTCAATCTCTCCATTTCCTTCTCTCAAAAATGGGGGTGGCACCACCTGTTCTCTTTGACCCAGGAGGGTTGTTGCCAGGATCACCTGAGACCACAGGGCACAAGCCCCCTGGGCCAGGGCAAAGTCTCCTCCATGGAGCTCAGGGAGGTCCAGCTCAAGAGAAGGGACTTGGGGTCAGGAAAGGACGTGGGGGCTCAAAGATAGTCATCACATTCAGGGAAGCCCTGCAAGTAATTTTGCAGGTGGAAAGATAAGCAGTCTGGGCTGTTTAGAGGATAAAGGGGGAAGCCAAAGGAAGAACTGCAAGTGTATTCAGCTGCCCCTGGGAGCTGGCATGGGGTGATGCTGAAGTGAGAGTTGTGCACCGACAGACTCTCCCCTGTGCAGGGTCCCCAAGTGACCCCCAGTAGTCTTGTAGATCATGGGAGGGCTGTTAAAAAATATCATTGTGGGATAAAATTAAAAATTAGCCATCTGAAACTAAAACAATATTGAACACAAAGTGTAATCGAAATAAAACCCATAAAAAATAGCTATTCTGTTCGTCCTCCCAATGAAAACACTTTTTTTACTGATATGTGAAACACAAGAGTTTGAGGACCACTGTTCTAAAACACTTCTTAGTGTTCCTGACACTTCCATTAATCTAACTGCATGAAGTTGCATTTATCCAATGAAAACTATCAGGCATCTCTCCTGTGCCCGCACCCTCCCTGCTGTTGGGAATGCAATGAAAATGCTCTGTCAGATGCAAACCTGGTGGGGACTTTCTTAACAAAAGGCTTTTACATTTGTAGCAGCAGTTTATCCCCACCCAAGGTCACCACTTGCCAATTAATGGCTGTGCCCTTTATGAATCTCGACAAAAACCCAGGAGCCCCAGTTCCTGGCAGGCTTTTCATTTGCCCTGGGGCAGTCTTCCACCCTCTCTGGGCCTCAGTTTCCTCATCTGTAAAGACAGGGGGCATCCGACTATGATTCATTCCAGGGGACCCGGGTCTGTTGTGGGTAGCGGGTATGGCAGACCAAAATCCAGATTCAAAGAAAATATGTCATAGATGGTTTTCGGTCAGACAGACAGGTGTGATGAAGGAGACGTTCCCCTCTCGCCCTGGGGCGTGCCTCAGGAACTAGGCTGGGAAATTCTTACTTATACAGTCAAGAAGTGGCTCTGAGCTAGACTTGTACAAGAGAAGAGAGTGGGCCTTAACCCACCCGGAAAGGTGCTCAGTGGCGCTTTGTTACCCCATCAGCCAAGAAGAGCATGCTGCAGGCTACTGGCGCCAGCAGCCTCTACAAACAAACTCCCACGGCCACTGTACATGGCAGTGATACCTCGCTCACTCTTCTGACTCGTTGCTTCTCTCTTCTCAATAAATTCACATTTCTTAGTACAATGTCAAACTGGAAGCCAGACAGAGCTTGAATTTTTAGACATCAATTTACAAAACCCTCAGGGGGTCTAGGGTTCTAGTTTGTTTTTTAACTAAATGGCTTTATAATTTGAAAATTGTAAGGTTCCAGTTACTCATTTCCAAGACACCAAACACACTGCACGGTGTCCCCAATGAAAGGCCCCTCTTTGCTGGGCAGCTATTGATTCCACAAGGAAAGGGCAGCAAGGTGCCCTCTCCCCTTTGCTTCTGCCTGGGTGCCCACCATGTTTTTAAATAGAGGCCTCCTGGCAAATTTAAAAGTGCAACTTGGAGACACTCCTATTTACCTTGGTCCCAGCTGGTGGCCAAGGGCCAGGCCCTGGGCTGGGAAGGAGCAGAAAGGAGGGTTGGGTCAGGTGGTGATGGTGGTGGGGTTGTCCCCAGCTTGGGAAATCACCATGGAGTTCAAGCCCCCAGGACTACCCATCGCCCAAGGGCCAGTCTCTCAGGTAGCAGGCCCAACTTGGGCTCTGCTTGCAGAGACTTCCATGGGGGGCACTGGGAAAAACTGCACTGGAGTATCTGTAACACCTGCAGATGCTCCGTAACGGGGGAGGGGGTTGCGTGGCTTGGGCATGTCCCCCAAGCCTTGATTCAGAAGACAAACTCCTTCTGTGACTGCTGCGCGCAGCTCAGGTTTAATATGTAAGTTCCCTCCTCCACCGGCAACCACCGAGCCCCTAACCCCTTACCTGCAGTTTTTGCCCCTCAGCCCGATGCTCCAGTGCCAGGGACTCAAGGGAGGGGCCGCTGAGGGACCCTCTACGCTCCCCTTCCCAAAACCACGGCCAGTTCTCCCCAAAGCATCCAGGAAGCCCGAAGGAGGCGTGCACCGCGTGCGTTTTCCCCCGGGACGTTGTCTGCCGGCTGCCCGGAGAGGTGCGCGCGCCTGGCGGCAGTGCTCAGGTGAGCGCAGACAATGCCGAACAAAGCCCGCAACGTCGCTGCGTCCGCGCGGAGCCGCAGTCTCCGTTCTTCGCGTAGGGGCGACTGGAGGCCGAACCGCTCGTCCCCCTGGCGCGAGTATAAGTAACCCACGCCCCTTCCGAGCACGCTACCGGGGTTCCGGGCGCTAGGGCTCCTGCGGCAGGCAGACAACCTGGGCTCTGACTCCCCGGGAGGAGCACAGCGAGAAGCGCTCGGCGGGACCCGGACGCCGGGGCAGCTCTGCGGGCCCGGGCGCGCGCGGCTCGGGCCAGGGGGCGCTGCTGGTCCGCGGAGGGGCACCCGGGGTGGGAGCCATACGGGACACCGGTATTTCTCAGCGAGGGAAGGCGGAGAACGTGGCGCGGAAGGTGCAACAGGCGTTCTGCAACCCCGCCCGCAGCGCCTCCGGTGTTTTTAACAAGGACTTTGCCGAGGGTGGCAAATAAACGGAGGTACTTACTCCTGCGGCGGGTCCCCGGCTCTAGGCGATGCAGCAGCGCTACACGCTGTTGACTCCGCAGGATTTATTGCTCAAGACTGGGGCGAGAATGTTGACTTTGGCATCGTTTCTGTTTGTCGTGGAGATTGTCATTTGTGTACCTGGCTGTCCTATCATTGGAACTGCGCGGTAATTAGCGGGCCTTTTAGCCAATATCCCTGTTTAAGCCTAAATGGTGCCCGACTTTTAACATTCAGACGCCACAATGCAAAGTCGTACCACGCCTGGCACAAGACCTCATACATAATAAGCACCCCATGAACGGTGACTAAAATTGAGTACTGTGTGGTTTCATACTCACCAAAAAGGTGCTGTTGCAGAATGTGTGCTTATCACAAAAAAATAAATAAATAAACACCAGCAAGCGGGTCGAAAACCCACACCTATTCCACCACCCAGTGATAATCACTGTTAATATTATGGTGTATATCCCTCCAGTGTCTACTTACATAAAAATGTTCCGTCTTTAAATTCATTCCACACAGACTGTCTCACAACCAGCTTTCCGCTTCCCTCTTGAGCACCTTTCTGATTTTTAGCACCTCTTGTTCCAACGTGCTTAATCTGCTGTTGTCAAACATTAACTTTTAATTTTAAACATGCAATTAGACATTTGTGCTTTTTACTCCATTACTCAGACTGCAAGAAGGTAAACGTGTAGTCTGTTGGGTACATGCAGTTTAAGGCTTTAGATATTAGATATTTAGATATTATTAAATTGCCCTCCAGGAAGATTGCCGCTTCCTTTTCCCTGTGCCCTTCCTATTATTCTTGTAAATGTCAGTCTGCTAGGCTAATAATGGTTTTCTTGTTTTTACACCTTTCCTTTTAAAAGAGATTGGAAAAACGTTTCCTTTCCGCCTGTGTTTCTCAGCTGGTTTCCAACTCTTCCGACATTGCCAGAGCAGCTTCAGTAAAGCAGGAGCCCCTGTGCCAGGGGGAACTTGCCGGCGGGCTAACTGCTGGGGGTGGGGGGGAGGCGTGGTCTCTGCCTCTGATGGTCCTGGCCCACAGAAACGTGATGCAAGCTACTTGGGTGATTTTAAATGTTCTGGTAGCCCCGTTTGAAAAGGGAGGGAAGAGTGCATTTAATTTTAATATCAACGCAGTTGATCCCCAATACCTGTGTGTAAACATGATAGAGGTATTTTACAACTTTTGAATTCTGTGGTAATGTACATGTACTGCCATCTCCGTTTGGATGAGCCACAGTTTCAGTGATCGGGAACCACATGCCGGTGACAGCCGTGCTGCTCTCGGCAGGAGCACGGTTGTGAGAGTGGCAGCTCTGGCGTCCCCGTAGGGGGGAGATTTCACAGCCCACCTGGCGTGATTGGCTGTTGACATTTCTCTGAACGACTTTGCCTAATCAGGTCTACCTTAGGGAAGCCAGATTTCAATGCTAGATGTTTCTGACAGCTTGACATCTTCCACTGGTGGCAAATTACATTCTCATTCCACGGTTAGTAACTAAAAGATGAAACTCAGGTGGAGAGACCCGGTGCTTCAAACTCCATGTCGAAGAATCATCCACCTGTCCAGGGGCCCGTCAGGTCTGTCCATCTTGTATGCACGTGGGGAGGCAGGAAAGGTGGGGGCTCTGGAGGGTGGTGCGTAGTGGGGGGAGACCACCTGGGGCAGGGGCTCTTTATCTGAAGATGGGCAGCTGCAATTATCATCCACAGCAACCCCTCCTTTGTGATTTGCAGAAATCTAAAAAATAAAGTCACCGTGAAGAATCTTTACCCCAAAAGGCTTGCGCTGTGAACCCATTGCTTCCAAGGACTTTCCTTGCTCATCTTTGCAGCCCCAGTATCTAGTCACTCTACACAGTAAGAGCCCCTTTAAAATGTGACTCCTTCATGAGTTTCCCTGGATGGCAGGTCTCAGTGGTAAACACACAGGCGTGAAGGTGACTCTGAATTACACGCGGAGGTCAGTGGAGATGACAGCACTCAGCTGCACGCAGCAGGGAACCCCGTGTAGTGGAAGGACCACCGCTTCAGAGACAAGGGGGCCCCGGTGGCCCCGTTCGGCTCTCTTGACTACTGGCTTCATGGCAGAGAAAAGATGCTTCATTTTCTAATGCTCACTTTCCTGGCCTGTAACATTAAAGGTTGTTGGGTACAATGGTTCCCAACTCTGTGGAAGTCCCATTCAAATTGTTTGTATCCAGTCCCCCAAATGAGGAAGGCCCAAAGTGGGGTACAAAACAGAGGTGCCAAAGTTGTGGATTTCCAGTTGTCAATTTCTTGTTGAGAAAGAAAAGAACAGGAAACAATGAACCATAGGTGGCAAAAAAAACCATCCCAGAGAAAACAAAGGGCCTGAATCTAAACTGCTCCAGATTAAGCCAGAGCCAAAATTGGAGACGTGGGTGTAGGAGGGGGGACAGAAGGGGCACAGACACAAGGAACAGAAATACTGCCATCTTGAAGCTGAAGCCCCTTTGGTATGGGCTTGGCACCAATTTGTCTAAGGGCTAAAGCATACACCCCAACTCCTTTAAACAGAGTAATTATGCACCAGATCTTACTGGATGTGCCTTGGGAAAATGTGATGCTTTCTGGCCAAATCAAGTAAACATGGAATGTCTACAAGGCAAAGACTTGGGTAACATGTTAGTCATTCTATCAACACCCAAAACCGGATCAGCACTCCACTTCAAACTGTTGACACTGCCGAACTTTGTATCTTTAGTTTTCATGCATGTGTACGCCTTCGCACACGCCTCTGTTGGATGTATTTTGAGGAGAGTTTGGGTGCACCCTTGGAGGCGGCAGAGTAGGCTTCTGCCTGACCTACAACAAACCTCACAGTCCATCTCATTTCCTGGAAGTCTTGTATCACGAGAGGTGGGCACGCTCTGGCTGGTGTGGCTCAGTGGGTTGAGGGCCGGCCTGTGAACCAAAGGGTTGCCGGTTCGATTTCCAGTCAGGGCACATGCCTGGGTTGTGGTCCCTGTTTGGGGGCATGCAGGAGGCAACCTAGCAATGTTCTACCTCCTTCTCCTTCCCTTCGCCTCTCTAAAAAATAAATAAAACCTTAAAAAAAAGAGGTGGGCACCTCCTCATCAAACAGTTATCTCACTTCAAGGTTGAAACGTAAAAAAAAGCACAGGAAAATGGCTGAGGCTGGGCAGCTAAAGCCTTAGATGAAACCAATTTTAGGAGGTCACTGGAAAGCTAACGCCTAGAATCAAGAACCTTCCTAGGGAAGTCAGACCACAGTGCCCAGCGGGTGATGTGAGCAGGTTTGGGGCAGTTGAGGAAGTGTGGTCTCTCTGTGTGAGCCTCCCTCGGCTCTCACCCCCAGCTCTCACCCCCAGCAGGCAGCCCCCGTCCTGCTGGAACTGAACCTCGCTTTGATGCCAGCCGGCGAAGTCATCCTACCGCTCTTTCTTAACTCAGGTTTGGAGCCACAGGCTGCCCTCCAATTCCTTTCATCTGGAAAAACAAAACAAAAACTGCCCTTGAGAACCCTTTGTGTTTGGGGAGTAAGCGCTGCGTGGGTGCCGGGCTGGCTACAGAACCACCTGCACTGGTGAGCAGCCCAGGTGGCACTTTGGCTTGTCCCCAGGAGCTCAGTCTGCCAAATCCAGGCAGCAGCTGTGCTGGTGGCGAGCCCACTGGGAACACAAGTGGTCCCTCGCTCTGGGCTGGAGGCCTCCCAGGAGCTCACCTCTCAGTGACCTCATTCCTGCCCCAGAATTCGGAATTCGGTAGTTTGGGGCCCGCTGGTAAGGACCCGCATGGTACTGGTTTTCTGGAGTACACATTGTGTAGCAGGAGAGCTCAGCTGCACAGTATCCACCACCCTCACACGCAGTTTTGAGCCTTTTACATTTCTAGCTGCACCAAAAGAACTCTAGCAAAAGAAAAGGCACGGCGAACGTCTTTCCCATCAATTCCTGGCCACCGTTTGATCCGTGACAGGACTCTCTCCCCTGGCAAAATGAAACTGATTTGTCTCATACTTACACGGCCTCTACCAAGAAATAATCTGTTCCTTTGGCTATTTGTTTTCAGCCCTAGTCAACTTATTATCTACGACTGAACCAGGTATTATGAGGGACTGGCAGGTATGACGGGCCATATGTCCTATCAAATGATCAACACAGCACCTACCACACACTGTCAGGCACATGGCTGGAGTTCACTAAATATTTGGGAAATTCATGTTAACAGAGGAAAGTCTTAAATCTACTCAGAAATAAAGACCTGGCGGCCTGGTATTTAATATGTGGAGTTAATCTAGGAGACATTTAATTCTTCTCTCTGTGAGACCAGTGCTAGACTTTATTAGTTCTTCTTGGGAACAAGGCACATAACTGAACCACCGAACAACACTAAACTCCATGTTTGTATTCAAATTTCCATATAATGCCTTGGACTAGGAGGAACTCTGACTTAGGTTTTTTGTGTGTTCTTTGACTTGCTTCCCTCATTCTCCAGAATAAAAAGGCAAATTTTGTGATTCTGTGGTTTTCCTCTGCATTTTCACTGCGGCTGGAATAGAACAGAGAATGAACAAACCACGCACCCAGGGCCCCTGGAATGCACAGGTAGGAAGGGAAGGGAGCGAAATGCTGGTGACGAGAACAGGAGGAACCTGGCTGCGAAGTGAGGGGGTCGTGCCGGGCAAAGCAGGGTAAACGCTTGTCACGTGGGCACATCATGTTTGTGCAACTCTCACACGAAGATCCCATTCACTCCAACAGGCCAGCTGACGCACACGCTCGGGAGAAACAGCAGCAACAGCAAAGTCTTTGAAGTCTCTTCTCTGAGTTGTGAAAACATGTCCTTAGGTTGTCACAGGACAGGCTGGTACTTCAAATTATGGAAAAATTCCCAGACAGAAACGCAGGGGCTGACAGAATAGGTCAGCTGGCCTGTAACTGTGCACATGTGAGTTTAGGAGAATTTAGTATTATGTGCTTTAAGAAAAATATGTGCTCTTAAATTTTTAACTTAAATTGTTAACTGTTTATACTTCAGAAAATGGCAGGTTGGATGGCGAATTCTATCTATAATAAAAAATCTAAGTAGTTACATATCTGAAAGGGTAAGGATAGCAAGGACAGAAAGAAGTTCTTTCCCCAGCTGGAGTGGTCCAAAGCCCAAGGTCAGACTCCATGCCCAAGGACAGGCTCTCTGCCCCAGGACAGACTCTTGGCCCAAGTTCAGACTCCATGCCCAAGGACAGACTCTCTGCCCAAGGACAGGCTCTCTGCCTAAGGTCATACCCCACGGCCAAAGGCAATGTGAGCCAAGTCACGAAGGACAGCAGGTGGTGGACGACCTCACGCACAGGGAAAGAGCAGCAGAGACTGGAGCAACACAAACCAAGAATGTTTATTACGGGCAAGAGGCAAATGATGAGAGTGGGGAGCAGGGTGTATTTTATTATGAAATATTACAAACACACACAAAAGTCCAAAAAATAATAAAGCTTGTGTATCTATCACCTACATTTATCCATCATGAACATGGAGTCCTATTTTCTTCAGTACTTTTACACAATAAAAAGTTATATATACAGTAGAGAGCCCCTGCGTATCCCTTCCTGGTATTCCCATGAGTTTGGAATCTTTTATGCCAGGCTTATTTATCTGGAAGAACTTAGAGGAAGAAAATAAAACTCCCCGCCCTAGCGGAAGAGTAGTGAGCAAACAAAAGTGGAGGCGCAAAGATCATCAAAGAGAAACAGTTCCAGAAATGAAAACACGGGCCGCTGTCCCCTCTCCCCCGAGTCTAGCCTTCACCGCGTCCTGGCTCCTGAGTGTGTATCTCCAGAAGACTGCTTCTGAAAGAGAAAAGTCAACTATCATTACGCCGCGTACAAAAACTCGGTCACCGCGGTTCTTAATTTCTATGTTAAGTGTCAATGCAAGCAAGCCATTTACTTTTAACTGAAATGACACACATCAGAGCTGCCCATTAAAACCCCCACAGCAGTGCTACTGTGGTCATGACGGCTGCCGGAACTCCCCTTCACAACATAAAACACAGCTGTTCACACCCGCCTTCACAGATACTATTAGTTTACGTTAACTTGTATGCTGAAGTACTTACTTATCACTTTTGAGCAAAAGGTTACAGAATTTTATGTTCTCACCAACACATCACTCCTAGTAGAGCAATTTTATAGTTACTCACAAATTAAAACAAATCTCTCCCCAGATGACGAAACAAATTTAAAACACATTTTCTCTCTCTAGGAAGAAAAACTTAAAGTACTAAACAGTCAACTAAATTTCCACTGGAACAAAGGAAATATGCTTAAGTACCCACATACGCAATCTTTTCTAATAATATAACCCAGTCTCACCCCCTTCAGAAAAGTGCTAAACAGATACTGCAGCACAGCAGGCAGGTGAGCAGCAGGGGGCAGTAGAGAGAACTCAGCTTTCCCCATCTGTGTGTGTGATTTGTGGGCTGCCATTCAATCTCTCTGGGCTTCAACCTCCTCCCCTATAAAATGGAGTCGTACTTTCTTTTCAAGGGTATTGTGAAGGTAAACTATGTGACTAGATGTAAAAGTTCTTTTAAAATAAGGCACTGCCCCCAAATAAAGTATTATTACACTGTACTCAAATGCAGACAAAATATGTATGTATTACCAAAGTAGGGAAAAAGCTGGTTCAACTACTATGCTTTACGTGGTTTTATAAGCTTCAGTTTATTCAGAAAGAACAGAAAACACAGGTTCCATCTGAAGATGTGTGTGTAAGCACTCCCACCCTCTTCATGAAAAGAGGCCCATTACACAGAGAAAAAGTAAAACCACATACAAGTTAACGTCACTGGCATTAGCACAAAACTGCAGAAGTTCCGTCACTGCATGTTCCTCAATCTATGAGACAGATTATACGAAGTCTATGAAATCTATGAAATAGGCTATACAAAGCCCAATAAGGAAAAATACACAGGAAACCAACAGTGAAGGCAAGAAACCAGGACTCAAATCAACAATTTAGAACAAAAGGAAGAAACAAACATCCAACCAGAACAGAATGAAGAAACGAGAATTCAAAAAAAAATGAGAGACTGAGGAATCTCTGGGACAACTTTAAGAGTTCTAACATCTGAATCATAGGGGTGCCAGAAGGGGAAGAGGAAGGGCAAGAAACTAGACGTGCAAGCCTAGAATGTTCAGAATCTCAAAGAAGTTGGATCCAAACAGAAACACACCAAGGCACCTCATAATCATATTACCTAAGATTAAAGATAAGGGAAGAATCTTGAAAGCAGTAAGAGGAAAGGACACAGTTACTACAAAGGAGTTCCCGTAAGACTATAAGCTGATTTCTCCAAAGAATCCTTATAGGCAAGAAGGGGCTAGAAGGAAGTAGTCAAAGTCATGAAAGGCAAGGACCTACATCTAGGATGACTCAATCCAGCAAAGCTGTCATTTAGAATGAAAGGGCAGATAAAGTGCCTCCCAAATACAGTCAAGTTAAAGGAGTTCATCATCACCAAGCCCTTATTATATGAAATGTTAAAGGAACTTATCTAAGAAAAAGAAGATCCAAGACTATGAACAGTAAAATGACAATGAACTCACAAGTATCAACAACTGAACCTAAAAACAAAAACTAAGCAAACAACTAGAACAGGAAAAGAATCACAGAAATGGAGATCATACAGAGGGTTATCAGTTTGGAGGGGGAGGGGGAGAATGGAGGGAAAAGGTACAGGGAATAAGAAGAATAGCTGGTAGGTAAAAAACAGACAGGGGGAGGCTAAGAACAGTATAAGAAATGGAGAAGCCAAAGAACTTGTATGTACGACCCATGGATGTGAATTAAGGGGGGCGGGGGGCATGCTTGATGGAGGGGATGTGCAGGATGGAGGGGGAGAAAAGAATGGAACAACTGTAATGGCATATCAATAAAATATACTAAAAAAATAAAAAGCACTTGCTAAATGTAAACTATAAAAATATAAAAATAGATTAGCAAATGTAAAAAAACATAATAAACCAGAACTTGTAATGGAAATAAATCATTACAGTGTACATCAACACGGTTGACCCTGCCCTGAAGACATTCACCTGAGAACTGGGTCATACTTTCTTAGGAACAGAAACAGACCAGTGGGCCCAGCAGGTCCTGACCTGAGGCTCTCATGACGCACAGACCGGCAGAGAGACCAGCAGGAGCTGCTTGCAACAGGTCTGATACAGCTGCACTTGCAGTCTGATGTATTAAGTCAAAGCCCTTTCCTTGTGGCTGGAATTCTATTGACTCAAAGTGATAAAGACTTCATTTTGATCAGAAGTGCTAACTGGCCATTTACTGATCATAAAGTACAATAATTTCTGAGGGCCATCTTAGAACAAAAGATCCCTAACAGTAACAGGGGACTAGCAGGGGACAATTAGAGGGGAACTAGTGTTTCAAACTCACCAACGGTGTCTTTGAGCCACCACAATCACCAGAGCCAAGAGAGCACGTTTTGTTTTGAAATGTAACACACCGTCAGTGCGGCTTCTCTTCCACTCTCGACCCCTTATGTCCTCCTCACAAAAAGTGCTCAGCGTCGTCACAGCCATGGGCTCAAGCGAGAGTTAGTCTCACACCGGGACACGAAGGACTTCAGGCTACCTTCCCTCACGACGATCTCCACCAGCCCCTCCACATATCAACACGAGCACTCTCAAAAGTCAACCCCCCCGCGGAGAGGGGGCTACAACCTGAACAACCCTGGACTCAGGTTCGTTCGTAGTGTTAAAGGAAGCGAGGCTCAGGAAGACAGCAAAGACATGACCAGCAGACTGCAGAGCCTTAGGTCACAAAGGGAGACACGGCCTCCCAGAGAGACCTGTTCCACTCCGGCAGCTCGACCCGGAGCACGTGCCGGGAACACCTCACTGAATTCCGATGGTGACGGAAGAGGCAAAAGTAACCAAATGTTACTTACTCAGCTTTGTAACAGTTTCTTCATTTCAATAAATTTATTTTGATTGGTTGGGTTGTCTAAGAGGAAGAGAAGAATCTGTTCATGTTTTTCAACCTATGGATGAAGAAAAAGTAGTATTATTTAATTTCTCAAAAACGTGAGCAGGATAATGTCACTCAAAGGAAAGTGAACGCACTTGTTTCTGTAATTCTGAGCAGCAGCAATTCATCCTGTTCGTCTTTTCTAAAGGCAAATACAAAAAGCCATTAGGTCACATACGCAGGACATAAACAAAAAACCTGGAGTCCAAACACATGCGGACCTGCCCCTCAGCCACGGGTTCCAACCACAAAGGACCTGATCAATTAACTTTTCATCTGGGCTTTCATCTTACCCGTCACTGTGTCCTGGATTTCACTAAATTAATGCCCGTATGTCTAACGTTTTAGGTCTTCCACCTACCACTTATGTGATCTCTCTTTCTGGTCGAGAGCAGGCCTGCCAAACCATTATCTTACGAAATGTAACATCCTATCCCCAAAATATGAGTTTTCCTCACTTTGATCAGGATCAAAAGTAATTTGGAAGTAACTTGGAATGCTTGACATTTCTGAAGTTCCTGGTACCAATTCTACTGACGATGTTGCTGAGCCTAATCTCAGGCAAGTCTGGACTGGCAGGCCTGCTGCATCTGGAAGGTTCCTTTGAGGCAGCAGCAGGAACTGGAGCCCTGGCACTGGATTTATAAAGAAGGAGGCTGACAGGAGTGTGGCCACCAGGAGGAAGGAAAGATCAGGTCAATTAAAATGACCACCTCTGCTCTTAATTGCAGTTACACTTATGGCTGAGTCTGGAACAAATACCTTTGTCTACAGCATTTTGCTTTTTAGATGTGGCGTTTTTTGCCAGCCCACACATCACCAGCTTATCCGTCACCCTGACGGCCCCGTTCTCAGAACATTTCTCCACCGACACGGTGTGGACATTCTCAGTGATCCCCTTCACAGACAGCAGCACGTTCTGGTTCAACATGAAACTTTTCAGTAGCTCTATTACTAAGTGAGAACAGCTTCCATTCAATTCCATCAGTCCTGGGGAAAAAATAAATATTAGAGTTAACGTTCAAGTCCCTTTAAAAAGGTAATATTTAGATAAATCATCTAAGGACAGTAAGAAAAAGGCTTGCTGGTTTTAGCTAGGGTTAAGTGTGCTGTGATGTACTACTGCTGTTTGTTTCATTAGAAAAAGAACAAAGTTACTTAATAAACATTCACTGATCCCTATCATGTGTCAAGCACTAGTCTAGGCCTACAGAGCCAAAACAGACAAATGACTGCCTTCACGGCCACACATTCAAACAGGAGAAGAAAGCAATAATAATTTTCCAACCCTCCGAGGCAAAAAGCAGACTCTGCGGCCATCGGTGTGTTGTTACCTGTGCGCACGCACCTTTGGGTAAAGAAATCAGGAGAGTAAAACTCTACTTTAGTACTTCAGTTCACTTCATATATATTCCAAGTGAAGAACTGAATATATACAGATAATAACCTGTACAAGAAGGTAGCCAAAGACAGTGTCACCGAATGTCACCAGTCTCTAATGACAGAGAGGAAAGACCTCCTTATGAGTGGCCAGATGACCCCTGGTCATCGTTGCCCTGAAACTCACCAGTTTCACAACCTGGGGCAAAACAATTTCTGAACCTTGATACTCTGAAACTATCTGCAAAAAAAGATGCACCAACTGAATATAGTTTTGTGAGAATGAAAAAAAGTATAAAAGATGGTATTCTTTGTAAACTCTCCTTGGTATTTAGAAATCCGGGCAGTTACACTTGAAATATCCATTTGATTTAGACTCAGAGCTATAAAACAAACAGGGAAAGACAAAAACAAAAACAAAAAACCAAGCCCGAGACACCCAAATTGGAAAGGGACTGCACTGTCTACCTTCGAATGAACATTTAATAATTTGGAAGGGAAGCTGCAGGTGGCTGGCGGAGATGGGCTGCACTCTGCAAGGAGGCAGAGTTTCAACGTTGCCGTAGTCTGCGTAGATCACCTTCACCTCCGTCTCTGAGGCCGCCAGAACGACAGCACGGTACCAGAAATCATCACCTGCAAACACAGTGGCATCTCAGGTAAGAAGCTACATCCAATGGCTCCCTCCCTCTCTTGAGATGGCTATTCACAGTGACATTTACATCACTCAGAAACTCACCCCAAGACATCTGATTTCAAGCCAAAATAGCCAGATTAAATATAAGCATCACCTGTACTTTTTTCAGACTCTACTAAAAGGATAATTACAGGATTAAAATGAAAAAGACATAAAATCACAAGGACAGAGAATAAGAGAAGACAATGGAATACTGGAAGAGAGGAAGAAAACAGATGCATGAATGAAAATGACTGAGCAGAGCTCAACCAAAGCTGGCCACGGGGAAGCTAAAAAGCATCCCAGTTTGCATCTCAAATGCCCAGGCAACCAAGGTTCAGTAATTGGTGCTCACCATTCAGAAGGAGTAAAGCTGGAGCTGAAAGTGAGGAATGGGCATCAGAAGCAGTTACCCCGCCCAAGCATCTGAGCAGACTTTAGTTTATAAACACATTTACACTCATTTTTAAAGCTGCTAAAGGCAATGATCAGTTTTATGTTTGTCTGTTTTAGTGAAGTTCAGAACACCCTCTCCCTTTCCAGGCAACTGCTCCCATTCTGTCTCCAGAGAGGATGAGCCTGGCCAACTCTGCACTGGGGACCCTGTGGCTGAGCAGAGGAGGGAGGTGACCAATGACACATTCAGACAAGCCAGGCACTCTGGGCAGGCGACCACCACCCCAAGCAAAAGCTCTTCAAGATACGAGCATCAGGAGTCTACTGAAACTGCACAGGGTGATCACTCTCTAGTGAAGGCCACCAGTGCACAAGCTCTGGCCGTGCACAAGGAAGTGTGCAGTGAACTTCGCGGCACCCCATGTTAAGGATCACCAAATATGTGAGGACAGTTCCTCACAAGAAAGGTAAGTCCAAAGTTAATGAGTAGTGAGTGACTCAAGGAAACAGAGACAAAAGGAGGAGGGAGAAGACCATGAAGTGTTAAAGAATGATACATCCTTGGAGAAATGCCTTCAAATCTCGAAACAAGACCAAGACAGTATGAAAAACACACCCTTGAGATAACAAAGTAGCCATTGAAACCAAAAATGCAGTATCAAAAAGGAAATAAGAGAAGTTGGAAGACAGAATTGAGGAAATCTCTTGCAAAACATTAAAAAGATTAAACAGAAAAGAGAAAATTTGGCATAAGAGTTCATGTCCAACATTAAAATACTTCAAGTTCCTAAAAGAACAGAAAATGAAAGGAAGGAATAAAAGATAACTCAGGCAAATTTCTCAAAACTGAAGCTCATGAAATTCAGACTTAATGGCCCATCTAATGCTAAAGTCACATTGTAAAATTCAAAACAAAGGATGAAGAGATTAGAAGGTCCAGAAAGAAAAAGAATATGAACAATAGCTACCTCTTGACCAGCAACACCAACAGCTGAAAGACAAGAAAAGCAATACCTTCAAAATTATAAAGGAAAGATGATTTCCAACCTAGACTTCTATCCACTAACTATTCTGAGTAAGCTATCCACTAACTGTAGGGTAGAATAAATACTTTTTCAAACACAGGCATTAACAGAAAATTCATCTTAAATATGTACCTGTTCTCAGCTTCTGGAGAATGGGATATACTCAAATGTTAGAGTTAATCAAAAGTGAGGGATCCAGAAAGCAAGGTGAGATGAGGAAGAGAGGACTCTGGCTAACGAGGTGGGAGGGCAAGAAATCCAAGAAACAAGGGTGGGTGGTACCAAAACAACCGCCAAGCATCACGTGAAGGGAAAATCCCAGGATGACAGCTCAGGTCCAGAGGGCGAGCTGTCTAGAGAGGAGCAGGTAAGAAAGCGGAAGACGCCTCCAAATGATGATAAACGGTGGCCAAAGTACATTAAGTGTTTGCTGAATTTACACTGACGCAGGGAACAGGAGATGGTTAGTGAAAGTGTACAGAACAGTAGTAACACCGAAAAAGGCTGCAAAAGAAAAAGGTAATTATAATATACATATGGCTAGGCTATGAATGGTGTTTATACAATTCTAATCAAGTAATACGGAACTTAACCTAACCAAAAATTACGACATATTGCTACTGGGAAGAAAAGGAAAAGCGTCAACCCAGTTGTCTGTCACGTGAAAGAAAAATAGAACTAAGCAGAATACATTTTTTAATTTTACTGAACTGGGGTGATAAGCATAATACACTCTAAAACCATAAACCTAAACTTAAAAAGGAACATTATTCGGGCACCAGACCGAAAGCAGGGACGACACCAGCCCACTCACGACTCCGGGCACCTGTGCGCTCCGTTACGATGGCCGGAGAGCAACAGGCTCCCAGAACTTACAGAACAATTTATGGCCTTTGACCCCAAAGTCTATTCCTTAAAACTCAGCCTATAGTATTTATAGTTACCCAACTTCTTCCCCCAAATTCACTGCAAGTGTTATTTATATTAGCAAAAAAAACCCCTGTTAACGTGAACTAGTAAACGACCGTAGAATAAACTATACCCAGTCCAGTAAGTCCAGTCCAAATGTCCCCAGGGCATTTTCTTCTTTTTTTAGTACATCAATAGAGCTCCCTGAATGATCTGCAATCCCTCTGTATGTACATGTAACATTACTGATCCACCACTCAGAGAACTTACCTAGAGCTGGTTACCTGCCCAGAAGAACTGACGGATCTGCATGTTCCCACCTACACCCTTGCCTTTCACACATCGTCTGTGTTAGGGCACAGAAAAACCGAACTGAACCCAGGACCTTGTCTCTAACTTCTCTCTCTAACCGAATGAAATACACATCTAAAATAGCATGATCCATATAATCTCCTGCAAAAGAGAGCAGAACGACTTTCCCCCTTTGACGCCCTCCCTGAAAGAGCCGCACCTGTGTACCGGGCGCAGCAGGCGTCTCCCGCCCTCGGTCGGTAGGGCGGCCGGCTCCTCTGAGCACCGCAGTGTTCTGCCAACTCAGCTGCCAGGGCACTCAGCTTTGCCTGATCCTCTGAAACACACAAACACAATCTCCCGTGAGCATTTTCAGTGCTACTATTTGAGTACAGTATACATGTTTAGATTTGTCAAAATTCACAAGAATGTCAAATCTAACCACTAAAAAAACCCCACCTGTATTAGAACATATATTTAAAAAATAAATCAAACCACTATTGGCTATTGTGTGCCGAAGGGGTGCAACACAGGGAGGGGGCAAGAAAGAAGCCTCTGGTGGGCTGACTGTTGACTGGAGTTGTTATGCTAGTGCATTCGCTCTCTGAAAAGTTCATAAGCTGTATCTTTACAGGTGTCTGGTGTGCTTTTCACTGAGTAAGTTACACAGGCATACCTAGTTTTATTACACTTCGGATACTGTACTTTTTACAAATTGAAAGTAAGACCCTCCCCCACCAGCAAAAAGATTACAACTCACTGCAGGCTCGGATGATGGTTAGCACTTTTTAGTAACAATGTATTTTTCAATTAGGATATGTATGTTGTCTTATTATAAATAATGCCATCACACACTTAAAGACTATAGTAGAGTGTAAACATTATTTTTGTATGCCCTGGGGAACAAAAACTCGTGTGGCTTGCTTTATTATGATACTCACTTTACTGCACTGGTCTGGAATGGACCACGTTACCTCCGAGGCCTGCCCACAGTTATCTTACAGGACCTGCGAGTTACTCTGATTGGCCGCCACCGAACTCGGACTGACTCACCTTCTACACTATAATCTACACTACCAGGATGAACTCAAATGAAGAGAAGACTTAACTGTAAACTTCCGTGAAACAAAAAAGAAAAATTAAAAATACTTATATACTAATCCTCTTCGTGATTAGGTCCAGTGTAAAACATTTCTCTAAGTTTCTAAAGATATAGTAACACTATAGTCACAAACTACAAAGTATCCTTCCAATATAATAAAGTTCTGGTTCAGATGATCTTAAATGGTTAAAGAATGTTAACTTAGTAAAGATAATTCAATGTAAACGAATATATTTTAAACAAAAACTAATACAGTACTTAAGGACACTGTTTTGTTACAAAAACCTGTAGATTATGACAATGAGCTTGAATAGGTGCTGAATGCAGGGCATTCTATTCGTATGTACAGTTGTGCTTTTATAAGTAAAAGTTTTTATTGATTTGAGAGAGAGAAACATCAATTTGTTGCTCTGCTTATCTGTGCCTTCACTGGCTGATTCCTGCATGCTCCCTGACTGGGGATCGAACCCACAACCTGGGCACATGGGGCTGATGGTCTGACCAGCTGAACTGCCGGCCAGGGCTGCCGAGTAAACTTGCCTGCAGTGTTTAATATCAGTTCTTCCCTAAAACCTCACGTGAGACAAAGTCGTTACACTCCTCCTCTCCCCAATTCCTAATGAGTTCACATAAGCACTTTCATTTTATATTTAAAAAGATTAGCAGCTGCCATCAATAAATCAGCAAACAAATGCTGGTGAAAATGTAGAGAAAAGGGAACCCCAGTTAACGGTTGGTGGGAATGAAGACGGGTGCAACTACAGTATGGAATTTCCTCAAAAAAGTAAAAATGGAACTGCCTTTTGACACAGCAATTCCACTGCTTGGAATACATCCTATGAATCTTGAAACACCAATTCAAAAGAATATATGCATCCTGTATTCATAGCGGTGTTATTTACAACGGCCAAGATCTGCAAACAGCCTAGGTGCCCAGCAGTAAATGAGTGGATAAAAAAGCTGTGGTACATTTACACAGTGGAATACTACACAGCAGTGAAAAAGAAGGACCTCTTACCTTTTGGGACATGATGGATGGACCCAAGGACTATTACGCTAAGTGAAATGAGCCAGTCAGTGAAAGACAAATCCCATATGATCTCACTTATATGTGGCATCTAATGAACAAAATAAACTAACAAACACAACAGAAGCAGAAGCACAGATACATGCAACAGACTGACAGCTGTCAGAGAGGAGAGGGGAACAGGGACTGGATGAAAGGATTAACAAAAGAGCACATATGCATGACCCATGGACAGGGGCAGCAGCGTGGGAAATGCCTTGTGGGGTAGAAGTAGGCAAATGGAAAAAGTGGAGACAACTGTAATAACATTAACAATAAAACATAATTTAAAAAAAGATTCTCAAAAATAGTCCTCAAATTTTAATTTCTTACCTGGCATCCCATTTGGTAGAGCATAAAATAAGTTCGAGTCTATAATTTCTAATATGCTTGCTTGTACAGTTTTATTGACCGGCAACTCTATCGTCCGCCACGGCGCAGCTGAAGAGATGGCTGCAAACACACCACACGTCGGTCGACATCGATCTCCAAACACAGTACACGTCGGTCTACAGATCCAATTTAGTATTCTTTCCCAGTAATATACTTATTCACTCATTTTCTCATCAACTGCAGATTATCAACATTCCCCAATTCCCCAAATGAAAATCTGTATTTTCACAAAACAATCTGGTTTTTTTTTTAGTGATTCTGTGGGCGTTACAAAAAAGTCCAACCTGTAATGAGAATCCTTGAACTACTGCAGTCTTGGCGGTATTGTGCTTCTGTAATACATTTACACTTGTGTAGTGTATCTAATGTAACTCTTAAATGTATTCAAACATTAAGGTATACACAGCTGTATGATGCAAGTTCACCTGATAAGTAATGTTAAAAATGAGTATAATGTTTGCTTAATAAAACCACGTTTCAAGAAATTAATATTAAGTTAACTTTAATAGCACAAAGCATATTTCTACAGGAAAATCGTGTCATTCTGAATAGAAAAGGTTTTGTGGCCTACAGAGACAAAGGATAACATAAATGTAAATAACAGGTAAATGGCTTAACAATGTTAAGCTTGTTACCTTGATGCCCTGGGCTGTCGATCAGAAGGTTAAGTTTGTTGATGGGTCTGTGTTCTAAGAAGTCTTTCCTCAAGCTGGCTCTTAAAACCAGGTGCTCCTCAATCAGCACATCACTGATTATTCTGGGGTAACGAGTGGAGAGGTCGGAGAGCTCAACCCCCGCTCCGCTGTCGGTGACCTCAAACACGTGGGCTTGCAGTCTCGCCCCCGTCACACACGTCTGAAACCTCGCGATGGCCTCCTTAGTCCAGTGCTGGTTTCCAGGCTGTATATCTGGCAAGAAAGAACAGCATTGAACGGAATCCTGTGCCCCAGCTGTACAGTATTTTTGCGTCAATGGTTTTCAGGACCTGGCCCTTGCCAGGTGTACTATTAGATCAGCAGCACTGAGTATCTTTCTCAACACTCGGGTCTATATCTACACCCTTCGTTCCTGAGGTACCAACAATGCCTTTGCAAATATACTGACCAGGGTGTTTCCTTAACCTTCCCTACTAGTGTGTCGCACCTGGCATTTTCCCAATAGGCAAAAATAGAAATAATATTTCTTTTAGAAGCCACCTTTGTGTCCTGTTACATATGCAAGCATAAGTGACCAGTTATGCTGGTCACTCAACCACACAATTCCAGCTTTGTGGACAGTCTTCTAATCATAATTAGATGTCACTTTAGCCCTGGCCAGTGTGGCTCAGTTGGTTGGGCATCATCCTGCAAACTGAAAGGTTGCATTTGATTCCCAAACACAGCACATGCCGGGGTTGCAGGTTCGGTCCCCAGTTGGGGGGTGTGTAGGCAGCAACTGATTGATGTTTCTCTCTGACATCTATGTTTTCCTCCCTCTTTCTCCCTCCCTTTCCTTCTCCCTAGAATCAATCAAAGAAAAAAATTTTAAATGTCATTTTACTTAGCCAAAAATTATTTGTCTTGGACATCTGTGCCTTATACACTTATTTGTAATGGGATTCTCAAACTTCCGAGCATGTGTGTCAATTTCCCAGAGGGTTTACTGAAACAGATTCTGGAGTCCCACCAAATTTTCAATTTAGTAGCAGGCCCTGGATGGGGCATGAGAATCTGCATTTTTATGAAGTTCTCGTGTTGCCGCTACCGGTTTGGGGGCCACGTATTAAGGATCACTGACATAAGACACGGTAATTAAAACTATAACCTGAAATGAACTTTGTGCAAAACAAGTAGGAAGAAAACAGATAAGCAACAGAACACTGAGCAGTGTCTGTTTCCTGGCATGACCACCGGTAACATTTTGGTATCCAACCTTCCAGTTCTTATGGAAACACACACTTGCACAAATAGTCTCGTATTTCTTTTGTAAAGAAATTTTAATAATAATAATAATAATAGCTATTATGGGTATGATGCCAAGCACTGTTAAGAGCTTTTTATATTGTTAGCCCTCTGTTTCTTCACGGCTCTTTGAGGACGGTACTGTTGTTTTGCAGATAGGAAATAAAAAACGCAGAGAGTTTCAGTACTTTGCCGGAGGCCTCTCCGCTAATAGCAATCAGAGTAGGTTCCAGAGTCTGTCCGCTCAGTCACAGTGCTCTCCAGCACCTCTTTTATAACCTGCCTTCCTCAAGTACATCGTGGACAGTTCTTCATATCAATGACACATATTCAGCATCGCTCTTAGTGACATATAATAACAGCAAAGAGTTAAACAGAACTTTAAGTGCCAGGTCCCATTCTGAACATTTCCATTAATCCTCAGGGCAACCCCATGCTACCACTGTCCACTATCTGGAGTGTCATTTAACCAACCATTCTCCTCCTACTGATATGTAGGCTGATTCGCTATTATTAACAGGAAATAATAGCAAATCAACCTATATTTGCTGTTAATAATAGCAAATAGAGTACTATTCGCTAATAATAGCAAATATACTATTATTTGCCATTATATTTGTTAATAATAGCAAATACATTAGTATTTGCCATTGCTATTACTATTTGCTATTAATAAGTTTCCTTGTAGGAGAACTTTGTCAAATTCCACGATTATTTCTCTGGGATAAATTATCAGAAGCAATATGCCTTTGTGAGAAAACACCGGTTTCCACTCAGATCACAAGTATGGACAAGTACCTGCTTCCCCACTCTGACATCAACAGCAGGTCTGGCCGGTATCTTTACAAATACATTTTGAAATTTCACACTACAATGCAAGGTCTTCTAACTCACACAAAATATTAAAATTATAGATATTAATACTTAGACATTATGCGCTCTAAGTATTAGAAGACAGTAAAGAGTATTTCTTATTCTGTATCATACCTACTAACCAACACTGTACCCCTTGAAACGGGAGCTTTAAAAATTCCGATGGGATCGTTCGGAGTTTGTCTGCAGTGACTTCCTCCATGTTTCCATAATCCACAAAATGCACTTTAACATTTCCGTTTGGTGCGATCTCCTTGACTAACGCGCGATACCAGTTCCCGTCACCTAGATTTGACACAGAGTTCATAACAAGAAATATTTCCTTCTGTTAACGACGGAAATTTTATCTTGAAGAAGACATCATTTGTCTAGGAGCTAATAAATCTGCTCTCTTCCACAGATGATGCCTTTTAGTTTGTCATTCACAAGTCCCCAGAAGAAGAGTACTCAAAGCCAATTTTCAGTACATCTCCAAAGTGTTTACAGCATCACACTTTTACATTTGATATAAATTAAAGATTTCATTCTCCACCTATCCCTAAACAAGCAGAATGTGAAGGTAAGACAGTAACCTTGAACATGTTTGTCAGTCGGAAAGACTTCTAATGCTCTTACCACTATGGACAGATTGTTTTCCTTATTCCTTGGTAAAATAATATAAAAAATAAATAAATAAATTTTTACAATGAAATTAAATTTTTTTCAAAATAAATATGCATAGAGTGACCAGAAGAAACAATAAATCTGCAGTAAAGAGATCTTCCATTATTTAACTTATTCTGTTACCAGAAATTCTGGAAAGAAAAGCATTTTACAAAGTTGAACAAAGTTCAGGTACTGAAAGTATCATCTGGAGGTTTGTTGTTACAAAGAGAGAAGAAAAAAACATCATCTTAAACATTCATTTAATATCAAGTGTGAAAAATAATTGCTTTAACATCAGAAGAAAATACACAATAAAAATAAGGGTTGATAAAACCTATATAATTTTATTAACCAGTGTCACCCCAGTAAACTCAATAAAAGTTGAAATAAAAAATAAGAGCTGAATGTCAAGAAATAGAAGGTTCTGGTAGTGTCAGGATTGCACCACCAGCCACTCACCTGCAAAAAATGCACAGCAAGGCTGTCCTATTTCTGCCTTAAAGTCTTTAGACAACTTCTGCTGACAAAATTCTGCTAGTGATTTGTTCAAATCGTTGAGTTTCTTTAAAGCTGAAAATACATGTACGGCATTTAATATTTTAAACACACACACATAGAATATAGATTTTTCTTTGAAGCTGGAAAATGCTTTAATCATAAAATCTCAGGTACACCCCCAAACAACTATTAAGTGCACCAAATGCCTTTCCCTTCTCCTTATTAAAAAGTTGGGCAGCCCTGGCTGGTGTGGGTCAGTGGATTGAATGTTGGCCTCCGAACCAAAGGGTCGCGTTCAATTCCCAGTCGGGGCACATGCCTGGGTTGTAGGCCAGGTCCCCGGTAGGGGGCACGTGGGAGGTAACCACACACTGATCTTTCTCTCCCTCTATCTACCTTTCTCTCTCTCTAAAAATTAATAACTAAAATCTTTAATAAAATGTTGAAAACAGTTGAGCAAATAAGCCACTGTTTAGTTAATCCTCCCAGTAAACCCCCCACCAATGACTTGCTGGGCCCAGTGACATGACTGTGGCATTGTTATCAGGAGACTAGAGCCATGTGTTTTGCATAGAGACAAGGAAACAGTGTACAGACCTGTGCAGAAAGGAGCGTTTCACACACACTGACCTAAAGCAATACACACAGTACTACTCAGTGGATGGCACAGATAACGCCTGCTCAGGAAACTCGGAGAGTGAGCTCTGTGTGCCAAAAGTCTCACACAGAACTTTGAAGTATGCCATGTTTGAGAGAAAAGGACAGGGTGTTCCAGAAGGAAGAAATGGCTCCAAGGTCAAGTACAGAATTAAGCAGCCAAAACACCTGATGAGTCTTCCAGTTGTAACGAGTATACCAATATTATGTGAGATGTTAACTATACAGGACACTGGGTAAGAGGAGTACAGAAACTCTCTGTACCATCTTTGCAATTTTTCTGTAAATCCCAAATTATTCCAAAATAGAGTGTAGTTTGGCAAAGCAGAGAAGCTGGAAGGTGAACCACTAAGAAAAACACCAGAGATGGGTATGAAGACCCAGAGAACCAGAGAACTTCAAAAGGCCAAGCAAAAAGGTCTGAACACAAAAGAAGTAAAAGAAAAACAAGTGTTATTTAAATATGTGGCAAAGATCCATGAACAGAAATGAAAATTAAATTATAACAAGTTAAAATGGTCACCTTTCAGAGGAGCCAACGTGAGCAAGTTTAAGGGCACACTATTAGAAACAGCGGCGGGGGTGGTTTCCAGACAAGATGAGGTGCAGTTAGATACTCTTCACTTCCTCACACAGCCAAGGAAAGGATAACGAGCAATTTAAAAACAAAAAACAACCAGAACTGCCAGATAACTGTATGGAAATGCGACAACCAAGGAGTTAAAGAAGAAACATTCATCCAGACCAGTAGGAGGGGTGGAGAAGACTTGCAGCCAGGCAGCAGCTAGAGTGCCAGCTGGGCCAGGTGGCAGCTAGCAGAGCAGGCAGTCCGACATTTGCAGATAAACCAGGAGGAACAACTGGGGAGCGAGACAAACTCCACAAGTCAGGGTTCCACTGTGGGGGAAACACAGCCTCAAAACCTCTGACTGAAAAAACCTGGGGGGGGGGTGGGGAGGGATGTGGCAGTGGGAAAAATTCCCAGTCTCATAGAAGAGTCCTTTGGAGAGACCCACAGGATCCTAGAACGTACACAAACCCACCCACCTGGGAACCATTTATGTCACACTTTTATTTGTACACTTAGTTATATGTATGTTGCATTTCGATGAAATCAACACTTTAATTTTCAAAACTGAATTTAGGAGACCTGACCAGTGTGGCTCAGTGGATGGATCAGGCATCACCCCACAAAGCAAAAGGTCACGGGGTCAACTCACAGTCAGGGCACACGCCTGGGTTGCAGGCCAGGTCCCCAGTCTGGGGCACACAAGAGGCAACCTATAGATGTTTCTTACACCTTAATGTTTCCATCCCCCTTTTTCTCCCTCCCTTCCCCCCCCTTTGAACAGAAATAAAATCTTTTTAAAGAAAACTGAATTCAGGAGACATTCTATAAAATCTAAACTGATTAACCTATAAGGAGAGATGGGAAATAAGGGATAAAAGGGATAAAAGGACTAAATACAGCCAAATCTTTCTTAAAAGTGTAAATACTCATTTGGCCCTTCTTGGAAAGTTCTTGGAAGGAGAGTATCACTCAGTAAATTCATCTTCAGTCATTATCTACACCAGCGTATTTGTAAAAAATATATACATACATGCAAGAGTCCACTCACCGTCCTCTTCGAGCACATGACAATAGAACTCTCCAGGACTGTATATCACACAGACCACGACATCCACTGTTTGGTTAACAGCAAGTCCAACCCATGTCCATGCTGACAGACTTAGTTTGGCTTCTCCAACCAAGGGAACTGCGAGAATAATGAACATTTCATAAAAACAAATGGCCTTAGAAATATGCTTTGGAAGAACTGAATTTTCATAGTGAATTTATAAGAAAGTTTACCAGTGTTCCAATTAACTATTACTACCCGCGATAAATTTCACATTTCAAATTCATTCATATTTGTGATTGATTTTCAGCTACCAGTGACCTATAAAACTTTCAACAAATGATCAGTTCCCAAACACACCCTTAAATGTATTTGGATGAACTACTGATTTTATTTATTTATTGAGAAGGGAGACAAAAAGAGGAGGGAAGCAGCAACTGGTGGCCTCGCACAGGCCCCCAACCAGGGACCTGGCCTGCAACCCAGGCATGTGCCCTGACAGGGAACTGAACTGGCGCCCATTCAGCTCGAAGGCCGGTGCTCAGTCCACTGCGCCACACCAGCCGGGGCTGAATGCTTGATTTAAAAAGACAACAGGTACTCGACATAATTCCTTTTGAAAGCCTGAGAACTCAGGCATGGACGAAACCATCTGACCTCCAGCATGAACACTGTCTGGCTGGCACATTACTCACCACTGGCTTCTTTCGTGTCACTGGGTTTCTCTGTCACTGTCCCCTTCCCCCAGACGGCGAAGCCCGCGTCTGTGAGAAGCTGCGCCACGCTGATGCTGGGCGTTGAGGACTGATCTGTAAGCTCCACCAGAGAACTGTGTTCCAACTTGCCCACCACTTTCACTGTGACCATTCGGTTCTGCACAACTTTTTTCATCAGACAAATAGCTTCCGGGGTCCAAATTCCCAATGACGGCTTCACTCCTAACACAGAATTTTTAAAAGGAGGTTAAAAAATATTTCTTACAGTAAGCATTTAGAAATTCCATTTCTGATTTCCAGAAAGGTAAATTTAAGTAATCTGTGACAAACACTGGAACCAAACACTTCATCTGAGCAGAAGGACTTCCTAAACATGAAAATAAAGGCAAAATTACACAGAAAAAGCCTGTAAAAAGCTTCCATATGTCTATGTAAAAAAAAAAAAATTCCATTGATGAGAAATGTTCAGAGAAGCCAATCCATGAAGGCGTAAGGTAGATTACTGACAGCCGGGCCAGAGGGGGGCTTAGCAATGAATGGCACAGGAGGTCTCGTCTGGGTGACAGCAACGCTGTGAAACTACAGTACAGTTATAACTGAACAGCTTGGTAAAGGTACTAAAAAATCATCTAATTATACACCTTACAGAGTGAATTTTGTGGTCTATGTAAATTACACCTCAATAATGTTGTTAAGAAAATAATAAACAAGTACAAAACAGCCCAGAAGCCACAGTGGTCCCTCGTATCGGTGCAGGACAAAACGCCTGTGGCGCTCCCCGAATGGGACTTGGAAATCTGCAACCCCGGGCTTCAGCTCAGTTCATAAAACAGAAGAGCCAAGGGGCCTACAGAAAAGTATTTGGCTGCACTGGTAATAAAGCAAATTAAAATAATTTCATGTTCAGCTTACCAAAATTGGCCAAGGTAAAATAAGATAGAAATACTGGGCTAATCAAGAAGTTTGTTTAGTTTAGTTTTGTTTTTTTTTTAATAAAAGACACATTTTTCATTTTCATGAATAACTTTATTGATTTGGCTATTCTGTGTATGTCAGCCATCTCCCGTGTGGTAGAACACTGATTGCTCTCACTGTCTCGATTCGATTGCTATCAACTTCAACTGATCTGACTACAGAGCCTTATCCAGCGAGAAATCTGCAGCACGAAACCTGGCAAACCACCTGGTGAGATTTGACACATTCAGTTCATCACAGCACCTTCTCCGGACACTGCACAAACCTTTTCTTGTGCGTTTCAGTTGCTTTTACCTTTCTTGAAATAATAAAGCATAATATGCCAATGTTGCTTATTTTCTTCCATATTCGGTATTAAAATGGCCACATAAAAATTCACCGATTTTGTTAAGTTTTTTTAAAAAGGCACACTGATATGACAGCTGTCACAATACAATCTAACAAAATTGTTTTGAAAGAAGTTAAAGACAGCTAAGCGCTACTAAAGCCATCGTACAGAAAAAAATCAAACGAACTTTCTGGCCAACCCAGTATCCACCTGGTGCACCAACGCGTGAAGGGACTGACTGCCTCCTGCATTGCCGGCGGACGCGTCTGCCAGTTCAACCCTGGGAAGCACAGCCACACACGGAAAGAAGCGTGCCCGCTGACATCTCTACTCCTAAGGGCCCATTTTGCAACAAATCTACACCTTGCAACCTGGCTTCAGTCAATGATCTTGGATAGGTTGTAAAATGCGTTTGAAAGAACATCGTTAATAGCAAACACTTGGAAATAGCTAGTTAAATCAGGGTTCATTTAAATGAAGGTTGTAGAGGCCAATTACTGACATGGAAAGACCTCCCCCCGACGAGTGGGACAAATTACACAAAAAGCAAGTTCTAAGCACACGCTGCAATGTTCTTATTGCTTTTACAAGCAGTTTCCCTCTACTACATGTAGATAATAGGCTTCTATGATATTCATGACGCAGGCTCCATAAACAGCAAAAAAAGCTAATTTCATAACATTGAATTTTGTTTTATTACAGCTAGTATTTCTTAAATGTTCTATTAAGAATTACTTTTAGCCCTGGCTGGTGTAGCTCAGTGGATTGAGCACAGGCTGCGAACCAAAGGGTCGTCAGTTCGATTCCCGGTCAGGGCAACATGCCTGGGTTACAGACCAGGTCCCCAGTGGGGGCCACATGAGAGGCAACCACACACTGATGTTTCTCTCTTTCTCCCTCCCTTCCCCTCTCTCTAAAATAAATAAGTAAAACCTTTTAAAAAAGAAAAAAATACTTTTATACAAAGATAAGTTATGTCTGAACATAGTCCTTTATGTCATCAGTAGTTTAATTTCAATTCTGATACTGCTACCCGAGGTTCCAGTAGCCTAAGAATACTGGGATCATGAAACTCCTACCTGCCAGCACGCACTTTACTGCTTGCATGGGCAACTCCAACAACTTCGGCGTTATGGAACACAGTCTTTTCAAACTGAGGATCTCGAAGTTTCCGTAATCTACATATCCAACCAGCACAGACTCTTCAGAAGCATAAGCCAATACGGAGGCACGGTACCACTGATCGTCCTCTGAAAAAAGGCGACTCGGTCTCAAACGATGTTCCCATGTGGCTGGAAACAAAACCTTTCTCCCCAAATTTAGAAATGGTCATTTGCAAATTTTAACAGTGAGCTCAATGCTTATTCAAATTGCTACCTCTGCTTAATGGAAGCCTTCAACTCCTACAGTAGTGCCGTTATTCTTACCTTACTGACTACTCATGTGTATGCTGTCATTATTTATTTCTGTGCCTCGTCTGCCTAGTAGACAGCTCATTAGGACAAAGAACATGTTTTGGTCATGTCAATCCACTAGGTCTTGTTCAATACGTGGACCATTTGCTAAGGCATCGAGCAGAGCTAACGTTAGAATACCTGGCAGCATGAGTGAACCAGACTGCACCAACTGAGCCATCATTTTCCTGGAGGCCTACTGCTGCCTCCCCTTCTGTGAGGCCGCTGGACCTCCCATCAGCCAAGAGTAACAGAACCGAGTGATCTAAGGCCAGGCCTGTGCAGTCACCGGGGCGGTGCCCTGACAGCTCCGGGCTGCCAGGCGGGCCCTCTGGCTGTCCCAAGGAACGCTGGTGAAGACATGAGGCTCCCCACCCCACCAGCACCTTCACACGCTGATGTAAACGACATTACCTGCACTGTTCTCCTAAAACCGTAGGGCTGACAAAACAATAAAACCGCCTTCACCCATGCCTCACCGCACACACACTCACGGGCCCTGTCCCCTGACACACTTCGACTTAGTTTAACGGGACATATTTAAAAACACAACTGGTATACTTTAATACTCAAGTTCCAAATAGAGCCATCCTGTGCAAACTGAAGATTCTGTCTCACCCACAGGTACTTAACAATGAGCAAAGAATTCAGTAACACTTTCTTCCCTTACCTGAGAACTGAGCGCAGCAGATGTCACCGATGGCTGGATAAAAATCTGAGCGAGGGGACATCTGGCCGCAGTGCTCGCGAAGGGACGCCTGCAGTTCAGCGAGCTTATCTGCAGATACAGACCACTTCTTAGACGAAAGACTTATACACTACACATCTTACACACTACACATGTTGAGTCTCTGGAAGTGTGTTATCTCGAGAGCACGGATTGAGAAAATTTACTTACGGCCACTCTGTAGTTTTTGACAGAAGAAGTCTTCTGGAGTCTGAATGTGGGAAACCACACTGCAAAACTCATCGCCCACATTCAAAGTTAACACTTTGGGGATTAAGTCTCTTCTGTCTACAACAATTTTGTTTTTGGCTGTCACGTTCCCAACATCTTCAGGCTCACCTCATCAGAAAACAGAAGAATAAATCATTTTGGCTTCACTAACCCAATTTTTCAGCCGTTCAGGCCCACCCGTGCTTTCCACGCCTCTAAGCCTTAACGGGTGCTGTTCTCTCCCCATCCCCTGGCCCAAGTACTCCCAGTCGCCAGCAGCCTGGTAATTTCCTGCTCCGTGTGGTGTCACTCTGAAGAGGCTTCTCTCCAAGTCTGGACGAAGAGCCCCTCCCAGGCGCCCCCCTGTACCCGCACGTCCTCATTCACACCATGTCTGTGACGGCACCGCACACCTCCACAGCGCAGTAGTGAAGCAGGTAAGGCTCAGTGATTTCTGTTCCTTCCACCCACACCTGGGCAGCATCTGCCATTACTGACAACTGCCTCCCAGAAGCCTTTGCTCTGCTGATGCTCTGGCAACGGTTCCCCCTTGCTCTTCCCACCCTGCCCATCACAGCTTTTCCCATGATATTGTAGGCCCCTCACTGTTCTTCCTCACTCCACACTCTCCCCAGACACCACCGACACTTCTGGTTTCAACCATGACTGCTATCAGACCACGGAGTGTTTGGTTTTGTTCCACTGGACGGCAAAGAACTACTGAAAGCTCTTCAGCAGAGTTGTCACACCAAGATTGTGTTTCAGAGATGTCATGTGGGCAGCAATGTACGAATACAGACAGAGGACAAAAAGATAAGAACGAAAGGCTTGTTGCAATTGTCTTGAATGTCGAGAATTCCTGAACTAAAAAAAAATGGTAATAGGAAAAGAAAGAAAAAATACGTACAAAAAGGTCACCTGGGATGAAAAATCAATAAAGACTTTACAACCAATCAGAGCAAGAGATGGGAGGTGAAAGACAAGGTAGAGTCACGGGTAAATTAAGTTTGTTTAAGTGACCAGAGGAGCCCAATCCCGGCATCGTTAACCTGGAGATCACCTCTGGAGGAATGAGCAGGGACGAGGAAGCATGTCTTCATTGAAAGCACAGTCATGCTGGCACTTACATGCATGGCCCATGTATATGAACAAGGGGCAGGTTGCTGGGGGGAACAGGGGAACCAGGTGGAGGAGGGCAAAGAGGGGAAAACTGGGACTGCTGTAAGAGCATGACCAATAAAATATATTTAAAAAATAATTCAGGGGAGTGGTGTGCTTCACAACAATGTTTCAGTCAACAACAGGAAACGATAGGATTATAATGACACTGAAAAATCCCTGCGATGTCATGACATCGCAGCGCGAGGCACTGCTCCCGAGTTTGTGGTGGCGCTGCCAGACACAAACCTGTGAGGTGCCGGTACAGCATGCACTAGCGCAGACAAGGGCAAAATCACCTAACGACACGTTGCTCAGAACGCCCCCGTCGTTAAGCAGCACACAACGGCACCTGGTAAACGAGCAAAGTAAAGGAGAAGCAGACTCCAGGAAAGGACACATCAGACCAGGCGATGAGAAAATACAGTGATCAGAGCAAAACTCCTGGGTTCTCATTAAATCAAATGAAAAGGAAACACATGCGAATAAAAACTTAAAAAGAAACATCATCCTACTACAACACGATGTTATAGCCCTGTTTACTATTGTTGGAATACCCAAATAAGGAAGAAAAACAAATTAAACTAAAGAAATATTAGCTAAAAATCCCTCAACCCAAAGCGTTATGATATTTAGTACTTTGTCATCTCTGATCATTATCACGTCAAGGGTTAATCTGGAAGACAGGGAAGAACTAGGCAGGGGAGAATGAAAACACAAATAAGGCATTACTGAGTAAAAACAGCACCTTCCGTGTGTAACGTTTACAGAATGATTAGCATTTCCATTACTCTGACCCTGCGGCAGCAGCAGCATTTTCTGTTCGGCAGAGAAGATGCTCTCTGATAAGGGTATTACCACGCTGCCCGCTGTCACTGCGTATACTCACTTTGATCTGCTCCTTGCTTCTCAGAATTCTGCCCCTCAGGTATTAGGCCATATCCCATTTCCACAAGCACATGGTCTAAGAGTTTTCCTGAAAGTGATTAAAGAAACATCTACATTGAGATATATACTAAATATTAAGGAAGAGCATATAAAATACATGAGTCAAATGTAAAATACATGAGTCATAATTACATGATTTAGAGATTATAGCTATTAAAGCCCTAGCATATTGCTTACTAGTTCAGTTTTCACATGCAAAATATGTTTCAGTGATGCTCCGCTTTAAAAATTGAGGCAAAATTCCCATCATCGCTTGAAAGAAAATTTAATGAAAAGATATCACTTCAAAATTGTGATTAGCAAGAAAGATTTAGTACCTCCACACTGGCGTGCTTAGAAGGATATTGTTTATGGGGGGGGGGATAAATTGAATACACGAGATTACTACTTCTCAAACATGAAGTATGGCTGAAACAAGGGCATTTGCTACCAAGTTACCAACCAACCCTGAGCCTCTAAAAGTAGAGGAGTAATACCCTGGAGACTGAGAGGCAATACAAGCACACCATGAAGAAGTCCCCTTCCAAACAGACACAAAGCCAGAGTGGTAGAGCGGGATTCCGAAGTGTTTCCGCTTGCACAGCTTGAACACTGTGTACTTACAGTCTTGATACTAACGAAATACGGTTCTGAGAAGGGTGTTCCAAGAAAAAGCAATGGTGATGAGAATGAATGAACTCACAGAGAGATTTCTGAGTTCCTCAATAAAGGAGTGGAAGTCAGGAATAGGTATTATATTATAGCTACATTAAAAGGATAATACAGTTATCCCATATGAAGTCTAGACCTAGCCTTTTAATCTGCTCAATTCTAGGAAGTCTGCGCCATGTCTGTGACAAACTGCCAACTGCAAGAGCAGGGCCAAGGCCCTGTCTTCGTCCCAGTCCGAATGACCCCAGAGAAGGGCTTACTTGGCCACACCTTTCTAGTCCTCCTCTGAACAGCAGGCAGACACTAAAGAACATAGTTAGCACTCCACTGAAAGAGAAGAGGCAGGCCTTACCCGAACTGGGTAGCACGACATCCACAGCAAACGTGGCCACCTCTTGTTCTAGGACGTCAGCGATTTTCACAGAGCAGCACTGCTCCATGAGCAGTGACTTAACAGTTTGGATACAGTCATTGCTCCAACCCCCCTCCGCTGGGACAACTCCAGCCACAAAGCACTTTATGGCCTGAAAAATTTTGCACGAGTTACTAAGGAAAAATCAGTATTCGAAAATGCCTTTTTCTAATTAATTATGTGACAATTTCATAAGATAATGTGCTTTCTGCAGAAAAATTACCAAAACTCTTCACAAGTAATAACCAAATAAACAATTTGACCTGTAATCCTTTTTCTGTGTGGGTATTCTCTTCACAATGCTTTGACTATTGGGACTTGACGCTTGAGAAGTTGACAAAAGGATAATACTTATCGCTCAATTATGCATCAATTGAGGTCACTTTCAAATAGTGTAATAAATAGAAAAATGATTACTTTTAAAGAGCAGATTGATAAAATGTGCCTAAAAATGCTAACAGTCTCTCACCTGAGTTAGTACCTAAAGTAGCCACGAAAACCAATGAGTGTTTCTGTACAAAAGGATATGCCAACAGGTACTAGTGGCAGGATGGAACGAGCAAATACTGTGCTCATCAAAACATTAAAAACAGCTCCTGTGGGATTCCTATTAGGAATTTACAAAGTCAAAAAGACTCACACAAGGAGGAAACAAATCAATGTTTTTGTTTAGTTGCTGTATTCTGTTTACTGGAATTATTTCTTCATTTCCATAATCAATATATAAGACTTGTGCCTTCTTCTGTACTACGTCAACGGCTTGTATTATTACTCTGTTCCAGGTCTGAAATAAAATAAAAATGGTACTCTACTTCAAAAGAGCATTTCACAATCTTAGGTTTAGAAATTCTCAACCAATCTACAGAGCATGCAAAGGAAAGGCTATTGTTCTATTTCAGGGTGCTCAATTAACAAGTTAACATAATTTCTAATAATCTTGCTAAGAAACAGCTAACACTGTTGAATGAAGCCTTAGATATCCATAGATATTGCCACGCTATTCTACTTTAACCCAGCAGACTCTATGACACACTGCTGGCTCAGCTACACAAACAGGCACAAGCTCTGAGACGGTCAATCGGTCTGCAGTCAGCTCTTGAGGAGCCTATAAACGGAGCTGGAGAGGCCCAGCCCAGGGAGGAAGTAACCGGGCAGAGCCTGAAACGCTGCCAGCGGAAGAAAAACAGAAGTCTGCCCAGTCTCGCCTTTAAGCCATCGACCGCGTCATTAAAAGCTCTGGTGTCGACAGGACCGAAGGAAAGTAAAACATCTTCTTAAATAATTCATCTCAACAGAGGTTACCTGGTCAACAGTGTACTTGGCAACGCAAACTTCCCCCTTAACAGGAATATAATCGTCCTCCTCGTGCACGGTATTTGCATACGTTTCCTTTAAGCTCGCAGAGAGTTGGCTCATGTATTCTAAAACTTCTGAAGAATACAGCTGCACATAAAAGTCACCTGGGTGTTTGAATTCAGTAACTGCACCCTTTCAAAAACAGAAAAGATGCGGTAATTCACTGGAAACACAAGTAGATATGAATTTATTAAAACTTTATGATTAACATACAGGATGTGTTGCCTACAGTTTTTGCCATTTTTATCAATTTCATCACATGACATTTTTGTAGCTACCTTATGCATTCAAAATAGAAAAGGAAATAAAATCTGTATTTCTTTGGATATCTGCCAGTGAAAATTAAACAACAAATACCTTTATTTCCATGGTTTTCCTGAGTTGTAGACTTCTCAAATCAGAAAACATTATTTTATGAGCACAAATGGCTATTTCTTTAGTAATTCCAAGTGGATAGTTACTCTGGTTTAAAAAAAAAACACAGAAATGAGTTACATGCAAGTGCATGTTTCAGCGAGACTGTGGCCATTATCTACTGGAATCAAGGTCAAAGCAGCCTGACTCTTAGTCCTGAATAAGAGAACAGCACACACTTTCAGGAGGCCCTAAAACTCACTGTCCACAGGATGTGTGCAGAGCGCTGGGATCAGCCAAGAATCGTGCCGTGCTGATGAAAAGAATGTTGAGTTTCTTAAAAGGGGTGGGGTGCTTTAAGTTTGCACTTGGCAACATTTTTGGAGGAATAACTATTAGAGGCAGACTATACCTATGTTTCTGACAGGGACTGAGAATTCACGGTTTCTTACGTTTCAGCCCAGCAGTCCCCAGTTGGAGACTGCCTTTCTGGCCCCTCACCCAGGGGACTTGTCCCTAAGGACAGGGGAGCAGCCACCCTGTCACAGAATAATACCCACTCCCACCCCCCTGCACAGAATAAAACTCCTAGGAAGCCCTGAGACGTGCACAGACAGTTTTTTTTTTTAAGTACCAGCCAGACAAGGCTAAGAATGATCTGTAAATGGCTGGACATAACCGACAGTCTTCAGATTATGAATGATTCAGCCCGTACAGCTGTCTAAACAGGAGCAAGGGGTTGAGGGAAAAAACTCTCACTAGGGAACAGGGCCCATTAGAACCCAGTACACGAGGCCGGAGCACCTGTACCGCGGGGCTGCAAAGAAGGGACTCTCTCCTGTCCAGGCGGTTTCCCACTGAGAAAAGGCTGTGCATGGACACTTCTCAGTGACCCCAGCGGTCACCAATCCGATCGTAGGGTGTACAGATTTACTCAGCAGGAAACTTTTGCTCTTAAACAAACATTGGCGAAATGTAGAAATAAGTCTGGATCTTACCTCGTTTTTCACTTCCATGTTCTTCGTTTCAAAAGGTGATTGATCTTTCAACTTGTGGAAACTGAAATAAAGCACCTGATTATAATATTTATACTACAGAGCCAATTAAGAGCAAGGGCCACAATTACATTAAATTCTCAACCGACAAAATCCAGAAAAACAGCTTCTTCCAGGCCGCATCGCCCCAGTACAAAATGACACCACCCAGCGCTGTCTGCGCGATGGCCTGCCTGCGAATGGGAGCACTCCTCCTGAAAGCTGCTCCGCGCGAGGGGGGGGGGGGTGCCCAGGCTCCAAGCCTCGGGTTGCTTCTCTGCGTAACGGAGGCATCCCTGCCTCACCCAGACGTAGTTTTGAGGATCAGAGGAGGTTATACATATGGAACTGTCCAGTAAACTGGTAAATAGCACACGAGTAAGATACATGCATTTCAAAATCAGAATCCAACAAGCACTGTGAGAGGTCTACCTTAGTAAACTTTAGTTAAGCACATATAATTAAAAGGGCTTGTTAAAGGTCTAATCATTAAAAAAAGTCACTTAAGGTTTTAACCCTCAATATGTCCAACCTAATAAAATTATACTCATGAAAACGTGCAAATTTGTAGAGCTGTTGATCACTTCAGATATGCACACTTTGTATCTCACCACAATAAATAAGTACAAAGTAATAACTTCTACATAGTCATGGCCTGCTTACCTGATCTAATCTCTGTACTACCATATAAATTGTTTACATATGCTCTAGTGAATAAAAACACACACTTACTTGTGCTGCACAGGTTTGCACACGATGCTGTGTGCTGGCCAGTCTCTCCTCTGACACGCTACGGAACAATAGTACGTCTGCTTGCACTGTGAACACCTCAGCGACCCTACAGAACAGGGCCCGAAACGTTTTAGTCCAAACATCTAGTGCCTAGAGTAGGACATTTTCAAAGACCAGACATATCAAATAGCATTCTACAGCCACATCAAGGATACTTGAAGAGGCTTATGCTGTTTATAACTTGCAACAGTTATAATTTAATTGCAACATTAAACTTTCAAAGCTCTCCCAAAATGCAGATGGAAATGAGAGGGAGGGCAGACTGTGAACAGGACAGACTCTCCTGAAGCAGAGCCCAGAGCGCGTGTGGTAAGAGGAGCAGCCGAAGGAGACACACTCTGCGGCGGTGAACACAGACTGGTGCGGGCAGACTCTGACACGGCTTACCCCGTGCCATGGAAAAAAACACAAACAAAAACCAGTGAAGACACTCACAAGCAGAAAACCCAGGAAGTTGTTGAGATAAAGTATTTTTAAAAATCCTATCAGTATCTATGCTGAAAAATAGCAAATTATCTTTTAAAAAAAACCCACAAGAAAAAAAACCACAACAAAACCAAGCTGGACTCAAATGCCTCCACCAGTAAAAGAAACAGGGGACAGAGAGGCACTAACTACCCAAATAGCCAGCAAGCACATGAAACACTGCCCCAGATCACTGAGTATGAAGGAAATGCACATTTTAAAGCCCCAAAGAGACCCCACTGCACACCCACCGCAAGGGCCAAAATTAAAAAGACTGAAAACCCCTAATGTAGACAAGGATGTGAAGGAACCAGAATTCATTACCAATGGAAACGTACAACGAGACTACTTTTGACAATGGTTTGGTTGTTCCTTACAAAGCTAGACATACACCTACCCTTTTGGCTCATCAGTTCTCCTAGGTGTGCACCTGAGAGAAATGAAATGTGCCGCCACACAACAGCTCCTGCAAAAATATGCACAGAGCTCTATTTGCAACAGTCAAAAACACACAGTGAAGGGTTCCAACAAAAAGACAAAAAACGAATCGTGGTAGCTCAGGCCGGCTAGGACAGGTGGTGAGGGCGTTGTCCCAGTACGCCCAAGTTGCAGGTTCGCTCTCTGGTCAGGCACGCACAAGAAACAAACAATGAATGCATATATAAGTGGAACGACAAATCAAAGTTTCTCTCTCTCAAAAAAAAAAACAAGCAAGCAAGCAAACAAAAACAGGACAGATCATGGTATAATCGTACAATGGAACACTGCTCAGCAACAAACACAAAAACGTACACCTAGCAACATGGATGAATCTCAAAAATATCGTTCCAAATGAAAAAAGCTTTATACAGAAGAGTCCATACTGCATGATTTCATGTATATGACATTCTGACAAAACAACGTATAGTGAAAAAAACAAAAAGCAAACAGTGGCTACCTCCGCGGCGTGAGGTGAGTGGAAGGGGCACGAGGGAACTTGCTGAAAACAAGGAAAACACTCTGTACCTTGATATGGGTGTGAGTTTCTGCACTTCAATGCAGGGGAGTTTTATCTCAAAAAAAACTACAAAGAGTCAAGTAAAGAAGCAGTAAGAGTGGGAAAGGAGAGATGAACAAATGGTAGTAAGTTGATAGCTGGGTATATGATGTATATATACCATGCTGTTCTGTTTGTACTCAATGTATTTTAAATGTCTGGCAAAATACGTTTCAAATGTGTAGAGGAATGATAAACACGACTGAGAGCAACATGCTTACCAAACAGGCCACAGCGATGGCAAGTGGTTGACCGAAAAGGAGGGCCCGAGGAGCTGAAGAGCGCTGGACTGTTTATGGACAGGGAGTTCTGACCCAACTTGTGTGTTTTTTTTGACTTTGCAGGAGACACACTATTGCTAGGCATCTATTAAGAAAAGAGAACAGCAATATTAAAGCTTGGTAATACCATTTTTTAAAACCCTAGCTTTGGAATTTCCTCTTCTGGGAAGATAATTCCCTCTTCTTCCCACTAAATACAATGGAAAACCCCGGACTTATGGGTAAAACGAACATACGTCAACTCTGAAAGCAGGCAGTGGACAGACTAGGAACCCTGGAACCACAGAAGAATGTGGCGATGAGTTCCAGAGTTCTCTTCTCGCCTCGTATTTCCCAGATGCACGGAAAAGTCAGCAGCCCAGAAGCACCAAAAGGTGAAGACATAAAAGCCCCAGCCAAGAGCTTGCTCTCTCGAGGCAAAAGACCAGGAAATGGGCTGCCCGGCAAGATGGAAAACTTTTATCAGTCACTACAGTTCTCTAGACCAACACCACAGGAAAAAGCGTGGCCCCACTTCCACCAGCAAAGGTACAGCGGGTAGCCGAGACTCCCCCCTCCACCAGGCTGCAAGGAGGTGCCCACCCTCCCACCAGGGCGGTACCAGGGAAGGACAACAGAGTAGGAAGCCCACACTTCATCCCTTCATCCCCATAGGGTTTCCCTAAGGAGATCACAGGACGGCCTGGACTTCCCTGTGGCAGTAACGAGTGTCACCCCCACAGCCCCAAGCCGCCACCACTGGGGTGGTGTTAGAGGACACTCAGGAGATAGTCGGGACATTTCTGCCACCCTTCAACAGTAAGGAGTGCCTCCAAACCCTCCCGCCTCCACACCCCCTCTAGCCTGCCAACCCTCACCCCGCAGCAAAGAAGAACTCCCCCTCGGTGCCAACAGAGGCTGAGGGGGAGTCTGGACACCCACTCCCACCTGGCGGCATGTGCCCCTCTCCTGATGGAGCAGTGTCAGGGGAAGTTGGCTAAAAGAGAAATTTAAATAACATACAGAGTTTCATAACATAATACCCAAAATGTCCCCAGTTCAATTGAAAAAACTGTCATACTAAAACCCAGGAAAATCATAAGTGAATAAAAAGATGAAAAGATGCTGACATGAAGATGACAGATGTTAAGTTTATCCGAGAAAAATGTTCAAGCGGCCGTCAGTACTTCAACAAGTAATTATGAACACGCTTAAAGCGAAGGATGAGGCGGTCTCAGAAAAGAAATATCAGATATGAGGAGGGACCAAGTGAAAGTTTTAAAACTGAAAGGTACAATAGCAGAAACACACCAGGGGGCTCAACAACAGAATGGAGGGAAAAGAGGAAAGAAATAGGGAACTTGAAGATCGAACTATACAACTTGCCTAATCTGAACAAGGAGAAGAAAAGAGAGTGGGGAAAATATCAGTGAGCAGAGCCTTAGGGACGTGTTGGGACTATAAGCAAAAGTCTAACATTGTTGTCTTCAAAGAGTCTCAGAGGAAAAGGAGAAAGAAGGCAGGGCTAAAGAAGTACTCAAAGAATGACCAAAGCTTCCAAATTTTGGATAAATCTACAAATTTAAGAAGATGAGCAAACCTCAAAGAGAATAAACTCAAAGAACTACACACCAAGACACACCTTAATCAAATATCTTAAAGCTAAAGACAACAAAAAAGCTTAAATGCAGAGAGAGAAATGACATCTTACAGAGAGGGGAAAACAATTTCAAAGACAACAGATTTTTCGTCCAATACCCCAGAAGGAAGTGGCAGGACAGTTTTTAAGAGCTGAAAGCAAGGAACCGTTAACTAAGAAACTTATCCAGGAAAATTTCTTTCAAAAATTTAAGAGAAAATCAAGACATTCTCAAATAAAACTAAGATTTTTGTCACCAGCAGATCTAGTCTAAAAGAATGATTAAAGGAATTTCTCTAAACGTAAAGGAAATGATAAAGGAAGAAATACTGGAACAAAAGATGCACGTACAGGACGTAGAAGCTGAAAACTGCAAAGTAAAAGAAAATCTGAATAAATGGAGAGACAGATTTGTCTTATAATCCATTTGTCTTCATGTCATGGATTGTAAGATTCCACAGAGTAAAGAGATAGATAATCTCCAAGTTAATATATATGTTTAAAACAATTCCTAGCAAAATCTCAGCAAGATATTTTGTAGACCTAGACAAGATTATTCTAAAAATGTATACCAGTAGGCAAAAGAACTAGACTAGCCAAGACAATTTTGAAAAAAATAAACTGGGAAGAGCAACTCTACCCAACTTCAAGACTTATTACGTAGCTCCAATACCACTTGATCTTGGTAGAGGAATAGACCCCTAAGGCATCAGAAAAGAACAGAGAACCCAGAAGAGTCCTACACAAACATGACCAACTACTTTTTGAGTAAAGTACAAAAGCAACGCTGTGGAAGAGTATTTTCAACAAATGCTGCTGAAGCAGCTGGACGTCACTAGGCAAAATGAATGAATGAATGAATGAATAAGTCAACCTCAACCTAAGCCTTATTACTTAAAATTAACTCAAAGTGGACCACAAACTTAAATGTAAAACTTAAATAAAACTTTCTGGGAGAAACCTCAATTTTTTTCTGCTTCTAAAGTAGAATTCTTAGACTTGACACCAAAGTGGCACCAAAAGCATAATCCATTACTTGGAAGTGTTGACCAGGACTTCATTAAAATTAAAAAACTTTGCTGGGCTAAACACCCCATTAAGAGAATGAGAAGACAAGCTACAGACTTGGGAGAAAATATTTCTGAATCATGTATTTAACAAAGAACTAGAATCTGGAATATATAACTTTCAAACCTCAGCAGTAAAAAAGTAAACAATACAAATAAGAAAATGGACAAAAGACATGAAGAAAGATTTCACCAAAATGGATACACAGATGGCAAATTAAGCACATGGAAAGATGTTTATCATTAGCCATTGGGGAAACACAAATTAAAACCACAATGAGCTATCACCACACACCTATGAGAATGGAGAAAATAAAAACACTAATACCAGCAAATGCTGTTGAAGAGGCTGGATGCAGAAAAACCAGATCACTCACACATCCTCAGTGGGAAGGTAAGAGAGTATGGCAGCTTCTTGAAAAACCAACTATGCAACTACTGTATTTCCCAGAAATTGCACTCCTGGGAATTTATCCTAGAGAAAAAAATCCTTATGTTCAAATAAAACCCTGCACACAGACAGCAGTTTATCTCAAAACTGGGAACAATTCAGATGTATGTACTTCAATGCAAGAATGGTTAAACATGCCATGGATGATAACTCATCAATAAAAAGATTCGAACTATTGATACAGCCAACGACCTACATGAATTGCCACAGAATTATACACTGATTGAAAAATCCGGTCCCCAACTGACTCCATTTATATAACATCCTAGAAATGGCAGTATTTTGGAACTATGGGTTAGACAGATAGATTACTGGCTGCCAGGGATGAAGGAAGGAAGTATGGCCATAAAAAAGGCACACGAGGGCCCCTTGCAGTCATGGAAATGCTCTGTATTCTGAGTATCGAGGTCAATATTCCAGCTGGGATATATTAATACTGCAGTTCTGCAGCCTGTTACCCTCGGGAGAGACTGGGGGAAGGCTACCCAGGATCTCCATTATTTCTTGTAATTCTGTATCCATCTACAATTACCTAAAAAGAAAAGGCTGATATTTTTTTAATAAAAGGTACTAGGTTAAGGAAAAGGAAGTTAGACCTTAAATAATTCCTGAATATTGAACAATGCTTTATTAATGTAATACAGAAACATGGTTAGAGTCTTTACCCACAAAAACGCCAGAGAGAATAAAACCCCCTAACTTACACTACTCGCTTCTTTGGGTGGTGAGTTCCTTCCAGCATCTGATGGTGACACAGACCTTCCTGGGGAGGGAGAATAGAAAGCCTCGTAAAAGCTGAATATTCATTTCTTCCCCCAAATGTAAAATACCATAATTAGGTAGCATTCAAATAATAAAGCTGTATCATAACAGTCTTAAAGCTACATGACTGGTATTTGTCTGAAGTTTCCTTGACTACTTCCCCTGTCATGAAGTGGTGAGTGGTGAACTTTCTCCACTCACTGAGGGAATAATTCCCAGACTTCTTGGACTCAGGACTCGTTTATATTCTTAGAAATCAGGAAGGACCACAAAAAAACTTTTGTTTACATGGTTTATTTTATCAACATACACTCTTATTCGAAATTAAGACTGAGAACTAGAAATTTCAACTAAGAACTTAAAAATATTTACTTTAAAAACTGCAAATACGTTACATGTTGACATAGTTTTTTAGGGAAAACCCCTCTATTTTCCAAAGGAAAAAACGCTGTGAGAAGAGTGGCATCTGTTTCCTACGTTTTTGCTCATCTCTCCGGCTTCATCAGTGACAGCAGGATTGGCCTACCCGCTTTCCCAGTCAACCTGTTGTAACCCGCTGCTCAGACTGAAGCACCTGAAGAAAACCTGGCCTCGCGCAGATACGTGGTCGCAAAAAAGAAGTATTTCATGGTCTTCTCAGACGACTGTATTTTCTTTTGATTTCACACCGAAACTCAAGTGGCATTTCAAAGGTTAGTTGTAATGTGGCATCTAAAACCATATCAATAAATGTTCCACACTTGCACTAGAATCCACCAATTTATCTCGCACTTGGAAGGCATTGCACCCACGCGCGGCAAAGCAACGTCATGCGCTGGGCATTCGGGGAGACGGAAAAGCTCTGAGTTACACAGATCTTTCGAAAGCGGGCATATTTCATTACACCATCTCGAAAAATGTGTCAGTGCCACCCACCTCTCACCAAAAAAGTCTTTTAAGTACTGGGAAGCTGTCAGGCTCAGAGGGCTAGATACAGGTTTTCTACAATTTTCACTTTTGCTTAAAAACTTGAATTTTATCTTTAGCCACAAAATACGGTCAGCTCTTTTCCTTGAAGTGACAGGCTCAGTTCATTTTTGAGAAAATGCGAGATAGCTAAGTCTGAATAACCATAGTTTGTCATTCTTTTCAAGTAAAAATGGCATTTCCTCCAAAAAGGTATTGCATTCACACTATTCAATAGCACATATGCTTTCCACACTCGACATGCAACAAAGCGAGGAAGATAAAGCCCATTCTGTCAGACAAAATACTAGAAACGCCTGCAGACAAGGTCAAGGTTCATTAATAATTCATCCTGCTTCATCAAGGACGTTCTTACATAAAATTGTCACCTCTGGTTGTGTCTTAATTATGAGTGGATGGCCACGGAAAACTCAACCATCACTAGCCCAGCCTGGTGTGTCTGCCCAAAGTTGAGCTAATAAAATGCCAATGGTTTACCCATCTGTTTCTGCACATCAGTGTAAAGTCAGCACAACCATCATAAAAGGGCAGACAGTATTTTAACCTTAGTAGAGGAACAGGTTTGACCTGTTAGCAAACCCTAGAAGCCCCAGGGCCACTCTCTGAGAACTATGTCACCATAATGTTAAAAGGCCACGTCTCATATAAGTTCAAAGATGCCAGTTTCCATCAGGGTCCAGCCTCCTTAAATAGTAGGTTTTCAGAACTAGGGTTAAAGAATAAACTTGAAGGTAAAATGAAACAAGTTAATGTCTTAGAAATCTCCTTCTGAGCTATTACACGCATAAAACCAACGCAGTAACTTTATGTTTTTAAAACATGGCCAATCTTTAGAACACCCATAAAAAAGTCCAAAGTGTCTGCTTTCTACACTGCCAGACTGACTCGCTCTCCGTGGTGGAACAAAGCTCATCTGCAGACATTCTCCCCCCAGGAACCCTCCCTCCGATTCATGTAGCTACAGGTGGCTGGCTGGCATCTGCCTTTCCCTTCCAAATTAGTATTTCAATGCAAACACTGCATGGTAGCCACTCGGCTATTATGTTAACAGCCCAATGGCACATATATACACGTGTTGTGTGTGTGTGTGTGTGTGTGTGTGTATTTGCGAAAAGTCAAAGAAACCATCAAAACAAGTCATGTTAGGCCTGCGGTTTAATCTCACCTGCTGGCAACAGCCTCCTGTCTCCTTCGGCCCCGACCGCTTCTCCACTGATGCTCTGAGGGTTTGCAGATGCTGCGCTGTCTCCCTGACTAGTCAGATACTGTTTGGTTTTCTCACAAAACAAAAAATTGCTTTTTTTATTTCCAATCTCTGGGCTTTTCAACCTGAAATTTGGGTGGTTAGAATGTCCTCCAGGACTTCTTAAAGAATCATGTGGTGGAAGCTTGCTTTCATCTTTCTCAAAATTAAATGGCTCTGTCATTTTAGAAGTAGATGCCTCCAAATTATTTCTTGACATCACTCTAAGCGGCAATTTAACATTCACAGAAGTCTAAGGGAAGAAATGTACAAAAAAGGCAATGTTTAGTTGTGAAAGTAGAAGCGCTGCAGACGCAGGTAACATAATTCTCGTGAACAGCGCTGAAGCAGATGCAACTGTGATGTCAAAGCCTGGTCTACAGGCACAGGAAGAAAATGCGACTGTCAGTAGCTACAAATTCCAGGTTTAACAGAACTCAACATGACCAAAGACTAACTCCAGACATCAAAAGAGCAATCTCGGAGCTCCATACCATCCCTTACTTTTAAAAGCTTTGGAGACCAGGGGCCATTAAGTCATGGAGGCGCAGTCTGGGACAGTTTGAGGGGCCAGGGCAGGTCAGGGCTCCCAGCACCCACCAGCACTGACAGTGCGCACAGTGCCCTGCTCAGCCCCACGGACAGTGGAACGAAGCTGCAGGCCCCATCAGTGCACGGGGCCTCAAGCCCTCTGGGTCCGTCTGAGACCCCACTCCACGGCTGCCGCAGCCGTCCCCGTCCCCAGCCCCTTCCGGTCCCTGAGTCAACACTGCCCTTGCCTTGCCACCCGCCTTGCCTCCTCTGCCAGTCATGCCGGAGCATCTGAGCTCACTGCCCATGTGAATGGATTACTAGGGCCAGGAGCTAGCTGAACAGACGTTCCAGGGAATTATTCTTTTTTCAGAATAGTTGGATTTATCTACAGATACTAGCCAAACAGTTTGGGTGAACAGTCTATACAGTTAGGGCCGGGTTTGCTTCCTTGTGTGTGCTGACACTTTCTCCGCAGACCCTTTGTCACTGGACCAAGTGGCAACCCCTTCAAGACTTGGGCACAGAAGACAAGAAAGCTGGGGAAAGAAAAATTAAGAGGCATGCTAAAAATATTCATGATTCGGCTTTACTACTGCTCCTGCTTTTGGATCATGTGAGATAAGCTAAATTTTTACACCCAAAACAATGGCCAATAACCACCTATGCTCCCTCACAGGACAGCTGAGAATAGATTTTCTTCTCTTTGTATTTCCCTTCAGTTGGGCTCTGATTTATACATACTTCAGACTGCTTCGTAATCTCGCTCTGAAATGGAGAACAGAAAATACATGTGAAATTTCTTTCCGTTCTACAAAAATAATGAATACATGCACATGCCCCATGAATGGTTGTACAATTTAATTATCAAAGTTTATAATGCATTGTTAGCTAAGCTGTTTTAATATTTTCAATGAAAACTCACAGTGCAAAAAAAAGCTTTTGAAACAAAGGAATTGGAAAGGACTTTCATATTTTAAAAGAAGTAGCTTTAGCCTACACCCTGCAACTTAATGGTAAGATATAACAGAGGTTACTGTTGAAGTCGGCTCATCGCCTACCTTTCTGGCCTCCAGAATCCCCTGCCCTCTCACACTTGATGCTCTGCAGGTCCATCCTTGGGTACGCTGAACCCATTGGGTTGGCCAAAAAGTCCGTCATGCTTTTTCCATTTAATGCCTCTCGTGATGCTTGGTTGTCTTTAACTTCATTCAAAACCATTCTGTTAGACTGTATGGTGACAGCTGTCTTATCTGTGCATTTTTAAGAACCTTATCAAAATTGCTGAATTTTTTGCAGCCATTTTAATATGGAAGATGGAAGATGATACACAATATTTTTGGCATATTATGCTTTATAATTTCAAGAAAGATAAAAACACAACTGAAACACACAAAAAGATTTGTGCAGTACATGGAGGAGGTGCTGTGATTGATTGAACGTGTCAGAAGTAGTCTGCGAAGTTTCTTGGTACTACTGACATTTTGGCCAAATGATTCTCTGCCCTGGAGCTGTCTGATGCACTGAAAGATGTTTAGCAGCACCCCTGGCCGCTACCCACAAAAAGCCAATAGCAGGAGATAGCCGACATTCTCAAAATATCCAAATCAATAAAGTTACTGGTAAAAATGAAAAATGTATTTTTTTATTTTATGGGAAAAAACGTTAACGGACCTTTTGGCCAACCCAAATACCATCCAAAATACCCTTGTCCTCATCTGCCTGGTAAATGCTCTCATTCCTCGTCATCCTTCACAGTTTTCCTCAGGTGTCCCCTATTTCTTGCGTTTTCCCCACAACCTCTGCTTTGATCATCTCCAGTTAAACTTCCCGAAGTGTTAATTTCCATCTACTGCTTTTAAAGCACTTGTCTGTGTGAGCTTTTCTCTGAAAATAAGGCACATATATGTATATTGTTGCAAAGTGAATCTGAGAAACCTCTATCCAGAAATTATGCTGGTTTGTTACTACCCTCTTAATTCTAAAAATACTCAGTGTCCTGCCTGGGGGATGTAATAAAAGTTGACAACTCCTTATGAAGCAGTGACCTACAGCTTTGTCTGCAGACTGCAGGCAAAACTTTTGCCCACCTTCCCAAATCTGTTCAGGAGGGAAAAAAATCACAGACAGCTGAAATTAGCATGAGTAACATCTAAATATTACTGTTTGTTTAACATTGTTGTGAATAGAAGATAAATGGCAGAAAAATTCTCCCTCTTGGTGTCCTGAAACTTTTATCTCATTTTCTGCTTTAAATTAGGCCTTGCTTTATCCAGTGACAATCCAGAAAATAATGATACAACAAAAAAGACATCCACAGGCTCACTCAGTGGTGGGGAAACTCTCAGTGGATCGGATCCTGGGAGGACCCCTAATAGTACACCTGAAGATGGACAGCTACAGTGGGACACCCTGCACAGCCAGGGAGAACACACCTGTAGCAATAAGCCCACCTAGAGGATCAGACTGAAAACTATTCAATACAATGTAGGATGCAGTTAAGAAGAGAGGGCAACATTGTGAAACTACAAAAGGAAAATAACCTCCAGGGGAATTGGGTCGGGATTCTCATACTGGGTAACTCTAGACTCTGCACAAGTAATATAAAGAATGTGCATTAAAATATCAGGGTAACTACCAGAAGAATAAAAATAGATTGCATAATTATAAAAATAGAGCAAAAACAAAACCTCAGTCCAACAGAAAAAAATTCAAGCATGGTAAATAGAAACATGAAATGAGATGACGGGACCAAGCCCAAGTAATTTAACTATCAATGATTTAGTCTCAACACAGGAAAAAAGAGTGCCAGGAATAAAAACATCCGACTTGATTTTTATTGCATATATTGCATCCGACTCCACTCAAAAAGGCGAATGAAATACATTAAAATTTAAATAACAATGTGTGCTGGCATAGCTAGTTTCATGAGGGAATCATTTTCACTGTTTTTATATTCTGAATTATAGTTAAGCGTGAATTACTTTTACAGAGAAAAAGCATTGTAAACATTAAAATACCACTGCATATTAAATTAAACCTGTTTTCCTGATGTGCGGCTACTCACTATAAACCAGGTAAAGGGTCACAGTAATATTTAAACCACAAAACTAGAGTACAGTCATATTCTCAAGTGGGATACTTAAAATGCACACACAACTCCTGAGAGAGCCTATCCCAACTGTATTTGGTATGCTGACAGTCAGCCCGTAGTGGACTGGCATCTTACTGCCCCGAATAACAGTTTCTAGTCACCTATAAACAGTTATATCCATCCTCTGGATTATTTTAGGTAGCTCAAATGCAGGAACTAAGTCTTAATTTTTTAACAATTAACAAACAAAATAACCCTCTGATTACTCAAAGCATCTACCATGGTACTTTGTACAACGAAGTATTCAAAAGATATTTGTACGATACAACCATTTCAAATGAACTATGGAGCTGTTTTCATGACAACTTGGACTGGGAAAATGAAATGCCCTGTTTGAAACTACATCCGGCAGTTTTAAATGGAGAACTACACCATGCTATGAGGTTCACTGAAATTTAATAGCAAAAATTCATGCTTTACATTAACTCTTTGAAACCCTAAAATTAGTTAATGTACCTGACTGTAGGGAACAACAACAACAACAGAATCAGTCTTTGATCCACTATAAAAAGTTTAAGCAGCAAACAAGGACTTAAGTTTAAAAGAAGCTCCAGGTACTGTGGAAAACTGAGGTAGAAGCGCACCCCACCGGCCTCTGCCTATTCACGAATTCTCACTGCAATACCCTGGGCATACAGACACCTAGACCTGGTCTATAACTAGAAGTTTCATACACGTTCTTTCATTTTGAACACCGGATTGTATCACATTGTTCTTTAAAAGATGGTTCTCTTTCTCACCGACTGGCTCCTCTTGCTGCCCTGTGACCACGACCTTTCAAACACCTGAGTTCGCCATCATATCCCCGCTCCTCCAGGCCCTTCACCTGCCGATATAACATGCCTTCCAGACCCTTCACAATTCTGGACTTTGTCTAGCTCAGAAACCCTCACCTAGACAGGACTCCCTAACAGAGCACAGGACTCCAAACACAGGCCAACGGCCGGTGCACTGAAGAAACATGATATCCCTGATTTGAATGCTGCTCCAATTAGGCACCAGCTTTTGATTCAAGGACCGTGAATACACATAAAATTCACCGACACCTAACATCAACTGGAATTTATTGTTTTCTACATTGTATATTTATCATATGATAAATTGCCTTTTTTTCTTTTCAGTCTTGGGCTGCAGATTCTCATACACGGGCGCAGAGCGGTGCCAAATATTTGCACATGGGTCATGGTACTTCATGGGCCAACCTTACCCAAGTTAAAACAAGCAGTTTCCCCCATAATACAATCCACAATTTTTTACATGCTACTGGTGATGGGTAAAAATGTATTTGTGATTGTCCTCAAATCCACAGTAATTAATTAGTTGTATTTGCTTAGCTAACATGAGGTTAACTGGAAGGGTCCGCAAACTGTATGTTAAAGAAATCACTGATGTAGTGAAATGGCAGCAGACTAGAAGGGAGTAACAGACAGTTCCAAAGGCAAAACTGAGGCCTAAGGCCCTTTGTATTGCCCTTTGGTTCTGTGCTTCCTGCTTTGACCCCTACAAGATCTGAAGCTTCCTCAGGGAAAATCCTTTGTTTTTTGTTGTTGTTGCTTGTTTTAGCTTTGTTTCACTCGCTTGGAATCCTGCTCCTCATTCCTTATGGAGGGTAGGGGCATCCAAGAATACACTAACAGCGATGTAAGCTTTCTCCTTTCCTTCCTGGAGACCACAGCCCGCCTAACCCCATAATGAGTTAACTCTTTTAATACCCCTCCCCAAAAAGCATGCAGCAGTTACTTAGTTGTAACATTTTTCCTTCTCTAAAGTTTGCTTTTGTCTTCCTGGTAACCGGTACAGAGAGAATGACTACTCAAAGAAAACAGTTTTAAAGCCTTGAAACTTGATGGATCAGCAGAACCTGAGCTTTAAAGTTGGCCAGACCCAGGTCTGAACAGTCTCCTCATCCTCCCATAGCCATCTCAATGAAATCATTCCATCTTTCTAGGATTCAGAGGCTGTAAAATGTGAACTTCCTTTAATTCCTAACTGTAAGCATTAAATTCAAGACTGTATGTAAACAATTTAGCACAGCGTCTGGTGCTTAAGTACTTAAAAGGCAGGTGTTATTTCTAATACTTTACTTTTATATACCACTCCCACATATAAAGAATTTCTTCCACTCAT